AATCTTTTATGAGAATAAGTTTTAAGATGGATCTGTTTTATGGAGAATTATTGTCGCTCAAGTAATACGCCGAGGGAAAGTTTAACGCTGTATTTTCAGAATTTTATCACCCTTCAAGTTATTATGTTTAAATATCTTATACATCCGCTGAACAAGTTTGGAACATTATGTTATATTTGATGAAGTAGATGCTTGTGTGGTTGAATTACTCTTATTAAACTATGAATTATCAGGATGAAAGTGAATACCGGTTGTATAAAAAAAAAGCTTCTCCATTAAAACCCGTTCAATGTTAATAATATAGTAATATTAAATAACTATCACTGAAATACAATTACTAGTGTGAAGTGATCGAGACAGACATTCATCTATCAGCCATCATAAGGCCGGCTTTACTCTAATCTGACGTCTGTACATTAAACAACAATTTAGACTCAGGTATTATAATAAATCTTCCATTCCACCCCAACCCACCCGGAGCCATCCGATACTTCATTGATTGGGGTAAAATAGACATTATTGTGTAGCGATAAGATCCTCGATGTTTCGGTAATTGTGTGTTATGGTCGGGGCAGGCCGGGGCAGGCCGGGGCAGGCCGGGGCAGGCCGGGGCGGACCGGTGTATGGCAGGAGATATTAATCCGTCAAATCGTGATTAGATTCGGTGGCACGGACTAATATATTCGAAGGTGTCAGGTTTAGTGATGTATTGTGTATTAGCGATAATTGTTCAGACAAACTACAGTGTAACAGATTATTATTTAATTAAAGCTTTATCTCATTAAATTATCTTTTATTTAAATAAAATCAAATCATTCATTTGTTTCGCAATCTATTGTTAATAGGAATTACTATTGTGGTTGTATAAAATCTGAATGTGATATTTTAGTGTTGTCAACAAGGCGACCCTCATAAAACATCGATATATCGATAATCAGGTAAGTCCACAGCGTCCCTGCGAGCCGTCGATAGACTCGGTTCGTGCCGCGGCAAGCGTACGATGTCTTAGCAACACCTTCGCTTACCAATAACTTATATAAGTAACGTTCCACGTCGTAATGTTTAGGCGTGTTGTTTATATTACAATCACAGTACATATCGGAAACAAGCCACAAATGTATGCTATATTTGGCGGGAATTAGCAAAAAACTTAAAAAAAATACTATTCGAATACTTAAACATATACCTACCACAATTAAAATAAGAATGAGTTCCTATGCTCTCAGCTTCATACATTTACACAATGTTACCAGAATTTATGAAGAATATATTTATTATCTAAATCAGAAGGTAAAATATTTGCGTACTTCAATGAGAACAACCTCCTTCGTCCTCTAACCTTATTTTCTATTGGAAGCAGTTGATAATACAAAGCTGACAAAAGGCGAACAATAGACAAGTCCCGTCAGTAATCGGCTCAGACAGTCAGGTGGAGAGCGCTGTACAGCGTATTTTAATTTGCAACTAATTTCCGACGCTTAGCAGTTAAAGCGGATTGCAAAGTTGGTAATTACGGAAAAGTTCCATGAACTGTGAGCTTCAAGTTTTTTGGAATTTGAAAATTTTACGACAAATCGTCGTTCTAATACCGACGATGTCATAAAAATCGTTAAATTACACATAAACTTGGTTGACACGAATTCATTACCGCCATAATGGAATCTATCTAGTAATTAGACGTTGTAATGAATGTAATATAATCTGTGTTATTATATACTCTGTATTGAAACCTGTACACCCACAGAGATACAAATTTATTATAATTACAGATCTCGGCGGCTGTAGGTGTAACCTCTGCTTTGATGTAACCCTGTGATCCGGTGAAATTATAGCGTTTGATTACGGGCGACACTCCATGACGCCGTACCTACGATCTGAGGCTCAATTAAGGTTACTGTTGACTCATTGAGGTGACTCAAATACTAGCAATTTGTCTTTTAAATAGCATACTTTTTTCTGATATACCTCGTGTGTTTTATTTATATTATTGCTAGGAGTAATCTGACGTTTAAAGATAAGACGTTTGAAGGGATAAAAGCCACTGATCTACCTCTTGTAAATTTAATTTAGTAATAAAAATATTTATCAAAAACGCGAATTGAATATCGTGTAGTGATGTAAATTAAAAATAACAGCTAAAACATCTTTCATTATTTTAATATATCAAATCAAAATTGATAACAAAGTTCTGAAATGTTGATTGTATTAGATACATTATAAACTTTAAACAAAGAAGTCATTACTTACTATGTAACGTTTTTAATTAATTGTCATAAAATACACCGTCGTAATATTTACAAGTATCCACTTGAACACCTCAAGGGACGTATGAAACTCAGTAGCAGTCAGCAGGTGTAAACAAACATTTATAAAGCTAACATCGTACTCTAGAGACGAACTGAACTACACGATACTTCGTGTGATTCCCACATTCCATTACATTGAATAAAATAGACTTAAATCAACACAAAACTAAGAACATCTTCAATAAATACATAAAATCATATTGCTATTTATTAAAGTGTAAATCTGTAGCAAGCTTAGTCGACCAAAAAAATCGTTAACGTAGTCTTTAGTCCGAGATCGTTCCCCACTCGACGTGAGGAGTATCGGCGATTGAAAGCCGTTTAGACACAATCGCGCGCTAAGCACCTGTGGGCTGCACTTAACCCGTTTGCAAAGCGCTGACTACTTCGCCTCTTTTACGTGACAAGCTAGGGATGTAAGGCTGTATTCATTATTTAATGATGAATATTTACATCACTTCTATCGTACATTTAACTAAATATAAAAAAACAATATATCTTAGACGCTAAAACAACCATATCATCACAACTGACCTATTCGTCAGTATATGAAACAAAACCTCAAGTAATCTATTTAATACAAGCTTCATTAAGCTGATGATAATTTAACGTGCAATTAAATGCAACCAAAGAAGAGAGCATCCCACTTCAGGATAGAAAACAATTTAACTATTAATATATACCGAACAATGTTCATCAATATTTTACTAAATCGTAATATAAAACTATCGATAGTTTCGCCATCCCTACGTATCGAGTGGTGTTGTGCCGGCGGCCCTCGAGCACGCGCCCGCGAGTATCGATATCGATACTGGGGCAGTGGGCCAGGTGCTGTCTCATGCCCGTTAGTGACACGAGAGCTGTTTTTTATGCAAGGTGAGCTGATCTCAACATTCTACTTTCAGTATTAAACAGCTATCTTGAAATGACAAACTAACGTCACAGCTTGATATTTTGTAGTCGTTCAAAAACGTAGCTATTACATGAACAGGTTTTAATAAAATAATTATAAAATACTCAGTTATTAATCGTTGCGTAAATAAATACCTTTGACTATTTCAAGATATTCCAACATTTCAGTGTGAATGAATCTATAGAATAAAATGAAATTATATATTGTGATGTAAGTCTATAAAATACTCCTTGTATTTATATTAAAATTGATGGATATTCAAAATACATAGAATGTTTTCCCTTTCGTTGAAAAATTATTTTCAAGTGTCTATTTTTCTAGTCATCAATACATGTATTTTAGTTTTTCTTTTTGACTTTTCAGTTACTGAACAAATGTGATGAGATTCACATGTATTATTAAAAAACCAAAAGCTTTGTATCATGAGAATCTGAAGTGATTAAAATATATATATTTTAATCAAGTTTTAACACATACATCAATTAATCTGAATGAAAAGAAGACCAACGAGTATCATAGGGAGTATATATTGAAAATAAAACAAATGTATTATGGAAAATTTATTCGTGATTTCAGTAGTAATAAAATAAAAACTCTACTCTCGCCCACGTGACCGTGACGTAGTAAGGCACGCGACACACTCATACACCTTACACGGCTCATTAACATACACGCGGCTGGCTATGTGGTTGTTGCCTTAACATAATACATTTGATGACGTCATTATATTGTTTTAAAATTAAATATACGAATAATTACTATTGGATCATCGCAGAACAGCTTGAAGCAGGCGACACCACACATCCAACTGAATGTAACACAAAACGATCTACATAACTACATCATCTATACAAAATTAAAATTAATATAATATAAACTAAAACCGGCTTAAACACAAATTTAGAAATATCTGGACGGAAAAAATAAAAAGCTCCGATAATAGAAAAGAAATATAAAAAAATACTACATCTGTATACACGCTTATATTACCTAGATTAATTTGTAGGTGTCGTTATATGTAAATAAGAGACTTATTGAATAATATTCAAGCGATCGGCGGTCAATTAACACTTAATATATAAATGTGCTGAATTCGTGCGTTTATTGCTGATAGAGGTCATTGACCTTCATCATGTATATTTTGATTTATTCTGTCAATTAATGTAAATATCGATTATAATATTGAAAGCAGCCAAATGGCACTCGCGGGAGAAATATCGAGCAATCAGTTTGTTACAATTAAATATAATTCTCATGTACACTATTATTTGACTTTTACATACAAACATTGTATAAAATTAAAATAGAGTGCATATACAATAGCATAAATAAAAAATACAATCGAAAATTCTATCTGAACTAGATATATTGCGATTTATGTGATAATATATTTGTTAACCTCGTGTGTGAGGGAATGCTTGTGTTCCGCGAGCACATATACACATATATATGCATATATACATACATATATATATGTATGTATAATGTAAGCCGTACAATGAAGGTGATATGATGTCTCCAAACAGACGAGTCATATCTCAAGTATCAATGCTCGTCATATTATTTCGTATTGTCTTTTGTCGACTTGTAATGAGATTCAGGTCCTTGTATATTTCAAGTAGCGTGTGAACATTTCCGAGGCCATCAGTGGCAGGAGACCGTCAAGGCACTTCTTTATGTGCGTTCATATTACTCTAGTATTTAACGTGACTTCTCTTCTTAATGTTAACGTGACTTCTATAACATAGTGTCTCCTCTCCACTCCTTCCCTCTCCCTTCCTCTATATAAAGAACTCCCTCCTCTTAGTAACTCGGGCTCCTGTGGCGGCGGCCAGCGCAGCGTCGTCAGGTCCCGCGGCCCCCGCAGCGCCTCGCTCCTCCTGTCAGACATGTGATTTATGTTATAATTATAACAGAATAATACATTAAATCCTTCTACAACTCCCTTTATATGAGTCTATATATTTATCAATGTACAACTATTAAAATTTTAGTGTGTGTATTTACACACACTATACTCTGGCTTTCAATGGTATATATAGTACTAGCTTTTCGCCCGCAGCTTCCTCCGCGTGGAGTGTGGTTATATCGCGTTTCCAAGAGAACCTTTCAAAGTCTGGGATAAAAAGTATCCTATGTTCTTTCTCAAGGTCAACTCTATCTCTGTACCAAATTTCATTAAAATCAGTTCAGTGGTTTAGGCGTGAAAGCGTAACAGATAGACAGACAGACTACTTTTGCATTTATAATATTAGTAGGGATGGTTAAAATCTCATAATATTTCAGTGGTTAAAACTACCGTTTCATATTCTGGAAAATCTAGAAGATAGCTGTCATGTCATGACTACTTTATAATTGTACATTACACAATATTTACTGTCGTAAGGAAGTCGCTCTTGGAACATGAGGGATAAGGCAAAACAATGGGATTAAAATAAATAGTGAAAGAAATTAGGGCTTAGTTCAATCAACCATCTCTATGACTCGTTCGAGTTTGTATCATCACTATATACGGAGAATTAACAGTTTCTAATCCATAAATCTCTTCACTTCATATTAATAACGTAAGTTTAACTGAAACTAATATTTTCGGATTTACTACGCGTTTTTTATTTTTGATTATAAACCACATACTCCCGACGTTTCGGCTACTTTTCAGCAACCGTGATCACGCGAAGTAAAATCCGAAAATATTAGTTTCATTTAAATGAGTACTCGCGATAATCTTAGATCTCATTAAATAACGTAAGTTATTGAACGAGGGACTGAGAATAAGGTCTGATAGTACTTTTGAGACGTCCTACAATATTATATATGATTCTAAGGCGAGTGTCTATGTCCGTACCTGTGTGAGATACTCTCCCTTGTGTCGGGACAGCGCCCTCACTAACACCACGGCCACAGCTATCAACAGTAGGAACACGAACGCCAACACCGCTGGAATATAACACGTACGTTTAAGGTTAAATTAAAAAAATATTTAATATCCTCGCTGTAGTAGTAAATGTAGCAAGTCTATCATGTCCAGTGGCCCGTTTGTTAAAATTGTTATCTTGCAAATATTCCTTGCATCTCATTTTAAGTGAATGTAAAATTTTTATGAGAAATAAAGTTCTTTATACATATATACATACTGTACACACACTGACGGAAGGCTCTACATACACTGGTTGAGGTGATAGTCTCTACTGCCTTACAAGTTGAATTCAAGCAATTTAGCTCGATAATCCTACTAACATTATAATTGCGAAAGTTTGTGAGTGTGTGTGGATGTTTGTTACTTGTTCACGCTCAAACGGCCGAATCAATTTTTATAAAATTTTATATATAGGAAGCTGACGTCTGGGAATAACAAATAGGCTACTTTACATCCCGGCAATCCGCGGGTAACACCGCGGGGTACAGATAGTCATTTAATATAAGTATATAGTGTCCGTACTAGCTAGTATGGCCTCGTCGGTCCGGTGGAAGTCCAGGTCAGCGGCGAGGTCGGCGGGCGGCGGCGGACGGGTCTCGGGTATGACTGGCGGGTGAGTTACTGGCTCCACGCCGCAGAAGTCCTCGTGTAACGGGCCTGGGGATAAAGGACACAGGGTAGTTAGTATAATGAGAGCTCACAACTACTGTCTATGAAAAATGTACTGAAAAACATCACTGAACAGTTTACAATGCATCTCGTGCTGGGAAACATTATTTAACAAAGTGAAAGTACCGTGTTCAGACAGAACATGTTACAGTGACGTCACGCATGTTTGTACGTGTGTGTGTGTGTAGTATAGTGTATGTGTGTGTATGTATGGTGTATGTGTGTGTATGTATAGTGTGTGTGAGTGTGTTTGTATCCCTCAGTTCAGACAGAACATGTTACAGTGACGTCACCATGTTTGTATGTGTGTGTGTGCGTGTGTGTGCGCGTACCGCCGATGCTCCGCACGTTGGGCGGCGGGTCCTGCTGGAACAGCAGCTTGAGCGGGTAGATGTCGTCGAACTCCACGCGACTCACGCAGCCCACGAACCCCTCGGCCATGGAGTCGTTGCGGCCCACGTACATGTACTGGATGTTGTTGAACTGAGCGTCCGCCGACTCGCGGATGTTGAAGTGGTACTCCTGGCTCTCGTAGTTGTCCACCTGGAAATTGATACACACTTCATGGATCTAAGATTCTCACGAGTTTTATTCATTTAAATGATACTAATATTTTTTTGATAGACATAATACGCGACTTTATTTTTGATAAAAACTACATACTGATCGCGGTTGCTGAAAAGTAGCCGAATCGTCGAGAGTATGTAGTTTTAATCAAAAATAAAGTCGCGTAGTATATCCGAAAAATGTTAGTTTCATTTAAACTTCATGGATACTTCAGCATTTTGATTATTCTTAAAGACAAAAAGTTATATAATTGGAAATTCCTATTATTTGATTGTTCAATAATAAAGCGTAATTTCAATTATTAGGTGTAATCACAAAAACGAGTCTCGCTTCGTATCAATAGAGGCGAGGGTACAGATTATAACATTCTCTTTAGAGCCGTCGTAACTATCAGACCTTTTTGAAGTAAAGGTTTCGTCAAACCGTCAAACTAAAGTATTGGTGACGTCAATCTTTAAAACCAATGAAATGTATCTAATTCCAACATATTATCCTCTATACATACATTACATTGAAAATTATTTATTTAAATTTGAAACTATAACTTTATATTTGTAATTGTAGTAAACTCATTAGTAGTTATATTAGTTTATTCAAAAATATTTGCACGCCAACTTTGCAGAATATGTTAGACCACTGTAAATTTATGAAATACCTTTTTTAACCTATATTCCAGCAAATAAACTATGTATTATTATTATTTGTAGGTACCTGCAACACCATAGTAGCGCCGCTGTCCTTTCTAGAGAGCCGCACGTCGTGGTATTGTCCCAAGCCGAAGTGCTTCCCCTCGAAGATGATCTCCTGCCTCTCAAAACCGAAGTCGAACACCACGCGTAAGTGACCTGGCGACAAACGAAACATTTCTCACACTAATATTTAGACTTAATGAGATCTAAAACTTTAACGAGTATTCATGTAAATTAAACTAGTATTTTTAGAATTTTATTATTTTAAAAACTACATACTCCTGACATTCTGGTTATTTTTCAGCATCACGTGTCTGAAAAGTAACCAAAACGTCGGGAGTATGTTTAGAACTTATCAACAAGTATGTTTAGCTTGCTTAGAACCACAACTGTCAGTCGTCAAACTACTTACGTAGAGTTTCCAGTATTTCTTTAATTTCCACTCGTACTAGTATCAAGATTTAGTAATTTTGTAAAGGAAAGCTAGGCTAGCTAGGTAACTTGTAATATGAACATGATTGATGTTAAATCTACATTCAGTAACACCGTGAGTATTCTGCAGTATATTGTAGCTTTTATTTCACACAATTTTAAAGCTACTAAATTAGCTTATCGTTTGAGATAGTACAAGTCCGCATAACTAGCATTAGAAGCAGATTATAAGAAGAAAGTTTTTTCTGAAATATTTTCTATATTAATTAATGACTTTTATTTATTTTGTTCACAATTAGTAATTATTTAGTATCAGTGGCAGTACATTGAAGGCAGCCCTAGTAGGTTCTTTTCAAATTTGGTTAGGTAGGGAGAGGAGCTTGGACAGTGGAGGTGAGCATATAACGCGTTAGATAGGTTCCCTTAAACCTACACCTGGGTCGCAAGTCCCAGTCACTGTTGAAGCTCCTCTCACTACAACGATAGACCCGGCACCCGCACGGTGAATACATTGAATGCTGAGAAGTTTCGTCTCTTATTTAGTGTATTATTCCCGTACCTGAGTTGGACACCATGAGCGTGAGGTACTCCCCGGAGATGTTGGAGTAGAAGCCGAGCAGGAAGCCCTTGGGGTTGGTGGTGGTGAACCCCACGCGGATCTTCTCGTTGATGGTGGAGCGCCACGAGCCCAGGAAGTCGTACTTCACCATCGAGTTGGGACGCAGGTTCACGCCGATCTCTGACACACACACACACACATATATACACTCGGATATATTCATTAGTTAATATTAAACACTAGTTGTCCGCCCGCAGCTTCGCTTCGATTTCGGTTGTATCCCATTTCCAAGAGAACCTTTCAAAAGTCTGAGATAGTAACTATCCTATGTTCTTTCTCAAGGTCAATTCTATATCTGTACCAAATTTCATTAAAATCAGTTCAGTGGTTTAGACGTGAAAGCGTAACAGACAGACAGATAGTTACTTTCGCATTTATAGTATTAGTAGGGATTTGACGGACTGTGATGTAGATTTCAAAGTGATGTCAATGTGTCAAAGAAATTACAACACAATATAAGCATTGTCTAAAACGTTGTTTTCTTCGATAACTATGATTATATTTAGTTAGAGTAATACTACTTCATACTTCCTGTGGCTCTTGTCGTACCTCGATATTTTAATTATTTCATTCCGTACATCTTCGTATTTTCTAATTCATTTATATTTACTTTATTATTTATTTTTCTTTGCTAATAACTTCGTCAACAATTATTATTATACATACATTTTCTAAAGAACTTCTAGACACTCGAAGCGTGAACTAAAATAACTCGAATAACTTGTAATATTTGGTAACAACTAAAAAAACTTGTACAGCATGTCATATTTTTGGTAGGTCATATGATATAATAGTTTTCAAAGCACGTTATATTCACCGTCAGCACAGATGGGTCCTTTGAAGGCGGTCCAGCGACAGTCGCAGCTATACGAGTCGTATCGCTCCAGACATGTGCCGTTATTGAGGCAAGGAGACGACGAACACTTGCCCACGCAGCCTTCCGACACGCCGTACAGACCTATACACACACATACATACACAAACATTACGGACAGCTACTTGATGGGTAGTAGTCACCGTCATACAAAATATAAGGATTGTTGCGGAGAGAGAGAGAAAGACGGGGAAAAGATCAACTCTCACTCATCGGAAAAGCCATTAAAGGCTAGACGCCGATCTTCTATGAGTGAGTGGTACTTCCCCGGTCGAGCCAGCCCATGTTCGAACTGTATTTATGTGACCACAGCTAGGCTTTACCACTTTCAAATGTATATGACATATATAGAGTACTAGCTGCGCCCCGCGGTGTTATCCGCGGATTTCCGTATGTAAAGTAGCCCATGTGTTATTCCTGAACGTCAGCTTCCCGTTTACAAAATTTTATTAAAATCGGTTCAGCCGTTTGAGCGTGAAGAAGTAACAAACATACACACACTCACAAACTTTCGCAATTATAATATAAGTAGTATATAGAGCTTCTATCAGTGTAGTAATTATCATTCGTATGGTGGTACCTCTCCTTGCGTGTCCCCGCAGATCTACGGGTCGTCCGTTCAGTAACAGCGCCCTCATACAGCCCACGAACCCGTCCTTCCTATCAAGACTCGCCCCTAGTACTAGCGGGGTAGCGAGCTGCAGCGCGCGGACCGGCTCCTTGGCCGTTCTTATCTCGTTCTTTAAGGCTCCGTCCACAACCACGCGGGCCTCCTTCCTACATTACAAACGTTATTATTAGCATATGGGGGATTCTACATGAAAGTAAACCTTGATGTAATTTTTTAAAGTTTTTCTTTTTTTTTAATTATTATACAGGGTGACTGAGGAATTACTATCAATATTTAAGGAGAATACTCAGTACATGATTCTCAATCGAATTATGTTAAAAAATAGGTACTTAATTTTTGACCAAATTTTCGTATAAATAAATAAAGTGTGGACACGTTCCAAGTGTTCCAAGTGTGGACGCGTGCGGCGGCGTGCTGATACAACACCACGCCGCCGCACGCGTGTCAGTGTGTGTGTGTACCTAATCTGTAGGATGTTCACACGATGCGTAATTAATTACATAACTTTTGGTTAACTTTACTTAGAAGTTTATTAATATTTATGTTATATTAATTTTTATTTTGTCATATATGATCGTCAAATATCACGTCCTCAAGTATCGATAGTAATTCACCAGTCACCCTGTATATATCGATACAAAATACATACTTAAAATTGCACGAGACTTTAAAAAATATTAGTATATTAATATTTTTTTATTTTTTATTAAGTTGCAAACTTGATTAATAAATTTATTGCTGATTTGGATCTGGAAAGATGCAAAGCTGTCAAGCTGAGTGTTTAAAATGTATACCTTGATGCAGACCCAAGCTACTAAACTGACTCTCATGATGAAACTAGCATCCTAGCAAACTAGCATATCAAGAAATAAAAACTTATAAGTGACTCCTTGTACCAAGTAAATCGTACGTGTCCCACCCGTGACACACTTTATTTATTTTTTGTAAAAATATGTGTAAATAATAGAACATTATTTTCCATTCAAATGTAAAGTTTAGTTTATTGTCTCAAAGAAATATCGTAGTCTGCATTAAAAAGTTTTATCAACTAGCAGAGTTTTATTAAATATGATGCATGAGTAACAAGAATGTCACAACTTTGTCCCACCCGTGACAAACATTGATTGTCTTCTTTATTAAATTTTACATGGTGTTATTACCGTCTTTATTGTACCTATAAAAGTACATGGATAAATTTATTATATTCTATATAAACCAATTAGATATTATTGATACAATTAACGTAAATAAGCCACACACGCTGAAAATAGAGGTACAAGTGTTCCACCTGTGACAATAGAATGCCCCATATGCTCTCTCCTCAATGTATGTGAGCCAGTATAAGTTGAGCTCACCTGTTCCTCTCTATAGAGACGGAATGCCACTGATCATCGGCCAGCCTGTTGCTCGTTTCCACAGACACCCCGAGAGGCGTGTCTCCAACTTGGAACTGGAACTGCAGCTGATCTCCGCCGATGATGGATAACTTTATATAGTCTTGAGTACCCTGGAGCATTATTGTATAAGAAATTTTAAAGAAAATTTTTAGTCATCTCAATATTATTGGATTTAGAATAGAATCTACAATACACACAAAAAGCAATAACCAGATGACACAAATTTTTTTTCCTTCTCTCATTTTATTGTACCTATTTCACATTTCTCTTCTCATTTCCTCTATCAAAAGGGTTTCTGGTAGAGATCTTTTTTAAGAGATAATTTATCCTTTGCACATCAGATTTATTTTATAATACTTCAATTGTAACTATTTTTTCTTCTTGGTACATAAATAAATAAATAAATATTAGAAAAGTTATTGTTGAATATTTATATTACCTTTGAATGCAACAGAACAGCGTTTTCTTTGGTGGTTCTGAACTCAAAGTAGATGTCTCCACTGTGACCCAAGTCGAAAGTAGGCAGAGTGATGACCGCGTCCGAAATACGGAACGTGACGGCGTTAGAGAATAAGTCTGGGAACAACCATTCATTATATAAATAACTTCACAGATATTACAAACGACGATATATCATACTTATAAGGAATATTTTTGACGATTTTCAAAATAAACTACAATTTGTTTCACTAAAAATACAAAGTTTTGTTTAACACTCCTTTACAATATTATAACAATTATTCTTTAACTATGACAATTACACTTTTTTCTCACCTGAAAATACAAAGAAACGACATTAAAGTCCGCTAATATCGCCTCCTCAATTATATGCCTTAGTTTATCTTTACACGTTTTAACAATCATAAAATGCACAAAAAAACCTAAACAAAATCCGCATTCTAATGACGCGTTACTTCTTGACAACTTATAAAAGCGCGAAGCGGAGCAAATTGGAGTTTAATTAAATGTCATTTCATTACATACTTATGTACCGAAAATAATAGAATATTTAAAAAATGACTTGATAAGGGGCCGTTCAAGTATTACGTAAGCAGATTTATTACAAATAATTACCCCCCATCCCCCTTGTCAGCAAAAGTAAGCAAAGCTCTTACCCCTCCCCCCATGCTTACGTAAACATTTTCAATTACTGTATTCTTTTTTTTTTAATATATCCATAAAAAAAATTATCATTATAATTTTTATGAATCTTTTCGATGTGACGATAAAAAAGTAAAAAACTACCGATGACGTAATCAATACCTAGACTCCCCTACCCCCCATGTCATCCAAAATAAGCAAAGCAAAGACCCCCGCCCCTCCATAGTGCTTACGTAATACTTGAACGGCCCCTAACGAATAAACATATATGTTAATACAGCTCCCTGTGTGTAAGTATGTCCGTGTATCGTACCGTCTCCCTCACACAGCAGCGGCCCCAGCGAGTACCTCCCTATCTTCTCGTCCAGATGGCTGCCCGTGTCTCCGAAGCGGAGCTGCTTCACCGGCAGGAACTCCTTCTCCGTGATGTCTCCGCCGTCCGTTTGAAACTCTACAACATGAACATAGGCTGTAGACAATCAACTCACATAGACTAACCGACGAGTTGTGAAATAGATAGTCTATGTCTATAGGAGTGAAAGAGATACAAATCTATATCTTAACTCACCCTGGTGTTATCAGAATGACTTCAGTTACGTTACATTATACAACTATTATCCCAAATGTATGGGTTAATATGTATATATATAAACTAATATTATAAAGCTGAAGAGTTTGTTTGTTTGTTTGTTTGTTTGAAAGCGCTAATCTCCGAAACTACTGGTTCGAATTGAATAATTATTTTTGCGTTGGATAGTCCAGTTATCGAGGAAGGCTGTGGGCTATAAAACAACACGCTACGACCAATAGGAGCAAAGATATAGTGGTAAATGTGTAAAAAACGGGAGAAATTATTTCATCTTTGAAGCTTTCCGTTGCGTGCGCCGTGAAAACGGTTCAAGATACACGAAAAATATGTGCTAAAGAATAATAGCTCTTTTAATGATCTAAAAAACAGTCCGCGACAGTATATGTCTATCTTTTAAGATTAACTCATAAAAACCGTTTTTAAGGTACCTAATTTGGACGAAATAATTTGTTTAAGTTGTATCAACATAATAATATTAATCATTATTCAAATAAATAAATAAATAAATATGTTGTTGGTTAAGAGTACTTCATTGTGAATTAAAAAAACATAGGTTTTATCCTGAAAACTCTACGGGAACTCGACCATTCTGAAAACCCCGCAAGAACGAGCATATATGTGGGAAGAACCAAAAATCTGCCGGAAGTCACTATTCCACGCGGACGAAGTCGCAACAATATATAAATATAGTTACTTGGCCACAGCTAGGCTCTACTACTTTCAAACGTATGTGTAGCTATCATCAGATTCAAGTCAACATCATCAACTAGTCGTAATGGGTACATACACTCTCTTATATTCTTTTTCTTCTACCTGCAATTTCCCAGCTTCAGCCAAAGTCTGCTTTACATGTTGTGAATAGTTTTTGAATAGTTTGAACGACCGGCCGCCAGCCTGACATCAACCCTCTTTAGGAATGCATTAATCAGTGATGTCTAAATATTCTTAGATCGTACATATGACTCAGAAAAATCACATTGGTACTTGCTAGGGCCAGGATCGAACCCGCGCCCTCGTGCATGAGAGGCGGGCCTTTTAACCACTAGGCCACCACTCTCTTATATTGTCCCTATATTAATTATACGTATGTCTGTGTATACTGTATACGTACCGTCGTGCGGCATGGGCGAGTGCTCGGCGTCACAGTTGCACCACTTGGTGGGGTCGAGGCAGGTACCGAGCACGCCACACTCACACATGCGCGAGCCGGGCTGCGCGCCAGCCCAGTAGTCCATGCGCTGCCCGCTGCGGGACACCCACCACGCGAACGGCTGGAACGTGGCCTCCTCGCCTGGAACACACATACACACACATACATACACATATGAACATACACATATGAACACATACACATACGGGAAGCTTACACAGCGACACTGACATACTGTCACTAAATCCCTATCAAAAGTGCAAAATTATGATTCTGACACAATGATTTTAACATGAAAACCAAAGATGGTAAATCTTTTCTGTATCTTCTAATTGAATGATATTTTATTTTTCTAAAACATTATAATACTACTGTATTTAAAATTCTGCATTGAGGTTTGTTCTCAAGCGACAAAGACAGACATTACTACAATCAAATATGACACGTAAAGGTCACAGCATAAAAACTAGTATACAAAATCTGCTTGTCTAAGCGACATTTTATAACCAGTACAATCAAAACAAACTCATCACTACTACATCAAGTTTACTTATCATCGACGATATATACAAGTGGCTCCCTCTCTGGCTGTTGTAAGCTTAATTCAATGTTAACATTTTTCTGTTTATATAATACATGAGACAAATATATATTTAAAAAAAACCGCTGAGTTTCTTTCGCCGGTTCTTCTCAGGTCAGGGTATTTCCTTTTCCGAACCGGTGGTAGTGTCTCAAGTGACCATCGATAAAAAAGTGTAATGCTTCTATATTGAATAAAGTTATTTGAGTTTGAGTTTAACTCAATGTTAACATTTTTAATCGTGCACTGTTTATAGTTAGTAAATGTTATGTACACTTGTCATTGACGTACATATCTGATGTTATAATATAGTCACTTTAACTGTAAATATTCAATATGTATGTTGTAAGTGTGCTTGTTGTAAATAAATAAACATTTTATCGTCACTCACTAGGTGAGTTGAGCAGTCGTGAGTGTCGACACATATATTCGAGCCGTTGGCTGCACGAGCGACTCCTGTTGAGCAGCGCCTCTAGCTGCGGCCTCGTCGCGTCATACGTCACGTCCTGCCTGAAGCTGCCTGGTTCTTGAAATCCGTCAACCTGCGTGCTGGACACGGCCGAGTGCTGCACCGACGTTATGATACGACCGTCCGCTGAAACACATACATACATACTTTTTTTATTTTTTTATATACCTTTGGTTGATACTGTCATTGTCTCAAGGGAGATAGCTGAAAATCAGCAGAGATAAAAAACCCTCATAGCCTGAGCAGTCTCCTTTTGATTGCACACAAGTTTTATATCAATTATGTTTATTTTCTTTATTTTTGTAATGTTTTTTTGTATTTTTTTTTTTGGTGTGTATGTCAATAAATGTAATTTTTTTCTTTCTTTCATTAACCGTAGAGTAGATTTATATAATACAAGTAATAACGCCCCTCATCGCACGAAGTATTCATTTGAATCATATATATGATTAAGATAACGATATTCTATAATTCAGTTTGATTGCTTGCTACATAACTGAAAAAAAAGACTATTTATGTTCTACATGTTTCTATAAATGTTTATATGTTTTTCTTAAGATGTATCTTACAATTACAATGCAACATACAATCATTAAGATACAACAACAAGTTGCCTGAATAACTAATATAATCGAGCTAATACTACATATTTATATTGAAGTATGACCGAGCATTATTCATAGTAGCTAGGTACAGTGGCAGGTGATAGTGTATATTACCGTAGAAGTGGCATGTGGCGGGGAAGGGCGGCAGCGGGCCCGAGCCGTCCACGTCGAGAAGCACGCGCGACGAGCGGCCCGGGGAGCCCGACCACGCGTACGCCGCGCACGACACCGGGTGGATCGCTACACACACACACATAGAGTATACACACACGCGATAATAGAACATGTGTATGAACCTACTAATATTATAATTGCGAAAATTTGTGAGAGTGTTTGTGTATGTTTGTTACTTCTTCACGCTCAAACGGCTGAAGCGATTTTGATAAAATTTTGTATACAGGAAGCTGACGTCCAGGAATAACACATGGGGTACTCTACATCCCGAAAATCCGCGGGTAACACCGCGGGGAGCAGCTCGTATGTTAATATCATGATGGTACTCCTGCAAGCTAAAGGAAGGTTTACTTCTGCTTAGCATATTGTCTATATAAGTCTTTTGTATTAACAACGTTCATGTTTCAGCGAACAGTACAGCCACATGCTCTCATGGAACATATGTATGTACATATTAATGTCTAATGTCACTGAAGTTATACTCCTACAAGTAATAGGCAGGTTTATATGAAGAATGTGTAATCGTGACATATAATATGCGGGTAGTACTAACACGTGTGGCAGACGGCGCCCGCGTACCCTGTGTCCGTACAGTCGCAGGTGAACTCGTCCGCGCTCTGCGTACACACGCCGCCGTGCTCGCACGGGTTGGGGTTACATCTGGAAAAACACACACACACACTCAGACACACGATATTTACTATAATCATTGTAACAACTCATTAACATCAGTAAATTAGTCGGCGGAGGAGTGCCCATGTATGTCCACAATGATTTATCCTACACGCTTACAAAAGAAAAGTATACTGATGGTAAAAACTTCCTATGGATTTATTTAGAAAAATGTAGCTTACATATTGGACTTGTTTATAGAACCCTGACAACAAACTACTTTTAAGACTAAATCACATAAATACTATACACGAAATATACATAAATTACAAACACCTAAGTATAGAACTAAACATTATGATAACAAAACTATACAATTTGAGGGAGCGCTAATGTACAGTAATCTACCGAACGAAATATTTAACGAAAAATCTTTTTTGAAATTTAAGGCTAAATTAAAAACATACTGTCAAACTTTTTAATATTTGAATGTTTGTATAAATAAGGTCACCATTAACTTTATAGATATTTATTATTATGTTACTAGTTTAAGTTTCCTATGTAAGTAAACTTTGTTCTTAATGGGAAATAAATCTTCTCTAAACCTGAACCTAAATTGAAGCGATTATTATTATTATATTTTAATTGTAAAACATTTTTTTGGTTCTATTCATTTTAATACCTCTATAGGTAGGCAATAAGAAGATACATAAGTAAAAAGGATAGAAAAAAAGAGAGGAGATGCAATTTATTTGCATTAAAATGGAGATGAGAGAACTCCATAAATTTCAATACAACCTCCTTATTATATAACACTAATTTTTGACCGCGATTTTGTTTACCTGAAGTAATTTATTATGTTGAGAGAGAAATAAATAGGTTTGTCAGAAATATTAATTTTAGAAACCAACCGCCAGCGACATCTATGTATCACGTGACTTCACGGAATTTAGGAATAAATAATCGAATTTTTATATCTGATGCCCGAGTTAACTGGAGAGATTCAACAAAAACTATTTATTGCAGGTGAAAGATCAACAAATTGTCGCGTATGTAACACTAGTAGTATCCCCCGATCCTACCTGTCTATCATGTGGCAGGCGTCAAACACTAGTTCGTCAGGGCAGCAGTATTCCTCGCGCGTCCAATCTGTAGGCAGGCGGTAATTACCGTCCACGGCCAACTTCCTCATGCAGCCCACGAACCCACGGGGAGGCGCTTTGCCACCTGGAACGAATAGCAAACATATGACTTCTATAGATTTCTTACGACGACTTCTCAAATTATCTAACATCTGTTATTTGGTACTATGAAAACGATACACTAGCTACGATATATCATAAAGGACCGTAAGGATCTTCTCTTAAAGACTTATAATGTGGGCTACCAAGTATAAATACTCGATAACATAAATATTAATAAACTTCTAAGTAAAGTTCACCAAAAGTTATGTAATTAATTACGCATCGTGTGAACACCCTACAGATTAGGTATACACACACACACACACACGCGTGCCGCGGCGTGGTGTTGTATCAGCGTATTGTATCACGCGTCCACACTTGGAACACTTGGAACGTGTCCACACTTTATTTATTTATACGGAAATTTGGTCAAAAATTAAATACCTATTTTTTTACATAATTCGAATGAGAATCATGTACCGAGTATTCTCCTTAAATATTGATAGTAATTCACCAATCACCCTGTATATCTCTCTTTTAAAACTCCAGAACGGCTGAACGGATTTATCTCATCTTATTCTTGAAATGTTCATGAGGTTCAGGGAAGGTTTAAAAGCTGAAAGAAATTGATTCATTCGGGAAATCCCTAAAAACAGCCCTTTTCTATTTCCCATACAAACGTTTTTTTTTTTACATTAGATTTGACAACTAACTAATATGTCAATCATTCTGTTGCACTTCAAAACACAGAGATTTATGGCTTGAATAGGTAAACTCCAAAAATATAAATTAAAAAAACGTATTTCTTGATTATAGAGCGATACGAAGTTCGCTGGGTCTTCTAGTATCTTTATACAAAGAATACCAATTCCACATCTAAACTACTACTAATGTATAACATGTAATAGTTCATCACCTGCTATATAATAGTAGCTGCCGGTAAAGAACTTCATCTTCTTGCTGGTGGTGACGGCCCGGTAGTTGAGTGACAGCGTCAGCCGGTCCTGCGCCATAGTCAGCATGAGCGCGTGCCAGCGGCCGTCGTTGTACGTGTCCTCGAAGTTATCTAGCTTCACTTTAGGCGAACCCTCCATGAACAACTCCACTTTCACCTTGCCTTCCTCAAGAAAAACCTAGCGTTGGAAGTTATAAGACAAGTTATGAATGACATATTTAATACATGTTAATGTTTATGTAGAGAATTTTTTTTTTGTTTAAGTTTACAAAACTGACTTACAACTAATGCATACAAAATAAAATCTAAGCTAAACAGAGTGTCATTAAGTTGCAGTCTTCTGGATGTAAACCTAACATGCTTTAAAAAACATATACCTTGCTTAGTTAACTAGAACAGTACTTGTGAAATTACTGACTAGTTAATTATTTGATTATTACCTAAAATAATGTGATTTTGTTTTAAGTTTATTTTTAAGAGAACCAACAGATTTACTGAAGACATCTAGGTGTTGGCATCTAGGTGTTGACAGGACATGTATATGTTCACCGATCGTCAGCGACATCTATCGACTGTGTCACGTGACTACATACTAGTTACAAGAATTATGATGTGTTCTCGTGCTATCTATATGAATGAAGGCAAAAAATATAGCTGATATCTTATTGTGATATCCCAGTCACATTATTGGAAAAGTTTCATTAAAATTCATGCAGTATATTTTACTCAACGCAGTAACAAACATCTGTGCATCATTTAAAGGTCTTCAGTTAAGTTGAATATAAGTACAATAACTCGGTTCTAACCTTAACGTATCCTTCGCTCTTGAACTGATGGTATATGAGTAGTCCGTGGTGCTCGTATGTACGGAACTCCAGCGACACGTTCATGACTCCGCCCCCGCCGTAGCCACGCAGCTTGGCGTACGAGCCCTCCTTCAAGAACGTGATCGGCACTACCGGCGGCTCCTAGAGGGACAATAATACAGTGCTAGCAAGTGATAGTACATAAAAGGACATAATTAATAATATTTCGTAATAAAAACTGTCGACATTTTTGTTTTTGAAGCCTTAGTGCCTGTTATGAACTAAAAATGGAAAAGGAAGATTCTACTATGGCTTGGTCTGTATGGCTATCATCTATCTGTCATGTGTTGAAATAAAGCCGATATCTACCTATATTCTGCATCGTCGATCATCGTTAACTTAGCCATAAATATCAAAAGTCAGAGAGAGTTACTTTTCACCAACAAATTTCCTTCAAGGTCGATATGTCACTAAGTACAATACAAGATGTGCAGATTTCGTACAATAATTGAAAATGTCAGTCTCTTTACAGCGGCGCTATTACTTACAGGACATGAATACAGGGTGTTGACTTTCTGATACTTGAAGGGCTCCGCGGCCTCATAGCCCTGCTTGAGTTCTTGAATCACGTTGGTGGCGTTGAGGTACATGTTCTCTATACACCCTGTGAAGTTTTGCGTCACCACTAGACCCTCTTGGAAGTTTGGTACCCCGCCGATGTATATCTGAGAAATATAACAGTTCCCGGTCTGTGAAAAAATAGCTAAACCTTCCAACGAGTCTTCGACCAAGTGATATTTTATTGGGAAATAAAATATCAAATATATATAATAACTAGATGACCCGGCGAACTTCGTATCGCCCTATTATCAAGAAATATCTGTTACGTTTTTTTTAATAAATAAATTTAGTTTATACCTTAGCCTCAGAAATATATGACGTTTGTATTTTTAACATAGCGCCATATAGATTCAATAGTGAATACTTACTCAACTCAGTCAACAGATAATTGTATAATGAAAAATAATTTTCTTTAATAGACAAATAATTTGCAATAAAATAATATTGTGACTATAAATTGAGATGTAAGCTAACCTATATTTCAAGTTGGATCAAAATGCACACGGAATGCAAATGAAATTTAAAATCGGTTTAGTAGTTTAGGAGTCCATCACGGACAAACAAGTGACATGAAATTTTTATATTTATAAAGATTATTATTATGTCAAATGTAATTAAAATATTAATTAGAAAGAGAATATTGATTATTATATAACCCCATATCAATCAAGCCCTTGTGTCCATATTAATCAGTCAAAGTTGCGTCTATATATTTCAAGTCTAGTTAAAACTCCACAAGTGACAAATGTTTAAGAGGTGTTAGTGTGTTACAGACCGCTCTGTTGAGGTTGAGTCGTGAGAACTCTCCCTTAATCCTCGCCCTCATCACGACCCTGTCCACAGAGAACACCAGGTCGCGCCGGGCGCGGGACACTAGCGCGTCGTGCCACGTGTTGTCGTCCAACAAGCTGCCCGCTGACAACGACGTCGCCTTGCCAGACCCTGCGAAGAAACCGATCATCGTATAGTAGACTACATACAGTATGGCATAAAGTTTAAGTATAGATGTGAGAATACCATACTCTATACCATGGAGTATAGAGAAAAGACTTTGCTATGGGATAGAGTATTGTACCCTCACATCGGACCTGTACTTATATTATTGGAGATACTGATATTGAAATATTAGAATCAAACTACACAGAGTTCTCATAGTGAGCAGAAACGTAGAAGATGAAGAATGTTCTCACCGAGGTCTATATTGAGGACTAGCCGGTTGTCCCTTAGCTGTAGCGCGAGGTAGTCGCCCTGGGTCCCGCGGGAGTATAGCAGCACGCCTGACGCTGCTGACGTCTTGAACCGGAAACGGATGGCCTCCCGAGACGAGGAGACAGGGGAGCGGAGCAGGTCCATACGAACCAGGGACGAGCCGTTGAAGTACAACGTGTCCGCGACTGGAAATATACAGAACACATTACTATAGATAATTATAATATATTATATAATTATAAAACACCTAACATGTTTTTCCCTTGGAGGTGTTACAATGTTTCTAAATAAAACTTCTTTAGTCACGCTTTGGGGTAAAATTATGAAAGCGTTACGAAAATGTGATCGGGCGAGTGGAATGAAAGTGATAGGGAGATAAGTTAGTGAAAATATATAGAGAGAATGTTAGGGTTCATGAATTATCATCATCATAATGTATCTTCTTCTACCTGGCAATTTCCCAGCTTTAGCTAGGGTCTGCCTTTATAGATCTTGTGAATAGTTTTGGCTAATTGTTTTTACGACCGGCCGCCTGCCTGACATCAACTCTCTTTGGGAATGCATTAATCAGTGATGTCTACATACTCTTAGAAAGTACATATGACTCGAAAAAATCACATCATCATAATGTATAGATGTATGGAATTAGGTGGAGCGAAATAAGTTGGACTTCAAACGTATGGTTTAAAGCACAATAGTTTTAATATTTGTTTACCATAATCACATCCGTACAGCTCGACCCTCATAGAAATCTTGTCCCTCCACCTCATAGGATTGATCCTGATGTACTGCGCTATGATGGGGACGTCGAACTCGTTCTTCACTATGGTGTTACCGTCATGGTTGCCCTCGAACATCTACAACCATAATCTTACTAATATAGAATAATATATGAAGTTTACGAAAATTATAAATCATTTTTACAAAGACACTATTTACAGCATGACATAGATATATTGTTATATTTACAATAAAAGAAAACCAGTTAGCCAATGAAAGATATACAGAAACACGTAAGTCATACAACATAGACTAGAATACTAGATCACCATTCCCAGTGCCGGCGTTAGAGGGACTGACACCCTGGGCAAGAATATTTTGGTTCCCACTTGAAGAAATCAAAAACGAGTTTTAATTTTTTTTCTGAACCAATGTGAACACTGAACGTGTATTAAGAATTCTATATTCCATCTTTTCTTTAGCGTGACCCAGAGCTAACGAAGTGGACGATTTTTCCTTACCTTTACCTCCACTAATCACCCCCCCCCCCCCCCCAAATTTGGCGTCCTGGGCCGTCGTCCCATCGCGCCCCCCTAACGTCGGCACTGACCATTCCATATATAATAGAGCATGTTAATATATTAGTAGTGCGTGACTTCACCTGCGTGTATCCGTCCCCATCAGTCACCGCGGTCCACGTCTCTCCGTCATCTGAGTACTGTACCATGTACTCCGACACGTATTCATCGGTGGCGAAGCGCCCCCTGGTGGCTAAACCTCGCAACTCTCTCCGTGTATGCAGATTGATCGTCAAGTGCTGGTAGTATGAGCTCTCCACCGCCGTCCATGCTGATTTTCCTTCACCAATGTTAGCGCTACTTGTTAGTCGGTGGTGGCTACTATTATGTTTGTTAATATCTATATACTCGTTTTTGTTAATACTTTTCATCCCCATATACTAAGCTAATATTTAAAACTACAGAATAAAAAATAAAAATACATACTATATCTACTTCCAAAACCAAATATAGTGCAAAAAAAAGCTTCCAAACTACGGCATGCGATTATAAAGTATTCGACATAAGTCGATGTCAATATTTACCTTAACTTCCCCGCCGGGCGCTTTGTACATGACATAATCGAGTCCGTTAGTGCCGTAGCTAATGTGATACTCCTGAACGAACTCCTGTGAGTGTTGCCGGCCCTGCGTGGCCACGCGCGTGATGTTCTTCACTGTGCCCAGGTCAATGATCAGCTGCTGATCGAAATCGTTCTCTGACGCTGTCCACGCGTTCAAACCTTATCGAAATTGGTTCAGTTACTAGCGACGTTGGCTCTCATTGTTCATAGAAGACTTCGACGTCGGTTAATAATACGACACTTCACTTACATAAATTTTATTATTCAAGAATAATTCCAACCCAATTTATAACAAAGAAAATAAACAATTATACTTAAACATACAAAAATAATTAAAACAAAATAACACCTTGTTCCTTAACATAGCAAAAAACACAAACAAAAAACTTATATGTTTTTAACATCTTTAGCGAGAAAATTATTTGCAAAAGTGACATCTGGTTCGACAAATGGTTTAGCTTCTTTGACAATGTCTTCAAAAGATAATATTTCATACATAGCAGGTGCTATAGTTTCATCTTTAACCTGTAGTGAGGTAGCCACAGCATGTTTCTCATCGAGCAAAGTCTCTTCAAACCTCCAATCAGATTTCAGCACATTATTCACATACAATTTTGTATCGGTCACAATTTCGCCAACTTTTAATGGTGATTTAATATTAAAACTTATTTTATCCAGAGCTACAGTTATACCAACACCTATATTCTTTACATAACTCTCTTTCAAGCACCACAATCTATAAAAGCAAGCAATCTGCTGAGCTTCTGTGGGATAACTGTATATAGTTGACCATTCATGATCAGACATCTGTCTTTTCATGAGTCTAAAGAACTCCGGTAAGTTTTTATTTACTGGTGGTTCTATTTTCATGGTGTCGATACCAATATTCTGTTTAGTGTTGCCAGCTAGAACAACATAATCTCCCTGATGTGATACATTGAAGTAAGCTGGTATATCACCAGCACCAATAAGATATGGCTTCCTATGTTCATCCCGACCAAATCTAATATTTTCATAAGGAATGTCAAGCATCAGATGAACACATCTCCGTAACATGAGGCGTCCTATAAATGATGATTTTGCATCATCTTGGAATACAAATCTTGATATTCTTTGTTTTTCTTCAGCCTGTATATATCTGGAGGCAGATAATACTTCATCGAGTGTTGGTTTCCAATCTTTGGCATTAAAAGCCCATCTTATGTTGACCCTTTCCATTGTCATAATATTCTCTTTGTATATATAGGTGTTTAAAGTTCTCCGAATTGTATAAATTATTTTAGTTGGAGTGTTGACCTGCAGAGGAATAATCCTATTTCAGGGTCCCTTATGCAAAACATTAACTTTTTCTCCATAAGGCTGAACAAAGAACACACAATTGCAAATCATGCAAAAAAATTATACTAGTAACATAACAAACTCATCTAAGAACTCATTGCTAATTGAAAAGAAAAAGTGACTGCAATACAATCATACTAACATAACATAGGAAAACTATAAAGGAAACCTCGAAATATATATATTAAAAATAATATTTTACATATACAAGCAAGCGTTGATAATTCTAAATAATATTTAAAAACTAAAATATAGCTATATGATCCGTAATGTATCTTACCAAGCAACTTAGCATTCTCGGGTCCTCTGTCTCTCAGACTGGAAGTAGCGGTGAGTTTAGCTCCCTCGATTAAAGGCTCATTACATTCGTAGTCGTAATAATATCTTGCTAATTCTTTAAAATAAATACAATGAAAATGTGAGTTTAAGTATCTTCATATGTAACGATATTTATTTGAACATAAACTATTAAACTCACCTGCTTTAGTACAAGAAAGAGTGTAGCAAAATAGCAAAATATTATAAAACACGGAGTAAGTCATCATAATTTCATATTTATTAAATCGATTAAGTTACTACAAGTACAGTATCAGTCAAAAAATCAAAAAGATTTTAGAGATTTGTTTGATCATTACGTTCGGCGTTGTCACAGTGTCACATTTATAAAGCCGGACAACACCCAAGTGCGTTTCCTATGCCAACGAATTTCTATGAATGTAACTTTATAAGCACGTTATTGGTCCATTCTTACAAATTGTGTGATAGCCAATGAAAGAATTTTCAAAACTATAATGGAAAACTAATATTTCATAACAAACATTAAATCGTTTCTTTTTAAAGATTTTATGAAATTTGTATATTTTATTTAAGAGTCTTATTTTCCGTCAACAATTCAAATAAGAATCACATTTTTGGATTTCAATAATTTAATTGGTATGTAACTTTAACCAGAAACCTATCTTGTGGCAACACTCGTTTCTTGTCTTAGAAAATATATGTCGTCCGTCTGCATATACATTAGTATTTAGTGGGACACCAATTTAATTATTGATAAATTCTTGCTATAATCATTTCAATTACATCTTAGACCCAATTTAGTGATAAAGTGAATATCGTGAGCCGAAACGAAAACATAAAATAAATTCAAATAAGCCTGAATAATTTTCTCACTTCAGACACTTTCCCGTTAAGTCGATCAATATTTACGCCACGTTTTTCGGCGTTTTATACATATAAATATTGATCAAGAATGTTGGAGTGAGTTCTGAATATCTGTTAATCAAAAGGTAAGCTTTCCACTTAAGGTAAAACATGAGTCATAATTATTGTAATGTTGATGCCATAGCATAAGTACGTCAAAACGGGTCCTGCCCATCTCACCATAATGAAAATCAATAAATGTCAGTATACGAACAACATATTATGTTTTTATATTGCCGCATAGAAATAAACAAAAATTTTATATAACTCTGTATTTTCAGCAAACTCTTGAATCATTACAATACCAACACCAAAGTATTTTTTCTTTGTAAATGTTTATGCAAACACTAAAGTTGCCTAATATCTTTGCCGGATTATAGGCTTTACGAGATTATAGATTTTTTATATTAAACCTAATTGAAATTAGCGTTTACAAAACATTTACATATTGTTAGTTAGCATAATAATTATCGTAAACATTTTTTCATTAGGGGAGAAGTAAGTATGAAACGTAATTAGTATTTCTTCAATAAATCACATCAATTGCACATAATAAATCAATAAAATATATTTTTACATAGAATCAGATAGTTTTTTTAATATATAAATTTACAACGAACTTCAGTATTACACAGTTTAATATTTTTGAATGCTATGAAGTTACTTTGTCATATTTTAAAATCATATAGATATTTATAACAAATAGTTATAATATGTATACACAGGGTGACTGGTGAATTACTATCGATACTTGAGGACGTGATATTTGACGATCATATATGACAAAATAAAAATGAATATAACATAAATATTAATAAACTTCTAAGTAAAGTAAACAAAAGTTATGTAATTAATTACGCATCGTGTGAACACCCTACAGACTAGGTATACACACATACGCGTGAGGGGGCGTGGTGTTGTATCAGTACGCCGCCGCACGCGTCCACACTTGGAACGTGTCCACACTTTATTTATGTATACGCAAATTTGGTCAAAAATTAAGTACCTATTTTTTTACATAATTCGAATGAGAATCATGTACCGAGTACTCTCCTCAAATATTGATAGTAATTCACCAGTCACCCTGTATAGTTAAACAAAATAGACCCCAGAAATACTTTATGCTGAATTAGGCTAAAAACTTAATTTATTTACTTTTTAACAATTTGCGTGGATCTTATTGGTCTAATTAAAAAGTTTATGTCTGTACCTAACATACCTCTTGTCTTGGTAATTCCAGTTTGATTCTCAAGCTGTTTTCTTTGAGATGTGAATAATCACATGATCATCTAAAAGTGTTGTTGTAGCTTGAAGGATTAAAAAAACACTTAATAATCGTTAATTAAAAGCGATATATCTCCCTGAAAGTTAATAGTTATTTACCCTTAAAGTGGAGATGTTTTTTTCTTTTATTTATGACTGAAACCTTAAAATTTCAGAACAAATCATGTCGAGCATGTCAGATAGAAAGGCTGAGCTTGAACGGAAGAAGGCCAAGCTACAGGCCTTGAGAGAAGAAAAGGATCGCCGCAGACGTGAGAAAGAACAAAAAGATGCTGAAGAAGCATTGGTAAGAAATATTATGAATGGATATTTGTTCTAAGAAATATTTGAGATGTTACTAGAGCATGGTTTAGTATTGCAATTCAAAAATATTTAAATAAGTTTTAACTAGATAGTTAATAATAATAAGTGGATGTCTACCAAATATTAATAATCCCAGATATATAGTTAAATAGAATAGAAAATAATGGAACTACTATATGAATTAATCAAGTTTACTGTGTTTGAGACTTTACACATAGAATTAGGCTTTGGGTTATTCACTAAGTTAAAGGAAAGCTAACTCTACTCTACTAGGTTTAAGTGCAACTGCATTAGCTACCTCTCCTTAAATTACAATGATAACTATAACTCTTGGCATATTTTTCTTAGAACTTTGAACACTACACCAGTAGATAAATGTCAAACCTTAAATTTTTCCCAAAAAACAAATCCTGCACTTGATTTTACTCCTTTTTTCCCACATTAAAGTACTTATTGTTAGTGTCTTATTAGACTTTAGCTAATAAAAAGCTGACTATTGCTTAAACTGTGTTCTTAAAATTGGATATTCAAGTGATTTTATATAACAGAAATATATGTAGGTACTCCTTGGTTTGTATTATATAGTAAATCATAAAAAATATCAATATTTGAATAAGTTATTTTAATAATTTGTGTCTTCTGTTAACAAAGTGTTTAAATTTAAAACAATTTACATATGTGCTTCCAATGAGAATAAATCTTTCAAAAATTTCTTTTTAATGTAAATTGTAAACATAACACAGTGTACATAAAGTTATCTCAACTTTTTCTCTACAATATATACTATAAAATATATGACAAAGTCAATACAAGAACCATAAAATGGTCTTGAATCACCAAGTTTCAGTAGTCCTGGAAAGCTAAAACAACTGGTGTTGGTCTTTCCTCATAGCTTATATTTTTAACATAACTCACTCACATGTCTCAATAATATCTTAGGGGCAATTCAAGTATTACGTAAGCAGGTTTATTACAATTATTTACCCCCCATTCCCCTTGTCAGCAAAAATAATCACAGCTTATTTACTTACTTACCCCCTCCCCCCATCTTACGTAAACATTTTCAATTACTGTTTTGTTTTTTTTTTTTTCATATAAATCCAGAAACAAATTATAATTACATTTTTTTATGGATCTTCTCGATGTGACGATTAAAAAGTAAATAACTACCGATGACGTATTCAAAACCTTTTTTTTCGGGGAGAAATCCGCTTACAGACTACCCACTGCCCTGGCTCGACAGTGGGACTTGTGTGGGGGTCGCCCAGAGCCTGATGTTGTTGGCCCTGGGAATACCCACTAAAACTCCCCGTCTTCTCTTCCTGCCCGTATTTGGGGGCGATTTGGGACCTGCTATGGCAATTCACCAATTCACCCCCGGGCTGCCCAGCTCTGTGCCGGGCTACCGCGCCGGTGGTGGATTATACCGGGAGAGCCGAGATAATCCCCAGACGTGTTGACCACGTGCTATGCGTGCCTCAGAGCCACTTGATGCAGGCTGGTCGAACCTCCAGGTCGAAGGTTACAGGTTTACCCGTCTCCTCCGACCCGTACGTGTACGCCGGAGGGGAGCGGCTAGAGCATCCTCCTCACGCTCCCTCTCCGCAGCTTCCTTCGCCGACATTACTACTTCGGCGAAGCAAGCAGCATCCTCCCAGGCCTCCTGGCTTCCAACCATGGCTTTCACCATGTTTGGAAGCGACAGGATCCTCCAGCTGAGCGCCGCAGTGAGTACACGGCGCTCATTTCTCCGTGCCGGGCACACTAATAGGGTGTGCTCGGCAGTATCATCAGGATCGCCACAGTGGTGACACTGCGGTGACGTATTCAAAACCTAGACTCCCCTACCCTCCATGTCATCCAAAATGATCAAACCAAAGACCCCCCCCCCCCCCCCCGCCCCTCCATAGTGCTTACGTAATACTTGAACGGCCCCTTATACATTATGTAATGTTCGTGTGTGTCTCCCAGGCGCGTGCGTCCACAGCGTCTAGCGCGGACTCCCGTCGTGATCTGGATGAGATGCTGTCATCTCTAGGCGTGGCGCCGGTGAGGGATGTGCTATCTTCACTATCTTCGCTGGCCTCCCTCACTCCGCCGCAGACCGCCTCCCCTGACGCGAGCCTGCCACACGCCGACCGAGCATCTGTACCTGCTAACACGTATGTATAAACCAGCAGATGGGAAATGTCAATATCCAAAGACAAAAGAACAGCGATATTCCAGAGATGTCTCTGGATTTAGAAATATGGCACTGGATATAAAAGAAATAGTGATTTAGGCTTGCTCATGATTAGATGTCAGCTACAATAGTTTCTATGAGAGCAGTTCCCATCGCTGGCCACCTTATATAGTATCAAGACTACACCTGGACTTTACCAACCTATATGTACATTTTTCTACCATTTAAGGAGATTCTGTAGTAACATATATCTATTATTATATTCCAGAGGTAGCAAGAAGCCGCCTCAGCTACAAGTGGTATCAGTGCAGTCAACAGACATCCCTCCCAAAGAGAATGTAACATACGCCAAGCAGACACAGACCAACACCTCGGGAGTTACCGAGCTAAGAGATGGTACGTTGATAACATACATACATACAGCTGACACTAAAACCATATAAACATGTTAACAATCAAATGGGTGTGATACATCACATTACTTCATTACACTCCATAATTATCATTGACATTTAATATGATAACTATGAAGTGTAATTTTGAGTTTTTTTTTGTGTAAATGTGAATATAATTTTTTTATACTGGATGATATTCCAGGAGACAGATTCTCAAATTATATTTGTTGTATTAGAATAATGTTAGCTGAAAATTTAATTTTAGTGGAATAGATAGTAAATAATGAAATATTGTCAACACAAGTTGGTTTTAAACCTCCGTACACCTCTCTTAGGTGATCTTAAAGCTTGTGAGAAGGAATTTTTCATTTCCTATTATCAATGTTTTCCACTTCAAAAAATTTGAGAGTCTGTCCAACCAAAAATAACTGTGATGTCTGGGTGATGGTTTTAACAAATCATTTGCAAATATTTAGATATTTTTTTTACAACTAGAAATGAATATAATTAGTTATTCAATATTTTTAATTTCATTATTTTATCATCATTTCAATACAAAGTATTTGCGAATGTGACCATGTCTGTGGTAACCGAACGACATCTGTAGTTACAAGCAGTATTTACTTTTCTATAAACATTTAGTTCCGGCCCGCCTGTAGTCTCAATTTATTATAAACCATATAGATAAAGAAAAAAAATAGAAATATCTTTTTTTTATAGTCCATTATTAGTGGCCTTAAAGCTTTTTAATCTGCCTATACATTAAAAAGTTTATATAATAGTTCATATATTTTATGAGAGCTTTGTTTTAAATTTAGAATTTTCTTGAATAATAAATTCTGACTACTGTTTTCGCGCTATTTTTATTTGTCAGCTTGACGTGTTGTCTGAGAAGTTTCTATATGTGAGTTGATAGTTTATTAAGTTCGATACAAGGATTGAATACAAAGCAAAAGTAAATACTGTGTGAGTTAGGTGTAATGTTTGTTTGTGCTACCATAAACAAGGCTGCTCTTCCAATGCATCGCCGCTTGCAGGATACATGGAGGACTGGTGGCGGCCCCGGAAAGGTAAAAACTTTATTATTATTAACATTTATTTACAAAGATTTTTAATTCACGTCATGCATGAGGGGGGCTGAATATTTTTACCTTAACGTTTTTTAAAAGGGGTCTACATCAGCATGTAATTTATTGTGTACTAAAACCGCGGATGCTTTTATAACATTTTAATGTCGAAAATAATTTGTGGAATTTTATACATAAAGAAAACATTAAAAAATAAAATTGAATATAAGTTTTTAATTTGTATCAGTTTAATGTTTGAAAATATATTTTAATTGTTAGTATGTACCATGTGAATATTTGTTCTGATGTATTTTTAATTTCTGTCCGTCTAGCGCACGCCACTGACTTCTACGGTGAGTCATCATCCCTCCTCCCAGTAACCTAACCCCCTCTCGATCATTAACTCGGTGTCGGTTCTGTTACATCGTGTCTGTACATATTCTGTCCCTGAGTCACGCTTCTAGAAGTTTCCTACTAACATTTCCTAGATAAAGTTAGACCAGATGTCATGAATCTGGCGGGCACGTAGCGCATATCGATCTGTACGCATCGCGTGATGCTCTACACGTACCGAGGACGTGGCTTCCAGAGTTCTCCACGTGTCCACGTCACACTGTATCATGTCTGGTGAAGGGTAACACTAACTGACCGCACAGCTCTTAACATGGGACCCCTTCTGTGCGACTGTACGACTGACGTCACAGCTATGACGTCACAGCTGCTTGTTATATATATATATATATACGCCAGTCCTACAGTCGCACGTGAACGTCGTCCCGCCGGGTACCGCTGTAGGTGGAACACCTCGCTGTTATATGTATAGAACATATATATATATATATATTTTATAATGTATGATGGTCGAAAGATACTGACATTGTTTTTTTGTTTTCCTCCCTTTTTCAAGACGAGTACAATCTAAACCCGGGTTTAGAGTGGGAGGACGAGTTCACAGGTAGGTTCACACTCCGCATCATATACTGGTCTAGACTAAACCCCGCCCTGGTAGAGCCTGTGCCACTGTCACTCAGCATGTTTGTTCCTTACCCTATAGTCTATATATGTTGAGTAACGCTATATACTACTATATGACTACCGTACCAGCTAACAATAACATTTAACTCAGCACATATTATTATTATGTAAACACACATATATACCATAGACAATGTTTTATAGTCTGTGTGTGATTACATTGATTTTGATATGACATTATATTATCTGTATGATAATTCTATAGTGTATGTTCATGTTTGTTGCATGCGACAGAACATGATAGTGTTGCATGAAGTATATAATATACTGCATATTATATATATGACGCGTCTCTCGCTCGTGGAGAGCTCGGGAAGATTTTGTTTTGCATTCAATAAGTTTATTGTTAGCTTACTGTCACGATCAATACGCTTCTTATACGTGTGTGTGTTCCGTAGTTACATTATACATAGTGTCCCGTGTGTCTGGTTTAAAGTTACACAAACACTCACTCATTCTATATAAATATAACAGGGAAGAATAATGCAGTGATTTTATTATAAATAATTATTGAATATTAATTTTTACTTTTTAAAAAGTATATCATCAATATATTAACCAGAGTACAACGTGTCAAATATTTTTTCCCTTTCGAGCTGCTAATGAGAGTACCATAAGTCACAGTGAACATATTTCTGTCATTCATTACATGAGATGTAAGAGATCACTGCTTCAGTAAACGTCTGCCAAAAACATGAAAGAATTGAAATTTTAATATAATAATCATTATGAAAATAAACAAGATGTTAATCACGAGTATATTTGAAAAACTAATCCATTGTACTCTTCAATAAGTTCAGTTTAAATTTTTCATTCATTAGTCCAATTACTAACAGATTCTTTACGAAAAAAAACTAGTCTCTTTTTAATATAGCGGTTAGTTTGAGGACATACAATATACTAAAGTTTCTGATACTGCAATAAAAAAATCGTCGCTTATAATACACGTGATAAAAATTAAATTCACGTATGACATTATGTACAAGTTTACTAGCAATAGTCATTGTTTTATCGGTAGCTCAATTAATAGAAAGAAAAGGCATTGGTAACAAGTGTAAGGTAAAAACTGAAAATTTTCCCTGAGCCTTTGTCTAATGCAATGTTTACCAAAGTGTGCGGTAACGACCCATTATACCTGCTACAGCCTTAAGGGGGGGGGGGGGGTAAGAGACCCCAAAGGAAATGGTTGCTTTGTGTTAAGGCCTGGGGACTGATTTGTAATTTCATTTATCTGGAAAAGTTATTGTGGTATATTGGCGAAGAAATGGTGGCGTTAAAAGTCATTTATTTTTAAGGTAGCACTTCACTTGGCGCTGCGTATTCGCTGTATTTGTACGTAGTCCAAATAGCGTAAACACGATACCCACACTTGGCATGCCAACAACACTTCTTTACGCGTTTTCGCTTATTTATGTATGTCTCTTATTTGTGCAAAAATATGTCAAATGTAGACGAATAAATTCTCTAAACATGGTCTTATTTTGCCGAGCACAACAAATAAACGCCAAGTGAAGTGCTACCTTTAAAGGAGGCAGTACAAAAAATAAGTTTGAAAACTCTTGACCGAAGGCATCATAATGTTAAAAAAAAGTCATAGAAATCATATCAAAGCATATCATCAAGTGTTATTTAACAACTAATTCTATTACATATTATTAAACTGAGTAAAAAAGGAAAATAAATCCTATAAAATCGTATATAACAATAATTTCAGTCTTACATGTTTTTGGCGTAGTGAATACAAGCGTGGGTCTAGACCTTCCAGAAGTCACGAGTATTAACCCCGCCAGTCGTAGATCATATCCGTAGTGCCAATATTACACAACGTTTCCTTTCACACGTAACACTGAGCACGTTTCATTGTGCCATGAAGTTATTTAAAACATTCAGAAAACACTTTGATCATTTTGACCTTAATAAACAATCTTGCGAACAATGAAACAGAGATACTAAACAGCTTCATGGTAACGAAAAGGGTACGACCGACTTACGAACTATTAAAAAAATGAATAGATGAAAATGTAACGAATGTTAAACGAACAAAGAGAAAGTCAGTCGTAAGCCAGAGGCGGCTTGCAAAGGGCCATTCTTATTCACCGTCCAGTGCTTACATTCGACGGTGATGGCGCGCGGCAAGGAGACGAAGAGGACGCCTTCCACGGGAAGCTGCCTCCGGGCATCCTGCCGCACGGACTGCCCACCGTGAAGGAGGTGCAGCCCGCGGTCACCGCCGCGCCCGCCGACAAGAAGGACGAGGAAAAGGAGAAGAAAGGTCTGCGAACTGTACTTGTATAGCTTACTAGCTCTCCGGCCGCAGCTTCGCCCGCGTGGAGCTCGGTTATATCGCGTTTCCAAGAGAACCTTTCAAAAGTCTGGAATAAAAACTATCCTATGTTCTTTCTCAAGGTCAACTCTATATCTGCACCAAATTTCATTAAAATCAGTTCAGCGGTTTAGACGTGAAAGCGTAAAAAACAGCGTAAACAGACAGACAGACAGAGTTACTTTTGCATTTATAATATTAGTAGGGATATGTCTCAACGGAAATAATATGTTGTATGTACTGGCAACAGTCCGCGAGCTGAGCAACGACGAGAAGCAGACGATCATGTTGTCGGCGGAGTTCCAGAAGTTCATAAGCAGAGCGGGGCGCGTTATAGAGAGGGCGCTGGCCGAGGAGGTGGACATATACACGGACTACACCGGCGGAGGAGACGGGGAGAACGCGCAGTGAGAGACTATATATACATACAGGGGAGTGGGGGGATTGGTTCACGTACATCACGAATATACTGAACGGATTTGGGTGAAACCTACCAATAATTTAACATATAAGAATTTTATATAGTATTAGACCAGTGCTGATAGCTTTTAAAACATAATTAAATTATAGTAGAATGAAACACATCAGAAAAGGAGGGGAATATTATAAAAATGAAAGGAAAAATAATTTACGGGCGATCTGAGGTCGGGAAGGCTATGGGCATGGATATTTAAGGGTAAAAAATGGGTTTTCTCGATTTCCGGCAAAACTAAAAGTCCTACAGAAAAAAATTATATGACAAAGTTGTAGGTAATAAAGAGATCTAAAACTTTTATACTAACATTTTTTCACATAACCTCAAGTTTTATGTAAAAAATTCGAAAAACCAAGTTTTTGGTTTTTATTTTTATATCTTCCAAAAAACAATTTTTTGTCACGAAATTTGGTGAAGTTTTAGCAGCTTAATGTAAATTTTCTGTAAATTACCTAAGAGAGTGACTATCTGGAGAACTTTGAGATTACACAACTATTAAAAATAAATTAGAAAGAGCAATTTCAAAACGATGTCGAGTGTCTCTTCATTAAAAGAAACATGATTACTTTATCCACAAATGGTACTGTAAGTAAGAAACTTATATTTTTTTCTTCTCCATCGGGAAAATAAAGATTTCAACAAATAGAAAACATACCGAATTTTTTAAAAAGCTGATATTTTGACGGGTGATTTTTTTTTTATTCAAAATGAGGCTGATTTTTCGGTATATATTCAAAATAAGCTAAAAAAATAAATATTTCTAATCAAATAAATTACAGTGCCTTTGGAACATCAAAAGGAAAGTTTTCACCAAATTTCGTGACAAAAAATTGTTTTTTGGAAAATATAAAAATAAAAACCAAAAACTTGGTTTTTCGAATTTTTTACATAAAACTTGAGGTTATGTGAAAAAAATGTTAGTATAAAAGTTTTAGATCTCTTTATTACCTACAACTTTGTCACATAATTTTTTTCTGTAGGACTTTTAGTTTTGCCGGAAATCGAGAAAACCCATTTTTAACCCTTAAATATCCATCCCCATAGCCTTACCGACCTCAGATCGCCCGTAAATTATTTTTCCTTTCATTTTTATAATATTCCCCTCCTTTTCTAATTAGTTTCGTTCTACTATAATTTATTTTCACTTTTCATTATTTTTAAAGGCATGTGTACTGGCCTATATGCCCGATATCACGGTCTAATATTGTATTGCTTATGAAGTCGTGACACAGGCGATAGATGTCACTGAATCTCCATTAATGCATGTTTTATTCTTGGCTCAAACTATACATTGTTAATAGTGAATCGTATCTCCCGTAGGGATGACAAGTCTGAAATATAGAAATGGCCTCGTTAATAGTAAATCGTATCTCCTGTTTCTCTCGTAGGGACGACAAGTGTGACGCGCGCGTGTCGCTGGTGCGCACGTTCAGTGACGAGCGCTGGTCGCGCGGGCGCTGCGTGACGTGCGTGGACTGGTCGGCCGCGCACCCCGAGCTCATGCTGGCCTCCTACCACAACAGCGATGACGCGCCGCACGACCCCGACGGCGTCTGCCTCGTGTGGAACACCAAGTTCAAGAAGGCCACGCCCGAGGACGTCTTCCACTGCCAGTCGCCCGTCATGAGCGCCACCTTCGCCAGGTACGGACACAGACACACACGGACAGACACTATTAATATAAAATATCTGGTCACCGAGCTTTGCTCGGTATTTAGGAATTTTTAGTATTTATTTTGTGTTTTTTTTTATTTTGTGTAGGCATTTTTAAGAGAACACTACAATAATAATTAATTTCTTAGTCTAACGTCAAAACAAACACTCAATGACTTCCTGTTACTTAACAACGCCATCTGCTGTTGTGTCGTTTAACTCTTAACCACCTATTTTTGTCCTTTAACCACCTACGTGCGGTAAACCTAAAATATTAAAATTTTACCTTTTTTTTCTTATTTCTATTAATTTGAATAAATCTTCTATATATATAAAAATGGATTGCTGTTCCTTAGTCTCGCTAAAACTCGAGAACAGCTGAACGGATTTATCTTATCTTAGTCTTGAAATGTTCTTGGAGGTTCAGGGAAGGTATAAAAGCTGAAAAAAATTGATTCATTACTGGGAAAACCATAAAAACAGCCCTTTCCAATTTCCCATACAAACGTTTTTTTTTTGACATTAGATTTGACAACTAACTAATATTATGTCAATCATTCTGTCACACTTCAAAACACGGAGATTTATGGCTTACAAGTAAACTCCAAAAATATAAATAAAAAAACATACTAGATATTTCTTTATTATAGGGCGATACGTAGTTCGCCAGGTCTTCTAGTTTATAATAAAATCAAATAAAAAAACGAAACAAAAAATAAAAAATTAAACAAAATTGCGACGACTCAAGTTTTACATTTTTGCGCAGCAGTAACAACACATTTTTAACAAAAATTCCAAAGAAATAGGTAGTTTACATACAAAACATAGGTAAGCCGTTTTGTGTTTCCTTTATATATCATACGTTTGGTATTTTGATTTCATTAGTCTTATTTCATTATTTGTGTGTAGTAAAATTTTGTCCAAAATCTCATCCGTAAATAAGAGAGAAACTCCAAATATCAAGTGTTCTAGTAGAATTATTAAGAATACCCACTTAGGTGGTTAAGGGTTAAACAATTATTAAAAGCAATTAGCAAAAAGTAGTATGTATTACTATTCGCCAATAGATGTCAGAAAGAGCCCTATTTTAAACGCCTCCTTTTTGTTATTTTTTTTTCTTCATAAAATGTCGTTTTCTAAAAATGATTCCTTGCTAGATCGATTTATCGCCCCCGAAACCCTCTACATACCAAATTTCATGTAAATCATTGGAGCCGATTCCGAGATGCCAATTATATCTTTATATATACAGATATATATACAAGAATTGCTCATTTAAATATATAAGATAATTCGATAGGACTTCACTTCGACACATTGAATGTTATGGTTCAAAACTCGCTTTGTCTACACCATAAAAATCTCTTTGTCTCACAAATCTTGTTTTGGAGTATCAATATACTATAATCTGATTATAATATCTAGTTATGTACACGTGTTTGTTTCAAATATCTCGACAAATCTTTCGTCACATTGAAGGTTGTCGGCCATTCACTTGATCTATACCATAAAAATAAAAAAAATAATGTAAAACTCAGTAGAATGCTGTTCCAGCGTTTCCAAAGATGTTTAATTATGAACGTAACCTTATTATCCTACTAATATTATAATTGCGAAAGTTTGTGAGTGTGTGTGTATGTTTGTTACTTCTTCACGCTCAAACGGCTGAAGCGATTTTGATAAAATTTTGTATACAGGAAGCTGAAGTCCGGGAATAACACCGCGGGGCGCAGCTAGTAATATTATATATGTATGTCTCTCCAGATTTCACCCTAACTTGATCCTGGGCGGCACGTATTCGGGACAGATCGTGTTGTGGGACAACCGAGTACAGAAACGAACGCCCGTACAGAGGACGCCGCTCTCCTCACAGGCGCATACTGTAACACTCAATACTGATTTAATACTAACTAACTTTAAAAATCATTCTACAGTTATGTATGTATGTAGTGATAAAAAGCCGAAAATACCTTACATCATTTTGTACATTAAGTGATACTTGTACTGCTGGACTAGGAACTAAACTTTACTAAGAACCATAACAAGGAAATCGACTTTCAAACGAAGAAAAAATGCATTGAAAACAATATGTTAGAGTCTCATTCATTATTATAGATGTAGTATAATAGTATTGTCCAAAACCATCGTTAGTCAGCGGTGTACTTATATTTATTTTCAAATTAAATCAAATATTACTAAACTAAGAAGCGTCACATATAAACAATCGTACATATCAGTATGAGTGTAATACACTCTATCTATATCTATATTGGTTTATATTCCAGCATCCAGTATACTGCCTGTCGGTTGTAGGCAGTCAGAACGCCCACAACCTGATCTCAGTGTCTACGGACGGCCGCATGTGCTCGTGGTCATTAGACATGCTGTCACAACCGCAGGAGACCATCGAGCTGCAGCACAGGCAGGGCAAGGCAGTGGCAGTCACCGCCATGGCATTCCCGCACGGAGATGTTAATAACTTCGTGCTGGGCAGCGAGGACGGGAATATATACACCGGTGACTAGACACACACTCACACACATATACACACTAATACACCGGTGACTACACACTCACATATATACCGGTGGCTACACACACACACGCACACGCTAATACACTGACACGCTCACTGAAGAGTCGAATATATAAATAAAAAATAATTGTGCCTTAGTTCCTCCGCTCGGAAGAAGTGAAACTTTATACAGTTGGATTAAAAACAATTTTGTTGGAAAGGGTAGAAACATATTTTTTAAGGAATATTTAGTATTTCTTCAAGAAAATCTTTATTTACATGACCAACAAGTTACAAGTAGGCCAGTGCAGAAGCCTTTAAAATTAATTAAAGTGAAAATAAATTATAGCAGAATGAAATTCATTAGAAAAGGAGTGGAATATTATAAAAATTAAAGGAAAAATAATTTACGGGCGATCTGAGGTCGGGAAGGGTATGGGGGTGGGTATTTAATGGTAAAAAATGGGTTTTCTCGATTTCCGACAAAACTAAAAGTTTTACAGAAAAAAGTTATATGGCAAAGTTGTAGGTAATAAAAAGATCTAAAAATAAATTAAAAAGAGCATTTTCAAAACGATGTCGAGTGTCATTTCATTAAAAGAGACATGATTATTTTATCCAAAAATGGTACTGCAAGTAAGAAACTTATATTTTTTTCTTCAACATCGGAAAATAGAGATTTCAACGAACAGAAAACACACAAAATTTTTAAAAATAGCTCTTATTTTGAAGGGTGATTTTTCGATTGAAAATGGGGCTGATTTTTCGGTATTTACTGAAAATAAGCTGAAAAAATAAATATTTCTAATCAAATAAATTTTAGTGTATTTGTAACATCAAAAGGAAAGTTTTCACCAAAGGTGACAAAATATTGTTTTTTGTAAGAGATAAAAATAAAAAACCAAAATTTGGTTTTTCGAATTTCCACATAAAATTTGAGGTTACGTGAAAAAAGTGTTAGTACAAAAGTTTTAGATCTTTTTATTACCTACAACTTTGCCATATACCATTTTTCCGTAGGACTTTTAGTTTTACCGGAAATCGAAAAAAACACAATATTTACTCTTAAATATCCACCCCATACCCTTCCCGACCTCAGATCGCCCGTAAATTATTTTTCTTTTAATTTTTATAATATTCCCCTCCTATTCTAATGAGTTTCATTCTACTATAATTTAATTATGTTTTAAAAGCTATCGGCACTGGTCTAAAGTCACAATTGATTTCCTCCATGCGTCTCGTATTCCCTCTCGCTCTATCTCGTGTTATAAGTGACTTAAACGTTGAATTCAACCTTGTTGAAAGTCTCATATGAAGTTTCACTTCAAAAACATTGACAATTTCAACCGAATTCATTTATCCGAGATGTATGTTATTTGTGTTTCAATATTTCCAAGACAGATTGTCCACTCAATCTAACGTTTAATCGGTGACAAAGCCACATAGGAATACCTTAAAACTTAATATCCATTATTTATTATAAATCTACCCCATATATAAAACAGTATGTTACTCAAAGTACTACCAGAACTAAATGGACATGGAACATTGATTGTGCTGAAAACATTGTCATAAAACACTACACTAGTGCTCACGCTCCTAGTATTATGTTGAACTCTATATTAAATACATGAATATATTTAGTTCAAAAACTATCAAACTACAGAAATTTAAATAGAAAATCTAAGAGTAATTCTCATATGTTTTATATATGTATTGTATGTATTGTATAGTATTAAAAGGTTATTATTTTATATTCTGTTCACGACGTTACATTCCTAGTGTTGTATAAGTATGTCGTTTGTGTCAGGTTGTCGTCACGGTCAGCGTGCGGGCGTGTCAGACAGCGTGGAGGGTCACGCGGGGCCGGTCACGTCAGTGTCGTGTCACGCCGCGCCCGCCGCGCTCGACCTCTCACACCTCTACCTGTCAGCCTCCGTCGACTGGAGCGTCAAGCTGTGGAGTCTGAAGGTTCATTGACCTCTACCTTACATCCTACACGGCCCTCACATTAAGTATTTTATACTCGGTACTTGATACTGAATGCACTACAGAGCAAGACTTTAGTTCTACAAGAATAATCGGGTCCTTAATTCCCAAAGACTGTTGATGTCAGGCAGGCGGCCAGTCGTAAAAACAATTAGCCAAAACTGTTCACAATATGTAAGGCGGACCCTGGCTAAAGCTGGGAAATTGCCAGGTGGAAGAAAAAGAATCGGGTCCTTAATGCTTGAAATGATCTATGCTGAAAGTATTTTACTAGTTAAAAACGATCTTCACGAATGCCGTTTTTCATTTTTGTTTACACGAAACTCCTAGTTGGGTTATGTGATACAACTAATTATTAACCTTAATGTTACTTAAATCTCAGTCACTCATGAAACATATATCTTACATGTATTACGTTAAATGTAAAGAAGTCATAGCTACCATACATTATGTTACGCTTTAGTTTTGCTAGATCTATATCGTTACAATAAAATATTGTATATAACTCATGTGCATGTCACGAGACGTTAGACATCAGATTAAGGGACCATGAAAAAAAGTTCGCTTCAAGTTCCCCCTTGCTTAATCCGACATTGAATATAACATATTGCACTATAATATAAATTATAAATAATAGTTAGCTTCACCCTGTAACACGATAGATGTCGCTGATTCAGTGTAATTGTATATTACAAGTGTTAGTGACCGTAGAGTGTATGTTCCAGGAGAACAAGGCGTTGTACTCGTTCGAGGACAGCGGTGACTACGTGTCGGACGTGCGCTGGTCGCCCGCACACCCCGCGCTGTTCGCGGCCGTGGACGCGGGCGGCCGGCTGGACCTGTGGAACCTCAACAGGGACACGGAGGTCTGACGCGCACACACACACACACACACACACACACACACACACACACACACACACACACACACACACACACACACACACACACACGCACGCACGCACGCGCGCACGCACGCACGCACGCACACACACACACACACACACACACACACACACACACACACACACACACACACACACACACATAGAGATATACAAAACTCATTACACTCAAGAATCTTTAAGATGAAGCTTATAAAGCAGATACAGAAACGTATATCTCTAATACAGTAGAAACTCAATTATCCGGCTCTCAGTTATACGGATTCGCGATTATCCGGACTACGGACAAGAAAGAATGGTAAAGCGTAAGAGAGCGGTGTTGTTGAGAGTGGCGTACGTCAAATGACAATTACCAAATTTTCTAAACCAAATTAATCTTATTATTTTATTTCATGATTAAAATCTGCAGTTTTTAGTACATACATATGGTATGTATGAATATGTAATCTAAGAAAATGTATCCTTTAATTATTTATTGAAAAATATTGATTTTCGTTGGTATGTATTTGTTACTTTTTTTACATAAACTAAATACTACGTATGCACAAAACCGGCTTTTCTTCATACATTCGATTATCCGAATGCCTATCGACAACAATTAGTCCGGTTAATCGAGTTTTTACTGTAGCTACTTTACATTGAACTTTAAAATGTAAGTGAAGATTGTATTATGTAGTTGTTAATAATGTTTGACTGTGTCGCCGCCAGGTGCCGATAGCGTCGGTGATGTCGGAGGGCGGCGTGGCCTTCAACCGTGTGTCGTGGAGCCCCAGCGGCACGCACATCACTGTCGGGGACGACGCCGGCAAGATATGGGTCTACGATGTGGCAGAGGTCCTTATATAAACATACATCAAGAACATATAACACATTGGAAGACGATACATAATAGTACTGACAGTGTAGTGCATGTGTATTATTGATTCCCAGATGATTGATGTCAGGCAGACGACCGGTCATAAAAAACAATTAGCCAAAACTATTCACAACATGTGAGGCAGACCCCGGTTAAAGCTGGGAAATTGCCAGGTAAAAGAAGAAGTGTAGTGCGTGTGTAATTGTGAGCTTATATTGTTAACAGAACGTGGCCCAGCCGCGACAAGACGAGTGGACCAAGTTCGTGTACACGCTGCAGGAGCTGAGGAACAACCAGGCGGACGAGGAGACGGACCGGCTGAGCCTGGCCAGCGGACCACCCTCGCTCTCCAGCCTCACCTCGCTGGCCAGCAACCCGCTCAGGTGACGCGCGCACACATACACACACACACACACAGTCAGTCAGTGGTGGCCTAGTGGTTAAAAAGCCCGCCTCTCATGCACGAGGGCGCGGGTTCGATCCTATCCCTGGCAAGTACCAATGTAATTTTTCGGAGTCATATGTATTTTCTAACAGTATTTAGACATCACTGATTAATGCATTCCCAAAGGGTTGATGTCAGGCAGGCGGCCGGTCGTAAAAACAATTATTAGCCAAAACTATTCACAACATTTAAGGCAGACCCTGGCTAAAGCTGGGAAATTGACAGGTAGAAGTTAATAAATATGTCTATTTGATAATGTTTTTTGTCAATTATATCTATTAAGACAGTTAATAATAAAAAAACTAACAGAATAATTTTGTAGAAACATTAAATGTTGAAGAAAATAGAGCTTAATTCTTTATGCATTACTTAAACTATCATGAAAGAAAATGACAATGAAATAAAAAGATTATATTATAGACACAAACGTGAAAATAATTAGGTATATATTGTTAATTGCAAACCTAAATATTATATAATCTTTGTTAATGATGAACTTTCCAGATAACTGCTGCATTGGGATGTTCGCTGCGGGTGGAAGCTGTAAGGAGACAGCTTCATAATGGAACTGACAGATGTGTTATAAAGTGATTTGATAGAGATTTAATCTGAAGTCTGATATGATACATAAGGAATGTAATGAGAGTCAAGATTGCCCGCTGTGAATTGAACTAATAGACTTTGATTGTTTGGCAGATATATCCATACATATTATTCAGTGTTAAAATTTTGCTGTTTCCTATTCAAGTAGTTATCGTTAAATGTTATGCAACTACATATTTACAGCACAAAATCTTCATTTTCACTTCTTGATATTGTACTAACTCAAAGCAGCTTATTGTAAGTAAAATTCTACTTTAGGCGACCAGATGTAACTATTCTTTTTATTATATACTAAGTAACTTAGTGTTATAGATGTTATATTTATTTATAAAATGTTAAGCTGGTACTTAGTATGCCTTGTAACACTATAATAAATCTACTGCTTATGAAACTCGTATTATTCTTTCACACTATTCAACAATTTAAGTGATATATGTATAATAATGAGGAATTTGTAGTCTAGTAACAGAAATAATTATGTTACCATCACATCTTTATAAGATGTACTCCTGCAAAGCTACACTTTTTAATAGTTTTTAGGATATCTTAATGTTGCAAATTCTTCATATTTATTACAAGAAAACCTAGAAATAAATATAAAGTTATGATTTTTCACATAAACAGCAACAGCAATACATTAAATTTAATGTATTAAAATTCTTAACAGTGATCACGGGCAGACAAGATGAAGTGTCCGTCTGTTAGATTATTAATATAAAAACAATATATTTAAATAAATTATTTATTACTACAATGAACATTATTACATGTTATTAATTCACTCAGGACTAAAGGGAATTGCAACTTTTCCTTTGGATAAGTTAACTTCTTCCCAGCATGAACACGACAGTGTCTTCCTATCCATTATATCAGTGTAGAGTTTGCCGTCTAAATGATCCATTTCATGTTGAGCTATCCTCGCTCCCCAACCTTTAAATACTTGTGATATGGCCTCACCTTCTTCATCATAACCTGATAACATAATATTTTGTGATCATATATTTTCACTAAAACAACTAATGTTTTATGTAATAAATGTTACTCACCTGACACCTGCACTTCTTTATATCTAGCAACATCAGCTGAAAACGATCTGATACTCTCACAAGCCTCGGGATGAATAACTTTTTGGTAATCAACCACTTTGAGTACGGGATTGATGAATACCTACAGAAATAAAAATTATAATGTTTTGAATTAAGAAATTAATATACACAACATATACCGGGTTACTTACGTACAGTAAGCGGAACAGCACTGATTTGTCGCTGTTTAATCAATTCAGAAGGTAATGAAGCTATTTGTTTCTCTGTATGTCTCATAACAAATAGCCTCATATTGATTCCTATCTGAGGAGCAGCCATTCCCACACTTCCATATTTATATAATACATACTTGAGAGCTTGTACCACCATTCGAACCTCATCGCTTTTTATTTTATCCACTGGCACCGGTTCCGCTGCTTTACGCAATATAGGATCTCCTATTTGTACAACATGCTTGTATGGTGGCTTCGATGGACCTCTGGAAGGCGCTAATTTGGCGTACCAATTAATAGCTTTTCGAAGGACACCCATTTAATTATTGATTTTTTTTTATGTTATAAGGATTTTCAGATAAACTTGTAACCTCAACAAACTTGAAATGTCATATTTGAAAGTTTGTTTATGTCAAACTCGATAGAGACCTACTTTTTTTTATTTATGCATCGATTTCATTCACATAAGAATTGTGGACTTTCCTTTTAGATTCCAATTACATTTTTATCAACACCTAGAAAACTAGACAAAAATTCATATATAATAATGGAAAAAAATTAGTTACAACAGTTATGATAATGTACTTAATTACAATTGTTAAAGAAAACTAGTTATAAATATTAATTTTAAGTATGTAAAATCATTAAATTACAAAGTAAGTCTATAAACTAAACTACAACAAATACTTTATATTTATTGGTCGGGATAAAACCGTCATCCAGGCCACATTTACACAATGATGAGTGATCTCATATTAAAATTTAATATACATACATGAACTACAATACTATTATTTCCTAGTATGGCCAATCTCTAAAAGACTTATTGTAAATGATACGGAGTGGTCGGCTTGTTTGTACGACAAAAAATAAGTATTAGGAGAAAGATCTGGTTTATGTAGATACATTATATGTCGATCTTGAGTAGTTATGTAATCTTTAATAACCTTTAATAGGGACCATTGAGAATAACAACATTTATTGTGGTAAATTTTAGCTACTCCTTCAAGATAATGTGTATCATCGTCGTATTAGCCAAGAATATAGGTTATTTGAATGGTCTGTTTGACCGCGTAGTTAATACAATTTTTTTTAAACCAACATTAAAAAAGCTTCGGTTAAAAGACATTAGGTACTATAATTCTTTAAAATAAATTCTACAATTCGCTTATGTGTATCCTCTTCTACCTGGCAATTTCCCAGCTATAGCCAGGGTTTGCCTTACATGTTGTGAAAAGTTTTTGGCTATTTGTTTTTACGACCGGCCGCCTGCCTGACATCAACCCTCTTTTTGGGAATCAACATTAATCAGTGATGTCCAAATACTCTTAGAAACTACATATGATTCGGAAAAATCACATTGGTACTTGCCCGGGCCAGGATCGAACCCGCGCCCTCGGCGACGAGAGGCGAGCCCTTTAACCACTGAGCCACCACTGACTTTATTCGCTTATGTGTATAAAAATGAAAAATATGTTTAAGCTTTTTTCAGTTATCTTAGAGTTCAATGTACAATCATAAGAAAACAAAGAGATTAGTTTGTCTAACACTGTCTGAGATAACTCGTAGGTCAATATAATATTTAGATAGCCACTTGTTGGTGTGTATTAAAATACATCATATGAATATGAATGTGTTCTTTCATTTATAAAAACCGTACGGCTATTTATTTTTAATCACTTGAACTTTGTTTCTTTTAAAAAGTAAATCTTGATTCTTAAATAATTAGAAAATGTTCCGAAGTAGCTACAAATGATACATGAAAATTAAAAACTATTAGAAAATATAAAATGCTTTGAAAATTAGAAGCAGTATACTTTTATAAGATAAGCTACTTGACCTAATTAAAATAATATTTTTCGGATCTACTACGAGATTTTTATTTTTGTTAAAAACTAATAGGTACTCCGACGTTACGTTTACTTTTCAGCAACTATAATCATGGGGACTCACATCTCGTCCGCCCGTCTTATACATATGTTGGCTTTAGTCCAAAAATCAGTCAATCAATATACTGATTGGATGTTATAACTTTTTGGCTCTAGTGCGGATGAGAGTGATGTATATAATTATATTGAATTAGTATTCTATAATAAACTTTTCTGTTACCAAAATGATCGTCATATTGCAATATCTCAGTATTTATTATTTATCTATACATCTAAGATCTTTACTATTCGGCCTATAATTATGATTAGAGAACATTATAAACAAAATGTTTTTGGTATTTTAAATTAATACTACAAAATATGTATCGATATTATATATTTGTATGAATTCATTTAGGTAGTCAGTTTTTAGTTGAATTAAAAATATTTATTTAAGAAAACTAATGTCTAAAATTAGTTGCTAAATCTCGTTTGTATAATATTTTAAACACCTTAATATGCAAGAGTGTAATATAAATATCTTATAATAACAGGTAATTGTTGTTAATTTTGATGCTATAAACATTATCATTACACAGAAATGTCAAACCCAAAGTCCACAAACGTCATAAAAGTTAGGATTATTATTTCAAGGCTGTTTCGGTGTTTGTAGTTCTTTTAAATTATTCGCAATGCAAAAAGTATAGATAAGACAACACAAAAAAATATTACATTATTTTAAGTGTTGTAATAAGTGATAGCTTACATTGTAATTTTATTTACTTATTAAGTAATTTAAAAAATATCGCGTTTTAACAAAAGTTTTTAGTTTTAATTGGTACAAATAAGAAAGGTTTAAGTTCAAAGTAAGAATATATTATTTATTATGTAATGTTAATTTTTTTAACACTACTGATTGTTCAAAATTACCATTATTAAATAGTAAATTACTTATTCATGAAAATATTTACATAATTCATTTTTAGATGTTTAAGTTAAGAATCTTACCACAAAAGGCCACTATACTTAAACGAATGATGTCGTCTCAAGAGAATGATGTTTTATTTGAAACTCTCAATAATGCTGGAATAATAACTTTAAATAGACCAAAAACTTTGAATTCATTGAACACATCAATGGTATCGAAGTTATTACCGCAACTTAGCGAGTGGGAGAGTTCTAAACAATTAGTAATTATAAAAGGAGCTGGTGACAAAGCTTTTTGTGCTGGAGGAGACGTGAAGGCAGCTATCGATAGAGAGGAAGGCCCAAGATTTTTTTTCACTGAGTATAACACAAACTACCTCATAGGAAAATACAAAATCCCGTATATAGCCTTCATAAATGGAATTACAATGGGAGGTGGTATGGGCTTGTCAGTTCATGGCAGATACAGAGTGGCCACGGAGAAAACTTTAATAGCCATGCCTGAAACTAAGATAGGATTATTCCCTGATGTAGGAGGATCGTTCTTCCTTCCTAGATTGCCTGTTAATTTAGGACTATATTTGGGTTTGACTGGTAAGTAATATAATTACAATTTGATGAATACAACTGATTAAATATAATATATGTATTTATTTTCTTGTAGGTGATAGATTAAAAGGGAAAGATGTTGTAAAAGCTGGTATCGCTACTCATTTTGTGTCCAGTAAGCGTCTCTATGAGTTAGAAATGTTGCTATCCCGATGCTCGAGCGACAGTGAAGTGCAGTCCTTACTGAATAAATTCAACGAGCCACCAGAGGAGTTTTCACTGGCACCAAACATCAAACACATCAATTACTGCTTTGCTGCATCCACTGTCGAGGAGATCATAGAACGTCTTGAGAAAGTGCAGAATGATTGGTCAATTAAAACTATTCAGGTGAAATGATAGCAAATACTTTCAAAATAGAAATGTTTCTTTTATATTGTTTAACGTATATAATATTATTTTAATCCTGTATATCAGACGTTACACTCCATGTGTCCCGGTTCTCTCAAGCTGACAATGTTGGCTCTCCAGCGCGGTGCTCAGCTCGACCTGCCTCAATGTCTTCGTATGGAGTACCGTCTCGCTTGTAGATCAGTAGAGAATCATGACTTCCCAGAAGGTATGTTACTTCTTTTTAATATATCTCTGCTTTAGAAAATAGTAAGAAAGAATTATCTGTATATTAAGTCATCCTTTGATTAATTTGAACTTGTTATTTAATTTAAGCTATCTTTTAATATTATACTATTCTATTAATTAGCTGTAAAATCACATGCTTCCTCTTTTCTCATAACAAAGTATTTGCTTGAATATGTATTCTTTCTTGATTACACTTTAGAAGTTTTTCAATGAAAGAGTTTCGGCTTTCCATAGAATAATTCACTTACCACCTAAGACTTACTCTTTCCAATATAAAAACTACTACTTTGATGTAGCATTCTCATCTGATTTTTAGTCACTTTTGTGAAATTCTTATTGATTCCACTCTATTAATCTCTCTATTGTATTTTACAGGTGTCCGAGCACTACTTATTGACAAAGACAACAAGCCTCAATGGAATCCAAAGAGTTTATCGGATGTCAGTGATGACTACATTGAAAGTTTCTTCAAGAAGCTTCCAGAAGATAAGGAACTTAAGTTCTTTGATGCGAAATTATAAACTATCATTGATTTACAATCAAACATCACTTAACAGCTAACTCGGTCTGTTTTACTTAATTTTTAAAACAATTTAAATAAGATCGCCATATTAAAAATGTTTAAGATTATTTTACTTTTGTTTGTTTATATATGAGATAAGCTAAATGAAGTCACAGTAATTTTTTATTTGTAATTTTTAAGGCAAAATTTATATTGTTATTGTTGGACTGTTCCCCGAATTATATAGATATATATTTTGTAAAAGTATTTGTTAGTTGTCATCATATAAGAATTTTATATATCGTCACTACGTGATGGCATTTATACTTTAAGTTTGTACTGTTTTATATACCGTGTAATGGACTATTGGGATGTGAACGAGACTGAAATAAATATACTGATGGTCAGTTACTGATATTTTTTTTTTATTTAACCACCATAACTTCAAATTTTGTTAATATTGTTAATAAAAAATTCTCATGATTAATCAAAACACAAACACACAAAAATCTTTTTCGTTTGAAACTTCTTTACGTAAACTTAGAATAGACAGGCATTCGTGGGCAGAGCGGTGTGCAAAAGTGTGATCAGATGAGTTAAACGTAACTGGATAAAGGATACATGCCAGTGAGAAAGACAGAAATAATAGTGGAAAAAAGAGAGTCCTACATGATTTTAAATGAAAGAGAGGGAAATGCAAACATATTTTCTTTTTCTCGTAACCAGTTACCCTATTTTTTGTTGCACAGGGTGGGAGCGAAAAAAGACATGGAAGTAATGAATAAAAATTATAAATACATATTATGTGCTTTCAAATATATAATTTATGCCTTTATTTGTAGAAAGAAAGTATGGATACACATATAACCATATAAAGATTTTGATTTTTTTTTTACTTTAATCGTGTAGTGTAAGCTCTAAAGCAGTAATTTTTGAAGTAATTCTTCTTTACGCACGCTTTATTTGGGAATGAGTTGGTGAATGCGTGATGAAAGCGTTACAAAAAGTGTGATCCGGGGAGGCGAACGAAAGTGAGAGGGAGATATAAGATAGTGAAGATAGATTCGCCTAGTATATTAGTATAAGGGCAAGGGAGAGAGCAGTGCGCGAGCACATTTTCTTACTTGCTTCATTTAATAGCCCGTGCATGATATATTTATGTTTATTTATATATCAGAGAGTAGTTCGTTATTACTTTTCTCTAGATATCTTTCTAACCTCCATTCAAAAAATATATACGTCTTATCAATTTCCTATTGTTTCTGTAATTACAGTGATGAATCATCATAGTAATTACTGCAGATGTATCCGATGATGAATATAATGAAATTTATAAATATCTAATAAAAATATAAATTTAACTAACCTATAATGAATTCAAATATTTGTACAAAAATTAACATGTGTATATGTATATTCATGTGTGTCTTCTTCTTCTTCCACCTGGCAATTTTCAGCCAGGTCTGTCTTACATGTTGTAAATAGTTTTGCCTAATTTTTTTTACGACCGGCCGCCTGCCTGACATCATCCCTCTTTGGGAATGCATTAATCAATGATGTCTAAATACTCTTAGAAAGTGCATATGACTCGGAAAAATCACATTGATACTTGCCAGGATCGAACCCGCGCCCTCATGCATGAGAGGTCTTAACCACTAGGCCACCACTGATTCTATATTTATGTGTGTATTTGTATTATCTATACTAATATTATAAAGCTGAAGAGTTTTTTTGTTTGTTTGTTTGTTTGAAAGCGCTAATTTCCAAAACTACTGGTTCGAATTGAATAATCTTTTTGTGTTGGATAGTCCAGTTATCGAGGAAGGCTGTGGGCTATATAACATCACGCTACGACCAATAGGAGCAAAGATATAGTGGTAAATGTGTAAAATACGGGAGAAATTATTTCATCTTTAAAGCCTTCCGTTGCGTGCGCCGTGAAAACGGTTCAAGATACACAAAAAATATGTATTAAAGAATAATAGCTCTTTTAATGATCTAAAAAACAGTCCGCGACAGTATATGTCTATCTATTAAGATTAACTCACAAAAACCGTTTTTATGGTACCTAATTTGGTCGAAACAATTTGTTTAAGTTGTATCAATACATATAATATATTAATCTTTATTCGAATAAACAAATAAATATATTGTTGGTTAAGAGTACTTCATTGTGAATAAAAAAAAAACAGGTTTTATCCTGCAAATTCTACGGGAACTCGACCATTACGAAAACCCCGCAAGAACGGGAACTATGTGGGAAGAACCAAAAATCTGCCAGAAGTCACTATTCCACGCGGACGAAGTCGCGGCAAAAGCTAGTACATATTTAAACATGTGCATATACCTATTACATATAGATGGAGCGAAAAAAGTTTTACTTTGGTCATGTGGTCTAAAACAAGCTGGTTTTTATTTTTCATAGCCAGTTACGGAATTGTTTGCTTCAGTGTGGGAGCAAAAAACTAACTAAATAAAAATTATAAAAACATAGTAAGTATAAGGCGGCCAACCGTCCCGCATTCTGCGGGATAGTCCCGCAATTCTAGACGAAATCCCACTTTGAAATTTTTAGTAAAATAGTCCCGCAAAACGTTGTATGCGTCCTGCATGTCCCGCATCCCTATTTTTCTACCACACTTCTACACAACACCCATACGCGCCCACGGTGAACAGTGCAGGAACACAGATTACCTATAATAGGGACAAGCGTATCGCGCCCGCGCTAATCTCATTTTCTTTCTTTCTTCTGAACTCATGACGCGTAAGAGAGTACATACTTAAATTTAATATGGGCAGTTGCGACGATTTTTATGACGTTCCCAATCCCTAACACCCAACAACCCCCCCCCCCCCCCCCCCCCCCCCCGCCATTCACGAAATGTTAAGTCCCGCATTCAGTTTTCCGAAAGTTGGCCGCCTTAAGTAAGTAGGTACTTTCAGATATATCAAATGTACCTTTAATTACTTGCATAAAATAAATGTGTATACACGTATACATATGGATGGAGATAAAAAGTTTTACTTCAATCCTGTAGTCTAAATTCTAAACCAGTCTTAATTCTAATTTTATTATATGCAAGTCTACATAATGTTGTGTTATGATCTTTTAGTCTGGCATAAGAGCTGATATGGAGAGTCAAAAGTCAATCATTTATTTGTCGTAAAGTGATGAATTTTCTCCTTTACTTTTTAACCTCTATGTCCTAGTCAATAGAAAAATTTAATTAGAACAGCTGAAGAAGTGTGGTAGATGGTAGGACAGTCTTACCGCCCTCAACACATTGTTTTTGTTGCCATAAAAATATTAAATCAATGACAGATACTGACTGTTTGACATTTCATAGTATTAAGCTTATGGATGTCAAAGTTGATCTGACAATATAATATATTTTGTAAAATATTTATATAAATTAAATTATTTTTTAATATCGTTCATACATTATATTATGGATATGTATATATTTAAATAATGAAATTATAATTTACGTAGAGGCACCATTAGAAATCAATTATATCGTGTTTGTTGTTAAAAGACTATATTATTATAATTTATAAATAATGCGAACGTATAAAAGAAAGCGACCAGAATACACATTTATCGAGGGTGTGCATGAGTTGTGTAGACTTTGTCTGGAAAAAGCAACCGAATCAGTTCCTATATTTAGTAATGAATCGAATATTTATGCGTCTCTATCAGTCAGAATCATGATGTGTGTAGGATTTGAGGTATAAAACACCAATATAACATTGTATTAAATAAAAATTAAGTTCTGAATAAACATAACAAATATTTGTGTACATTATTCACCGTAGAATTTATGTCTTCCAGGTGAGCAGAGAGGACTGTCTTCCTAACAGTATATGTTCCACATGTCACAAACAATTGAGTAGTTTTTATGAGTTTAGAAAAAAATGTGCTGTTATGTATCAGAAATTAAAATGCCATGTACTAGCCGTGAAGCAGATGGAAAGTGATAAGGCTCTTAAACAAATACAGGAAAATAATATTACTAAAGTATCGGAGAGTGACACAGGCCGGCATATTGAGAACCACGGAACTATTGATGCAAATAATGAAACACAAATGATAAGTGATTCTGTGACTCTTATTAAGAATACTGTTACAGAAAATATTGAGGTAAGGCTTCACTTTGGAAGATACATTTCAGAATTTTGGTACATAAAAATAAATTTAATCAAAATTTCTTCTTATTTTATTAACATATTTCATTGTTAAGTATTTCATAATGAAGTGCTCAGAATAATTATTAATAATAAAATCTAGTGGAAATAACACACACATACATATTCATACACATGTATGTGTATATGTACATACTCTCAAAATAAAAAATAAAAAGTAAGAAGTTGTGAAGATATGTTGGTCTTTTAAGAGTAAACACAATATTGCCACAACTTGCAACAGTTTATAATACTAAAAGCTGTAGATAAGGTCTTTTTTTCACAACTTATATAAATATTACACAATTGAATTACTTTTTCTATACATTTAGAAATCACGAAAATCTTATGAGCCATAAGGAACTGGTTTGAATTCCAGGAGGTTCCGGATATATCAGATTTCCTCTCATCAATATTATTGGAAATTGGTATATTGACAAAACAGGATGGACAAGTTGTGTCTAAAGAACATGTGAAGAAGATAGACATAGAGGGTGGAGGGGACAGAGTTACATTCCAAGTGTTAGAAGTAGATGAGGTGAAGTATATTATATGATAATCATAACTAAGACTTTCGAGAGTATTTAATTTAAATAAAAATATGATTTTCGGATATACTACAATTTTATATTATTTTAATTTCCATCTCATCTATCCGTGATTATGGTTTCTGCAAAGGAACCGGATTTTTGGGAGTATGTAAAATGCGTGAAAATAAGTAGTATATATGAAAATATTAGTTTTATTTATATTACATGTTATAATTGGTAAAAGTTGTTATATAGATTTATTAAATTTTCTATTGAGAAATCATGAATTATATGTTTCTTATTAAATTCTTATAATAATTAGCTATAAAACCAATAAATGTTTATGTTGATAAACTATGTGTCGTATGATTTTCTAAGTTTTGGTTTTTGAACATTATCTATCTTAATTTCAGGAACAAAAATCCAGTGATAATATAAACAATAGTAATAGTGCAAATAGTGAATTATTTAATGTTAAGAACGTTAATATGTTAGAGAAGGAACTGCTGAGACCTATCAAGTAAGTGAAGGGTTATTTTTTTTATTTATTAACTTCATTTGTAAATAAAACATATGGTCATGTATACTTGGCTTAATTAACTATAAATGTATATTATAAATTACCTTAAAAATCAAGTACAAATATTTTGACCATAAATTATAGAAGAGACTAGGTTTCATTGTCTATGACTATATTGTGAGTCTCCTTATCACAAGTTTGTTTCCTTACACTACATATGAAGCGTTCCCAGGTTTTCGTTCATGTCACCGCTAACGATAATACAAACGTAAATTTATGAATATAAACTTTAAACGTAATATATTTAGGGCGATAAAGCAAACTTATTGTTAGAATAGACTTGAACCGTAAATGAAATCAAATAATGTTTTATTCTTTAATTCTTTATAACCCTAATTATGAAACTTCCGTTATTGTGTAAATAAATATCAGTCATCAGTATTAAAAGCAGTGTCCCGCGGTGCACGGAGTGCGGTAAGAGCTACGCGACCCGCGGCGCGCTCCGGAGACACGCGCGGGTACACACGGGCGAGAAGCCTCACGTGTGTACAGTGTGCTCCCGGGCGTTTGGACAGAAGGAGGTGCTCAGGAGACACGAACTGGTGCATACAGGTAGTATAGTATAGTAGTAGGGGTAAGTTAAGTACAGTTGAGCTTTGCATTTGTGTGAGTTAGACAAAAAATATATTATATTTAAATAGACACATAACATGAGTGCGGGAGCTAAAAATAGAATAAGCTAAACTTGTAAATGGCCAGATGGTAATATTATGAATATTATGGAAAAAAAATTAATTAAGAAAATTTTTTAAATAACTATACAAATTCTTCTTCACTTGACACTGCGTTTTCAACATTTGATACTGCTATCAGTATAAAGGGTGAAGTACGAAGGTGCGGGGTAGAAGCCGAATAAACTAGTTTAAAACTAGAAAAGAACGTGGCATTCAAATATTTGACATCACACCTACACTATCCGTGTGCACACACACAAATGCAAAGCTCAGCTCATGCCTCGCGCTCTATAACATCGTTTGTAATGTAACTCGTGTTCGTGGCCAGATGATCGTCCCTTCAAGTGTCAGAACTGTCCTAAGAGCTTCACTCAGCGAGGCGCGTTGTTGTCTCATGGCCGAGGCTGTCTCCCGCCGCCGGCCGCGCGCCCGCTCGCTCTACATAGATGTACTGTGTGCCCTAAAGTGTTCCTACACGCCTCAGGTATGTGTACACCATGCTTTATAAATATATTGATTATTTTTCTTTATACTTAATGATTGGTAAGCTTAAAAAATTGGTAACACAGACACAAAATTATAAACCAATCTTTTGACATATAAATACATATGTGTATGTTGTGTTATTCCAATTTGACTTTAAAACTTCAAAATTGAATGTGGAAATCAAAATTGTTAAGTAGATGAGACTGTTTAAAATCTTGTCTTTATTTATATATCTACCTATACCAAAGAATAACAACACTATTTGTAGTTTGTTATATTCAGCTGTTTAACGAAAACTTGGGTTATATATATTAAAAAAAAATGTTCACTGACTTCAAATATCCTGTCACTAATGATGTTGACATTGACACATCGTTATAAAACTAATGTCATCTGTCACCTGTCAGGTCTGTCACGTCACGCGTTAGTGCACGCGGGTCGTGTGTTCTCATGTTCTCCGTGCGGCCGCCGGTACAGCGACCGCAGCTCACTACTACGTCACCTCCGGTCACACAAACACGCGCGCACGCACACAGACACACGGAGCGACGCACACACTGACGACGCTTCTACAACGGCTTTGACTGTCACTGGATGATAATAAATATATAGTGCAATACAATTTGACTTGTTTTATTTATTTAGTATTTACCTTAATAATTTTTTTCTTGAATAAAATACTCAAATAGAAAATTTAGAGTTAAAAAGCCATCTAAACATGCAGGATTCAAAACTGCAATTTAAAATATCACTTTTCAGTTGTTTTACTTAATGCTAATGCATTTAATTCCAAAATATCAATAGGCTATGTAGCTACCCATCTTACGGAGAGCGCCTAATATGTGTTATTAATATGTTCAACAAGAGCATCAGCTTCCAACTTCAACTGAGCCCTTTTGGTCAATGAGTCTAATTGATAATATTTCCTTTTTTTCCTCTTTTTCCGCACTCTGTCGCCCGGCGGGAGTTAACGTCGCTGTGTGATCACTGACACACCTTCGACGAAACAGTCGAACATACTCTGTAAAACAGCTTCCTGGCGACATTGCATGATGATTCAATAAAGATAGAGAGAGCTCTCGCTGCAAAGAATGATCAAGGTCATGCTCAATAGATTACTGTTTTTTTCTGTGAGGATGTCATGTCGCAAAAAAAGGAAGCGAAGTGATCAAGGAGGACAATGGCTCTAGTCATCTTCTTCGCCGATTAAGTCCAGGAAGGAGAAGGCAGTGTTATGCTTGGCAATTATCCAATCCTTTAAATCTAATCTGTTACGAGATTTGTTTACTAAAATATCGTGACTTTTGCGAAGTCTCTATATTAATTTTCTATATACAGTAACCACAACACTGAAAAGAGGTGCCATTAACAAAATTGTGGTTAACGCTTTCTAGATTAAAACTTTGAAAAGACTTGAAAGCATAACCTGTTTTTTAAATATTTTAGATAAATAATTCTAACACTCAAATTTATAATTTATAACATAACAAAAAGGTACTGTCTTAGTATAATCCGAAATTATGTTCACATAATAGCAAGCGAAAATAAATAAATGTATAAATAATACTTTGTTATTTAATCTGTCATATTAATCCAAATGTTGAGTTTCCATTACAAAGTCACTCAAGTACCAGCTATCCTAATTAGCTTCTAAGTAAATCATTGGGTCAGTTAATCTCGTGCTTAAGAATGTTAGACTGACTCAAATATCAAAATTAGTTACTAAATTACTTAACGTTCAGAGATTCTTTTATCAAAAATAAATAAAAGACTAAATTTACTTGTAAGTTCTCGTTAAAATTCATTTAGTGTAAGGTAAATTAAAACTTTGAAATATTTGTTCATTCTTATAAGGATTTATAATGATACTGAGAGAATATTCGAAAAAGGAAGGTAAGGAAAATAATTTCTCATAAATTGTAAATCAAGCAAAGCGCTTTTTGATAGGATTGACAGAAAGATGGCTTATAGGAAATGGAATATTTATCATACAATATCTTGACTTCGCTTTTAACCTTTAATGTTTTTGAAGATACAGGAGTTAAACCTGATATTTGTTTTCATCCGTGTTGCCACGTTTGTGTTTTATAACAAAGTAACAAAAAATATATAACATTATCTAGAATTTTCAGCTGAAAACTTGATAGATTTCATCTCCATCCCAATATTACGGTTAAATATACAATACTTGATGGTCCGACTCCCGCCAGGGAACGCTAGCTTAATTGGAAAAACAAGAGTAACACGATATCCAGCAAGATGTAGGTTCGATTTTAGCTCAGGCTTAAGCCTTAAAACGATTACGGTCTGTTCATCACAACTTTATTAAAGTTATTTAAATCGGAATACCCAGTGGAGATTTAAACATTTTATTATTATTTGAAAACAGCAAACAAGGAAAACAAAATAACCTGCTAACCAAAACTATCCTAACCAAAACTATCCTAACCAAAACTATCATAATACTTTTAATTAAAACGAGTAATACTACCTTTTTCTTGTTAAATCTGAACTGGTCACACATGTTCCCTTCGTAATTATTTTAATTGTATCATCAAACAACAACAAATGACGACAAATACAAAAATCAAAAAACAGTTGAAAATGTACTCGTATAGTGCGTTTGATTTAAGCTGAGCTTTGCATGTGTGAGTGCACACGGATAGTGTAGGTGTGATGTCAAATTTTTGAATGCAACGTTCTTTTCTAGTTCTGAACTGGTTTATTCTGCTTTTACTCCGCCCCGCACCTTCCTCACTATACCTTTTGTACTGGTAGCGAAATCAAATGTTGAAAACGTAATGTCAAGTGAAGAAAAATTTGTAGTTTTTCAAAATTTTTATTAATACTAGTTTTTGCCCGCGACTTCGTCCGCGTTAGTTTCGTCATCTATACATATAATAAAATTGTAGAAAAGTGCTGTCTGCACATTGAAAATAAAATAAAAAAATACCAGGGGTTATTGTTTATGTCGATGTCGAACCCAAAAATGTAATTAACATTTTTTTTGTCTGTTTGTTTGTTTGTCTGTTCACGCTAATCTCAGAAACGGCTGATCCGAGTTGGATGCGGTTTTCACGAATATTGTGGTATGCTTCAGTTATGCTTTAGTGTTTGTTTCATGTCAATCGGTTCAAAAATAAAAAAGTTATATCAAATTAAAGAATCACGTCGAACGATGTCGCGGGCACAGCTAGTTAGTAATATATGTATAGCTGACCGGGCGAACTCTATTCCGTTTTAGAGGCCATTAATAATCAGGTTTCTCCTGTTACAATCGAACAGAATGATTGACATATTAGTTAGTTGTCAAATCTAATGTCAAAGAAAATGTTTGTATGGGAAATAGAAAAGAGCTGTTTTTAGGGTTTTTCCGGAAATGAATCAATTTTTTTCAACTTTCAAACCTTCCCTGAACCTCCACGAACCTTTCAAGACTAAGATAAGATAAATCCGTTCAGCTGTTCTCGAGTTTTAGCGAGACTAAGGAACAGCAATCCATTTTTATAACATACTAGTTTTTGCCCACGACGTCGTCCGCGTTAATTTCATCATTAGTAATATATGTATAGCTGACCGGACGAACTCTATTCCGTCCTAGAGGCCATAAATAATCAGGTTTTTCCTGTTTCAATCGAACAGAATGATTGATATATTAGTTAGTTGTCAAATCTAATGTCAAAGAAAACATTTGTATGGGAAATAGAAAAGGGCTCTTTTTAGGGTTTTCCCGCAAATGAATCAATTTTTCTCACCTTTTAAACCTTCCCTGAACCTCCACGAACATTTCAAGACTAAGATAAGATAAATCCGTTCAGCCGTTCTCGAGTTTTAGCGAGACTAAGGAACAGCAATCCATTTTTATATATATAGAAGATTTTGTTTTTCTATAATATTCATGATATTTCCATGTGACCTTTTACAAGTTTTGCTTATTTTATAGCACTTATGTTATGTATCTATTTAAAATATAATAAAATTGAATTCTTAAAATTTATCTAACTCTACTTTTATTTTAACTCACACAAATGCAAAGCTTAGTTTAAGTTTAAGGGACTATAATTTTCCATAATTCGTTAATAAATTAACCTATTACCTGATTAAAATTTATTCACTTGTGCTTAGAATGACAAAAGAATGAAGTTGCGAAAAAAATATTAGAACAGTTTACCAACAAATTAAATAGTCCCTTTTCATTTGAGTTTTTATGATCCTCGAACAAGTAACACTTGTATAGTTTCTGCACACACATAAAAACATTTCCTGCATTCAACACAAGATTTGTGGATCGTCCTACAGATAATTTGTATGGAATATATCTCCGAGTAGTAGTTAGTGTCTTCGACCACTTTGGCTAGGAAGCGGCGATAACATTGATAGAAAATGTTAATTTTACATTGATAGATGGCACTTTTAACGATTTTACCAAATCGTGAATTATATTTCTGTAAACATTGTATTTCGTTATATATGATTAAGTGTGTAAGTAAGAATAAAACAACAAAGGTTTAGTTGTTGCATATGCAGTGTAAGCAGTGCTTATTTGCATTAATTCAATTTCGTGGATCTATAATGCATATCATGCAAGGAGCAAGGAATGGAAAAGCTGTAGTCATATGAAGAAAACCGGTATTATGGATAGAATTGAAGATAAAATGATGTCTGAGTTTTCATTCCAGTATAGAAAGAATTATATCTGACATTGCGGAAGGTATAAAAGTCCGCAACATTTGTTAGAGATTACTAGGTTTTCCACCCGGTTCCTGTTCCTTGTGATTCTTCGCAAAATCAACAGAGGAATTTCTGTAAGTTTTACTTTACTGTGATTGAAAAAACTTTTGGTTCGATGTCAATTTTCGAGAAAACGAAACAGACCTTCCGTCAACCTTTTTTTGTGATGTGTTATGATTATCCAAGAATGAAGTGCATGCTGCCTTACTTTTCCTCGACTTGCATAAAATCCAGCGCCCGGACGGTGTTGCCATATCTGTGCCTATGACGCGTGTCAGTGCATCTTCAAAAATGTAGTATTTGATAGGTATTCATTATAAGTTCACCAGGTTAAGGAATAAAAATGTTTAAACTACCTATTAATTATATTTTAGTCTAGTACCCTTTTTATGTCTATGAGAGACATTTACCAAAATGCAAGATTAAAAATTACTTTTATGATTTTTTTATATGGTCAAATATTTATGTGAGCTACATTTGTGTTTCTTATTTACATGAACTTTTAAATGATTCGTTCTTTATAGTCTTTACTATGAATTAGATCACGTACATAAAGTAATATAAAAATGTATTAAGATGTTTCATAATATTAATACTATGTTAGAGCATGGACTAACATTTGATTTATAATTCTTACAAGTGGTTAAAACACTTTTAAACTGACAACTTATTAATTTAAGGTACAAAATGTAGTTAGGGTTGATTATAAGAATTGATTAAAAATAAAACACAATTTTTACTTAAACATTTTATTGGAAAAAATTTCATCCTAGGTAGAAAGGCAACGTGGTATTGTATATTTTAGAAATAACGATAAGTTGTATCATTAAATACTGTTACTATACGAGACGGGAGCGACGCGACGACCCGACACGTGTCCGGGCCGACGGCCTATGCGACGGATGGCACTTATTGTTTAAAACACGTACAAATAATATTGAAACATTATTTTTCCTCTTTTTATTAATCAAAAACCAAGTACACGCCACCGCATCGTTACATATGGAATGCCTTTAATACACTTAAAAATAACATTATACACATCCTATAAGCATACAGTAATTATTAAATAAGATTTAGAATTTTGTTTAGAAATAATATGTGAACATTTGTGTTAGACCAGATACGACGAACGGCTCCTCCCGGACGGCCGGGAGCGAGTGTATATAGAAATATATGAGAAGAAACGACGGAACATTACACAACAGGAATGAAGATACAGAACTAACCCATTCAAAGAAAACGATAATAATTACACTTGAAGCTCTAACTCCTATATCTAAAATATAAATGATTATAAAAATAAATAAGGGCCATCGCCCCCCCCTTTCACCCCCACTACTACTCAGGACATATCGGACACTTATTACACTTTTGAGCAAAACTAGTAGTAAATTTAAAAATTTTCAAAAACATTGGTGTTTGACACTCGGTCGTTACAAAGATATATAGAATAAGACCGGGAGCGGACCCGGAACAACAGTACAGATGAAATAAAAACCACTCACTAACATTATCAAACAAACGATCTGTGAAGTCGACGGTACTCGGAGATGTTTACATATTCGGTTATTATAGCACGTTATAGTCTAAAATAAAATTACTATTAAGTAATAATAATAATCAATATTTACAGCGGGTGTCCGGCGGCGTGTTGTCGTCTACATGTTCTCGAACTGGTCCACTCGTCGCTTGGTGTTCCCCTTGCGTATCTCCCTCAGCGTCTTGTACTTGTCCCTTCCCTGGCGCACGTTTTCTCTGTGTATCTTGTCCATGGCAGTTTCCTTGGTCTCGTCGCGGGATTGCGCCAGGTCCTGCTTCAGCGCCTGTAACCACATATACGTATATCAGCACGTGTTATATATATACTAGAAGACCCTGCGAACTTCGTATCGCCCGATAATCAAGAAATATCTGTTACGTTTTTTTAATAAATTAATTTAGGTTATACCTAAGTATAAGAAACACGTGGTGGTTATGCTATTATTAAATAGTCACTCACATATGACGTTTGTATTTTAACATAGCGCCATCTATTCAATACTTAACTCAGACAACAGATAATTGTAATAATGACAAATAATTTTCTTTAATAGACAAAAAATTTGCAATAAAATAATATTGTGACTATAAATTGAGATGTAAGCTATTCTATCTTTCAAGTTGGATCAAAATGCACACGGAATGCAAATCAAATTTAAAATCGGTTTAGTAGTTTAGGAGTCTATCGCGGACAAACACGTGACACGAAATTTTTATATATATAAAGATGTGTGTGTGTGACGTACCTTCAGCTGGTTGTGTAGTCTCTCCGACCGCTCGGCCAGCGTGCGCCTATCAGCGAGCGGGTCCACGAGGTCGTCGGGCGCGCGGCCCAGGTCCTCGGCCTCCGAGCCGGCCTCAGAGCCGGAGCCCTCAGCGGACACAGCCTCATCGTCTCGCTGGTCGCCCCTCTCCTGTAAGTGATGGTGGTGCGGCGTGGTGGCTGCTGCCAACAACGCGGCGGCCTCGTCCTGCTGCCGGCGCGCCTCCTCCACCTCCTCCTGTAACCTCCTCGTCTCCGAGTCCTTGGCCTCCACCTCCTGCTGTATGCGGGACACCTCCTGCTGCTTGGCGGCGATCTCCTCCTCTAGTTTCTGACGCTCAGCCGCCTCCATGTTCTGACCGACAAAAAAAATATGACGTGTAAGAAAATATGGACCAAATATGGAATTAAAACTATACAGTTTGAGGGAAGCGAAACTATATAATCGCTGGCATGACGAAGTTTTTGATAAAAAACCGTTTGCGATGTTTAGGAGTAAACTGTTGGGTTATTGTAGGAAGCACTTGGATTAACCGCTCTTGAGTTGTATGGTTCATTGCTATTGTACTGAATTGTTGTTTGAATTGAATCATGAAATACATCTCATTCAAGTGAACTTTGTTCTTTATGAGAAAATAAAATTCTTCTTTAACCACAAGAAAATATAATAATTATGATAACATATATTACAATATATTATATGTCGTATCGGTGGTGTAGTGTACCTTAGTCTCCTCGAGACGCTGCATCATAGCCTGCAGTTCGTTCTGTCGCTGCTCCAGTTCCTCTTTAGCGGCCTGGAGTTGCTTCAGTTGTTCCTCAAGCCGTCTTATCATCTCCTGGGCCTCAATCAAGTTAGCCTGCACAAGAAACATCATTTAGCTCGACCCTTCTTAATATAAAACAGTAAATTATAGTCATAAATGTAAGTAGTAACCTGTGATCGTTCCATCTCCTCCTGCATCTGCCTCAGCCGATCTTCATACTCCTGTTGTTTCTTCTCAGCACGTTCTCGAGCAGCGATCTCCAGCTGAAGTTTTTCTCTGTAAGATAAAAGTTGTTAGTTCGGTTTGTGCTTGTATTCACAAAAAATCATCTTGCCATAACTTAGCAAATAGAAATTTAAAACGTTTTATTTTTGCCTATCACATAAAAATAAATCAACGATTAAATTCTTCGTAAATAGGAATTTAAAACAATTTTAAAACATCAGATAAAAATAAATCAATACTTAAATTTCCGTAACGTGATTGGAGGATAGTTTTAGTCAACGAGAAACCTTAAATTCTTCATGATAATTTTTATCATTGATCTTACTACTTTTTCTCACAATTTCCTCGACAACTATTCTAACGTATAGTGCGTTTGATTTAAGCTGAGCTTTGCATTTGTGTGAGTGCACACGGATAATGTAGGTGAAATGTCAAATTTTTCAATGCAACGTTCTTTCCTAGTTTTAAACCGGTTTGTACTGCTTTTACTTCGCCCCGCACCTTCCTCACTTCACCTTTTGTACTAGTAGCGATATCAAATGTTGAAAACGCAATGTCAAGTGAATAAGAATTTGTAGTTTTTTCAAAATTCTTATTAATAAATAATTTTTTTTCCTCAATATTCAAAATATTTCAATCTGGACTTTAACAAGTTTTGCTTATTTTATGGCACTTATGTTATGTTTCTATTTAAAATATATATTTTTTGTCTAACTCTACTTTGACTTTCACTCACACAAATACAAAGCTCAGTTTAAGTCTAACGGACTATACTGATATATATAGTAAGTGCTATATACATACCTCTGGGCCTGCTTGGCGAGTTTCTCCTCGCGAGCCTGGGCCTTCATCTGCTGCACATCGATAGTGTCAGGCTTGCGGCGCCTCATATACAGCTCGTGGTTGCCCATACACAGCGCCAGGATACGTTTGTTGACGCGCACGCGGGGCGCGAAGAAAACAAAGTCCGGAGCCTTCTTGTCGATCGGCTTTATGATGAACTTGCGGTCGTTGAACGATATGTTGCGGATCTCGGACCACGGGAAACCGATTTTGGGTGTCAGTCTGTAGGGAATAAAATTAGTATTAACTTAAGAGAAAGTTATGTAAGAAATCAGTTAGTAATGCAAAATTTTAGGAAATTCATAAGTTTCACAGAAATATTTTGAGAGCCACAGTAACGTATTTTATGTAATCTTCAAGTTATCTTGTTGGGGGATAAAAGATATTAATAGAGTATAAGGACCAACTAACTTGTCATCCTTTTCGTATATGTTAAGCCCCAGAGCGTCGACCCCCAGCCACAGCTCCGTGTTCTTCTTGTTCCGTATCTCGAAGTAGTTGACTCCGTACATCTCCAGATCCTGCGCTATCTTGAGGTACTCCATCATGGCGTCCTCCCGCAGCATCCCGTGATGCTCCTGCCACCAGTTCGTGATGCTCTGCTCCCACTCTTCGCGGGACATCTGCTCACACATTAACAGTATTAAAATATATTTCATATGAAGATTTTAGTGACGTCATCAGCCTATCAGAGCCCCACAAGCAAAAGTCTATCCTCACATTGAGAAGGTTTGGGCATTAATCATCAGGCTTGCTCAAGAAGGGTTGGTGATTTCAAACTTATAATTGTGATATTATAAGTCCAGACTTCCACACGATATTTACGGCCTATCAGTGGTATTTCAATAGTCTTAGAAAGTACATATATGACTGAAAAATCACATATGTACTTGCCAAGTTTCGAACCCGCGCGCTCGTGCACGAGAGACGTTCCCTTAACCACTAGGCCGCCACTGCTTTTTAATTTTGTACCAATATGTATTTTTTTTGAGTTATTAGAAATACCTCTTTCTTTGTTTGAAGAGACCTCAGTTTTTTATACGTACGCACGAAAGGCGGGCCTTTAACCTCTAGATCATCGCTGATATTATAAGTAGTGTATATATTCGTGTATACCTTGTGTTGGTCGGTGACTCTCTGCGGCAGGAGCCGGTCGTTGGCCAGGAAGCCCGGTCCGTGAGCGATAGCATTGTGATCTCCATGACGAGCTTGTACCGCGTACGACGCTAAGAGTACTGATGTCTCCGGCGGGCAGTAGATCTCGTCTGAGAGGATCGCATTCTTCACCTGGAGGAAAAGTCACGATATATGCATCTATTTCTTCCATATAAATTCCATCCCTACTAATATTATATATGCGAAATTAACTCTGTCTGTCTGTGTCTGTGTGTCCGTCTGTCTGTTACGCTTTCACGCCTACACCATTGAACTGATTTTAATGAAATTTGGTACAGAGATACGTTGACCTTGAGAAAGAACATAGATAGTTTTTATCCCGGACTTTTGAAAGGTTCTCTTGGAAACGCGATATAACCGAACTCCACGCGGGCGAAGCTGGTATAATATATATGATAGTTGTAATACGTACTTGTAAGTAGAACAGCTTCAACGTGATCTCCTGTATGAGCTCGTCAGCGACGTCCTCGGGATAGAATTTAGCTCGAAACTTGAACTGAAGCGGGTTCTCTTTCTTGACGTCTTGTTGCATCACCTACAACAAACTCTATTAATACTCGTCATTGTTCCACGTGACGTCTGTGTGCAGTAGACTTAGGATAAATTTATTTTGTATTAAATTCACACGGTTTTATCTCGCGAGAATTATGTCATCGCTATACATAATGTGTACATTATTTAAGCAGATTTACGCTCCACGAACACAGCTGCGAGGCAGACTCTTAGTCATCAAAATTATATTGAAATTTATGTGAGAGCATCTTTAACCTCATATAGCTCCACACATTTCTATGTCAATAATGGCGTAATATTCCTAACACATTTAAGCTATTAACTGACTTGGAATAGTTTTGAATATTGTAATTTTACATTTTCCATATAAACATGATCTCATCCATATCTTACCCATCTGGAGAACGGTAGCGACCCTGACTTCGTTTCGTGCCCAAGTGGTCCAGGGAAAGCGTTTAAAAGGCAACAATTAATTACAATTCAGCGTCGGCTTTGACATTCAACAAACAAATAACACAAGTCGAGCTTACAGTCAACATATGTCATAAACTATGATTACATCGAGCCTACTCATTAATATTTTAAAATATAAATATACATTTAGCCAGATATAAATATAGCCATTTAGTTAATCATTCTCAGAGCTCAGAGCTAACGTAATCAACACAATTAAATATTAATAATGTTAATCATTAAAACGGATTTATTTTGTTGCATTTTTTAGCTAATAATTAACAGAAAAAATAATCATTGAACTATAAATTTATGTGAGAATTATATTATTGTTATTTGAAAGGGACTAAATAGATATCTGTAGAAAAGTCTATATTGGAGTTCAATCTTCCATAAAATTTTCAGTAATTTTGTAATCTTAAATTTTCGATGTTCCGAATACGTGAGTTGATAAGATAAAGCATATCGAATGACGACATGAGTATGTAGTAAGTACAGGTAACATAGAAAGCATAAGTTTAAATATATAATACTTGGACAATAAGTAATAATTTATTAATGAGATCTAATACTTTCGAGTTCTATTCATTAAAATGAAACTAATATTTTTCTGACATACTACGCGTGCTTTATTTTTGCAAAAAACTTCATACTCCCGACGTTTCGGCTACTTTTCAGCAACCGTGATCACGGGCAGACATAATAATAAATTATTTTGTGTATTTGAATGCACTTATTAGTAATTTGTCAGAGGTTTGAAAACATATTTTATGTCTTCCGTATTGTTTAATAAAACTTTTATATGCATAATTTAACTGACTGTATTTACCATAATATATACAATAGGTTTTTGTTGCATTAACATTTTTCATAAATTATATTTGCATTTGCAGTAATGGCAGTATAATTTTGTAGTTTTTTCCATCAAATGCTTAAAAAATATCAATTGGTTAGTATTCATAGTTGTCGAGTTAAAAGATGTATTTATCTTAATCACGTTTCATGGTGTGCTAAGAGAACAGGTAAACCACATTATGATAATTAGCGATTTCCCGTTGTAAGGAAAATCCGTGGTGGAAAGGAAAAAAATCTAGCTAAGACTACTTTGTAGTTTGTAGTACTACGCGGGTAGGTGCATATTTCTATATATTCGTCACACAAGACTGGATACATCTTTTACTAGCCACCTACTAATTCCACCAGCCGACTTTACCAGATCGTCTGATCTGTCGAAGGCAGCATCCTCATCATCTTCAGGAGACACCAATTTCCTTACAGCCGTGCTAACACACCTCGCTGTCTTCACCACCACAGTTTCTGGCTACATTATATAACATTACATAACACGCAAAAACATCTTGATTTCAATCTAACTGATCATCATTTCACGGCTCGTATATTCGTTTGTTTGTGTAGTAAGTTGGGAGTTAATTCGTTGAAAGATCGCGTTAACTCTTATAGATTGAGAAACCAAACATCTAGTCGTGGGAGAGGCGAAAGTAAGGTCAACGACCTCTCGACCGCGATCAGCACAGTCAGGCAGTCAGTCAGCTGTTCTGTAATACGCGAACATTCCTCAAATACCGATTACTACTAGTGTAATATAAACAAAGTAAAACGACTCAGAACACACGTAACGTTCATATAAATAGTGGAAGAGAAATCAGCGACGAAATGATCAATCGATATAATACGAGTGTTAGATCAGATGAGTACGATTGGATATAAGACGCCAGTGAAACTTGTGAGCGTGTGATACATTTCTCTTCATTGAGAGGTACAGTCGCACGGCACGGAGACATCGCCCGTACTATTAACGACACGGAGCGAGTCGCTCATTAGAAGCCGCCGGTTGGACACTATTATATTCATTAAAATAATCTTTATAATAAACGAAGCTGTTTCCTCTCGAGTCACGCGGGAGCGAGGTCAATTCATACACAGATAGTCTTGTCTTAGTTTTATAGGCCTAAAGATCGTTGATTGATGAAGGATGAATGTAGTTTCGCCAGACGCGTGTGTGACAAGGTCGTCTTGGATAGCGTCGGGACACTTTCACTCGGTCGTGGCAGGTGACATGCCATTTCTCGATACTTGTTCAACAAGTTCATTTTATATTGAAGCGAGTAGAATATTTATTATATCTTCTGTACAGTCGACGACTAAAGATGATTATCATGTTGAGTGATGATCGTGTATGTATTATGGGCAACCTTGGTGCAGGTGTGTCCAGTGAGACGAGTCAGGGGTCACGCTACCCGACGGGGTCCGCGGGGTCCGGAGGGGTTTGGGGGTCGTGTGAACGGGGTCAGGCGGGCGCTGCGTCTCGCATGGTCGGCCGCCCCGCGTGGACCTGTTTCCGAGAAGCCCCACAAACGATTGTCACTATACTCTATACTAGAGTCTATAGCTTTTCGATACTTAATTACTGACTTAGTGATGTTTCCTTATTAATATTTTATAATCGGTGTAACGCGACTATGTAACTTGTATTACTCAGATTACGATACAATCAGTATCATTATCGTCGTATTAAAGTTTAGAACTGATAGATAGTTTTACGACTGGGTTTATCTAATTTTACCACAGGCTCTGATGACGTCATACCTCCCCCTCCCCCGACCCTAGTATTTAATATAGTACGATAATCATAATTATCGCTTCAATGACAAAAACTTACATTCCGTGAGCGTTGAAACGAAATCGCGTGCGTGAGATCTAGTCATTGCATAGATTACAATAGAACCCATCTCAATAATACCTTTATAATGTACTGCGACTAGATTACTTTTGTTAAGAAACAATTTGAGCAATTATATGGACAACATTTTGAGAGAAGAATGAGTCTAGGATGATGGTCCACGTCTTGTGGGTCCTTTGACCCACAAGACGTACAAGATCCGAAGCTAACGTATCGTTTAAGTGACTAAAGAGTTATAAATAGAATTATGATATAATATATTGAAAATTATATCAGCAGACTAAGTGTACAAAAAAATTATTATCATTAATAAAATTGCAGTGAATCAAGCGGACGATGACTATACAACACACACACACATAAATATACATACAAACACACACACACACACACAAACAGACTGTGGGTGGATCGAGCTAACAATTTACAGTCAAACAAGATTAAAGGTTGACGACACTGCAGACTTATATGTAGTGATGTTCATATAACATGATTACTAAAAAAAACAACATTTATGTAGAACATGCATCTGCTGAGAGGACATACGTTTCACCCAAGAAATATACAGAAAATTATGATATTTTCAAGTGAAATACCAAAAATTTACTAGGGTTGGCACAAGACTGAATAGTTTAACCTATCAAGCGAAATGTCCAAAGAGGAAAACAAAATCAATTGATACAATATATTCTGATTCTGTAGGTGTTCGGTAAAAACCCCGTTGACTCGTGGCACCGTCTGAATAATGATACACGGACACACATCAGCAGGTGAAATCGTAAATAAACTAGTGCTGGGACCGACCGACACTCGACAATCACTGCTTTCCCGACACTAGTGCTTGCTAGTATCGATAGTCGATAATTCTATACGTGTCACCAGGTCGATGAAAAAAATAATCGAATATTAAGACCATGTCTAGTTGATGAGAATTGGAATAGAATAGACCATGATTTAATATTGTTATTTATTAATATATTAACAATGCCCCTGTTAGTTCTTATCACATATTAAATTAGTCATTGTGGAAGTTGCCGGATGAATCAGCTTTCAAATGAGATTTATAACAGACCGTAGTCTTGGGGACGTGGTGACGTCACGCTGTGTCAACACACTTTATTATAAGGAAATCAACTTCATATAAAGTATAAGAATCCTACTAATATTATAATTGCAAAAGTTTGTGAGTGTGTGTGTATGTTTGTTACTTTTTCACGCTCAAACGGCTGAAGCGATTTTGATAAAATTTTGTATACAGGAAGCTGACGTCCGGGAATAACATATAGGCTACTTTACATCCCGGAAATTCGCGAGTATCACCGCGGGGCGCAGCTAGTATTCAATAAGTATGAGAAATATTTCATGAACGGAACGTGTATATAAAATATGCTATATACGTATAATATATATTTATAAATAAAACATATTAATTAGACTATATACATATTAAAACTTAACTTAGACATATATCTTAAATTTCAAACATTTATGTCACAGTGACATTCCTAACTATTGTCATCCAAGTGGCGAGAGATGACGTAATGTCAAACGAATAAAAATATTCATTTAAAAATATATATAAATGTAAAATCGAATAAATGAAAGAATGAATGTAATGTATTTAAAATATCGTTAGGTTTTATTGTAATACGTGTCTCTGAGCACTTGTCACATCGGAAGTCACAAGTACCGTCGTGTGTCAATGAGTGTGTAATAACTTACACGTTCTATACTTTGTAGTAATATAATTAGTATTTAGAGAACATCACTTCGTTCCTCGAATATATTACAAATAGCTTTCCGCCCGCAGCTTCGCCCGAATGGGTTCGGTTATATCGCGTTTCCAAGAGAACCTTTTAAGTCTGGGATAAAAACTATCCTATGTTTTTCCTCAAGGTCAACTCTATCTCTGTACCAAATTTCATTAAAGTCTGTTCAATGGTTTAGGCGTGAAAGCGTAACAGACAGATAGACAGACAAACAGACAGAGTTATTTTCGCATTTATAATATTAGTAGGGATTTAATAGATATTTAATATTTATATAAATATTACTTGTCAGTTAATTTCGTTCATAGAGGTACGTATGTGTCACCAGTACGTGACAAGACTCTGATGCTAGTAAATACGTGTTATAATATATTACATAAATTAATAACACTTAAACATGCATACAAAACTTTCGTTATTAAAACGAAATATAGAAAAGTTTATATGACTAATTCTTTGACTAAAGAAATATACGTCAATGTTGCTACTGTTATAAATGGTAGAAAATTTTACCTACCGAATGCATTACTCTTTAAAATTATTCTGAATTTTTTCACCAAGATACGGAAAATTCGAAATAACTATTGTCTTAATATACAGGGTGACTGGTGAATTACTATCAATATTTAAGGAGAATACTGGGTACATGATTCTCATTCGAATTATGTAAAAAAATAGGTACTTAATTTTTGACCAAATTTCCGTATAAATAAATAAAGTGTGGACACGTTCCAAGTGTGGACGCGTGCGGCGGCGTGCTGATACAACACCACGCCGCCACACGCGCGTGTGTGTGTGTTTGTGTATACCTAATCTGTAGGGTGTTCACACGATGCGTAATTAATTACATAACTTTTGGTTAACTTTACTTAGAAGTTTATTAATATTTATGTTATATTAATTTTTATTTTGTCATATATGATCGTCCAATATCACGTCCTCAAGTATCGATAGTTATTCACCAGTCACCCTGTATAAAATAGTCAATTATTATATAGAATCCATTTCATTGATGTTCTCTCTGTATGTATGTGTGTGTTCTCAGTAGGCTGGTCGTGTGCCAGATGGTTGGTTCCATAAACCCCTACATATTCATGATGCTGAGTTCATACATCACAGTTCCAAGGCTCGGTACAAGGTGAACTATCATTACATACAAAACGACGGATCATTACAACCGATACGGCAAGCATTAAAATTTACTACCAATTCAATATACGTAAACAGTATGAGAATTGACAATTATATAACCATTGGTGATTTTCGAGCGATTTTATTATATCTACTAATATTATAAATGCGAAAGTAACTCTGTCTGTCTGTCTGTTACCTTTCACGCCTAAACCACTGAACTGATTTTAATGAAATTTGGTACAGAGATAGAGTTGACCTTGAGAAAGAACATAGGATAGTTTTTAACTTAAACTTTTGAAAGGTTCTCTTGAAAACGCTATATAACCGAACTCCACGCGGGCGAAGCTGCGGGCGGAAAGCTAGTATAGTATATTGACCAAAAATACTGATTTTAATATAATTTTAAGATAAATATATAGTTGTTTACGTTCAGTCCGAGTGGTAATGTCAAGTTATTTTTACACACTTATTTAAAATAAGTACCAACATATGCGTATGAATAAAATTATCCTCGCTAACGGTAATTTCCTTATTCAGAAGGCTGTTACGAAGGTTACATCTCGCTTACAGAAATACACGGTAATATATAATAAATATTAAGCATACATTATACTTATAATATAAAGTACATATAACTATACTAAATGAGATTTAAGATTTACGCGAGTATCATTCATTTAAATGAAACTAATATATTTCGGATATACTACGCGATTTTATTTTTGATAGTTTTCATTTTAATTAGTAGTCGAAACGTCGGGAGTATGTAGTTTTTATCAGAGCGCGTAGTATATATCAATATATTAGTTTAATTTACATCTTTGTCGTCCAAGTCGGTTGAGTTTCATATATCCACGTGGCTCATGTTTTCAATGGCCAGTAACTCACATATTTATCATTGAACATGATTGCAGTACGTAATGGCTCCACCGCAGCCGAACACGTGAACAGAGCTCGTTTGTATAATAACATACAATTGTAGCTTTAGTTAACTTCAAACGTTTTATTTAACTGTTTAAAATCATTATTAATATATATTTTATTATTATATACAAGTCTCTTGTACTAACTTTTCTGACTGATACTTTTATGTTAAATTGAAATATATATACTAGCTTGTGCCCGCGACTCTGTCTGCGTTAGTTTCGTAATAAGAAAAGTATAGCTAACCAGGCGAACTTTAAATAAATAGATTTTGGATTTTATTAGCAATTTTTTTTAGTATCCTATGTCCGTCTTCTGATTCCAACCTATCACCCCACAAATTTCTAGCCAAATCAGTACAGCCGTTTTTGAGTTATAAATAGTGTAACTAGCACGACTTTCTTCTATATATATTTGTACATACATTGAATATTTCGTTTCACTCAATGTAAGCTCATTTCAAAGTATTTCTTACATTATCTTTATCCGTATCACTCTTACGATAATGATAGCTGACACTCCTAAATCCGGTTACAAAATAGTTGGCGAAAAAACTTCATACGCTTTAAAACTAACATATATATAGTATGGAACTTAATCATTTGAATTATAAATACATACTGATAAAATAATATATATCCCTACTAATATTATAAATGCGAAAGTAACTCTGTCTGTCTGTCTGTTACGCTTTCACGCCTAAACCACTGAACTGATTTTAATGAAATTTGGTTAAGAAAGAACATAGGATAGTTTTTATACAGGACTTCTGAAAGGTTCTCTTGGAAACGCGATATAACCGAACTCCACGCGGGCGAAGCTGTGCGCGGAGAGCTAGTATCTATATACTGAAACAGGTTTAAGTTAAGTCACAGGTTCGACACTACAGAGTCAGTTATAAGAGCTCACGACACAAGCATCGCCGGGTGCGTAGCTAGTATTGATACCAGACGAATTATTATCTACATATGACTGTTACGTTAAAATATTACAATGTTTAAAGTATGCAGTTGTTTATAAAACAATTACTTGTAGTAAATAATATGAGTAGTGGTTCAACAATTAATTTTTCATAACTAAACTAGTATTAACATACGGCTTTGTCTGTATCGATCTATGTAAATGTCTTTAAAACATATAAATTTAAATTCCACTACATTTATTCATCGATAAATCCCTACTAATATTATAAATGCGATAGTAATTCTGTCTGTCTGTTACGCTTTCACGACTAAACCACTGAACTGATTTTAATGAAATTTGGTACAGGCTAAGAGTTGACCTTGAGTAAGAATAGAATAGTTTTTATCCCAAACTTTTGAAAAGTTCTCTTGGAAACGCGATATAACCGAACTCCACGCGGGCGAAGCTGCGGGAGGAGAGCTAGTTTAGTATAAATGTTTCGACGATTCACGAATTCAGGTCGGCGTCCTCATGAGTGAGGTTGTTGGAACGACATTGTATAGTGGGTCAATGTCGAGAGATAAACAAGGGGAAAAGTTACGACGGTGAAATTAAAAACAATGTTTTATACAGTCAGCGACGAAGGGCGCCCATTGTACGTGGGTATTACGTAATAATACATAAATATATGTCGACTGTATGATAAATATATTGGCGAGTCAATAATAATTTGGTCAAATAAAATCCAAGTATATGACGTATTGATATCCTTAAGACGAACGTGTTACTTGCTATGACAAATAGAATATTAATAATAAATTCTGTACAGTCGTCGACTAAAGTTGATCCTCATACAAATTGATGATCGTACATCGATTGTGTGTTTTATGTTCTGTGTTGTATGTCACCTTTTTGTATAGCTTGATCCATGTCAGGTCTCCCTTGGAGTCGGTGTATTGGAGTCCAAAGAACCAGACCTCTCGGAGGCCTATGGTCTTCACGACCTGGTCGAACAGCTGTTTGCCGGTGGTCGTCTGCTGGATAGCGAACTCCAGCTCCGCGTCCATTGTCGTCACCCGGACGTTCATCTATAAAACAATATATTATTATATACTGTGTGACGTCACTACATACATACACACACACACACATACATACATTTTATATACAGGGTGACTGGTGAATTACTATCAATATTTAAGGAGCATACTCGGTACATGATTCTCATTCGAATTATGTAGTAATTAATTACATAACTTTTGGTTAACTTTACTTAGAAGTTTATTAATATTTATGTTATATTAATTTTTATTTTGTCATATATGAACGTCAAATATCACGTCCTCAAATATCGATAGTAATTCACCAGTCACCCTGTATAGATATATCCAACTAGGTAAGTAAAATTTCCTTAATAGGTAATAATTTCATATAACCTTATATGGAAATTTTAATCGACAAAGTTTAAGAGCTATCGAAAGATATGTTGAGATTATCTTTGGATGAGAGTGATGCAGGAATTATGTGCGATATACTAGCGAAAGGTTATAAGTGTTGAAGAAAAATCAAAAGAATTCAAACTATAATTACATATAAATTTATAATGAAAATTACTTGTTATTAAATCTCTTAAACTTCTCTGTATGTAAGACAATTTTACGTATTAGAGGACGATACAAAGACAGTGAAAATACTAAAATAGTAACAGATGCAAAATAAGCTGGTTTAATTATAGCTGATTTGGTATCGAGCCAAGCGGATATGATCTTCCGGGGATGATTGTGTCATAGTTATTTACAAACAGCACTCGAACATACGAATTATTATTGAGAAAATATTTACATAGAAATATTAATCTTTAAGTTCTGTCTTTATAAAGTTAGCTTCAAACCAAGGAGCCGATCCATTGATAACGATCAAAGCACGCGATTTTCTAAACACGAACAATAGATTAGTACTTCGTCTTTAAAACATCGTATTCATCGCGATGTTTTATTCTGAAGGCCGACGTCGAACCTTGATCCATCCCCTATAATTAATTAAAACCCGCATCTTCTAAGTTTATCGGTTCCCTTTAATTCTGTTAAGTGACTGGACTGGTTGTGAATAGTCCATAGTATTATAATAGTCCATAGTATTATTATAGTCCATAATATTATTATAGTCCATAGTATTATAATAGTCCATAGTATTATTATAGTCCATAATATTATAATAGTCCGTAGTATTATAACTAGTCGGCGTACATTATAGTCTTATCGTAATAAACGTCGGATGTTTAACCAAGGCTGGCCAATTTGTCACCGTCTGTCTCTACTCATTGTTTAAAAACGTTTCAATTTGAATACAACTCAACTCGGTTGCTAGTAATATAATTAAATTTCCATTCCTCCTTATCGCTAGTTGGTAGTGGTGTATGGAACTCGTAAAATAGTCCGTTGATTAAACTATAATATAAATAGTCGAATGAATGAAACATTTCAAGTTTATTATCTACATACATACAATGTATTACAATCTATTGCGAAATGGGAATGGTATTTCAAGACTAGAACTATAAGAATAACCTTTTATGAATATAAATTTAGCAGTTAGACCCAGACGCAGACCCTGGCTAAAGCTGGGAAATTGTCAGGTAGAAGAGGTTTAGTAGCTTTTGGTTGATAAACAAACAGACATACAATTTCTCCGATTTTAAGAAACCAACATTTTAAAGGTTCTTTATTTATTTGACGATATATAAAACGAAATATTCTTATTCTTAATACCAGTTTTTCGTATTTACACATAGTTTTGAGTATTTCATTCATATTGATACACGATAGTATCAACTTATATATGCCACTGATTCTGGAAATAACTATTAACAATTTCGTATCACTCACCGTCAAAACTTCAATTCTCTTAAACGTTTTAGTAATCTCATTTTTCCTAGTCTTTCTACGCGACAGAAACTTAAACATGGTTCAATTAAACCGTACTAAATTCCAGTTAATTAATTGTGAACGTTAATTATAGAGACGTGTAATCTATTACAAGCCTTGACTGTAATGTGTTATCAGTATCCTACTTTCTTAATTTTTATGAACACAAGCATAATTTACAGCATAGAGTAATCTTCACTATCAGAGCTAGAGTCTAGATGATGATGACGTCATCTTAATCTACCTAAGAAATCGTAACTAATACTTGCTTCATATGAGATTATGTTTTATATAACTATAGCTATTCTATAAATTATATCGGAAAAACAATGAAGTTGTTAACAAAAAAAAGCGGTACGGAAGACGACCACGTAATATCTTACATCAGCCTTCGTTTTTTTTTATAAGTTTACTTAAGTTGTCGTTTCTGTAGTCATCCACTACTGTGACTTGGTGTGTAAGTCTAGTCATTGCTATATAATTTATAGGATACATATTAATATACGGATCGAATGACTCACGTTTGGACTATGAGAATAGAGTATTATATAAATACAATGAAGTTGATAAAAAATATAATTATAATATTGATAAAGAAATACGCCAATATGATAAGAATACGATATAGAGTTAAAATCACGAGTATTTTAAAACTATAGTTTCTTCATGGAAAATAAATCTCCATGTTAAGACGCGGTAGAGGGGAGGCTCAAGGCGAGTGTAATTAAACTAAAGTGTCAGAGTGACTCTTTTAGAGCTATTAAAATGTCAGAGTGACTCTTTTAGAGTCAGTTAGTCAGTATTTTTTCCTATAGCTCATACAAATATCATAAACATTAGCTGTGCGTGTAATCATTACTTTCCATTTGAATGAAATGTGTTTCACGTTATGCAACCTCAAACGTTTATAATAACTTTCATTCCGTATGACTTTAAACTATTCATGATTTGTCAATATTTCTGTAGCATGACCATTTTTATTCGTGACTAGAAGACCCGGCGTACTTCGTATCGCCCTATAGTTAGTTGTCAAATCTAATGTCAAAAAAAACGTTTGTATGGGAAATAGAAAAGGGCTGTTTTTATGGTTTTCCCAGTAATGAATCAATTTTTTTCAGCTTTTAAACCTTCCCTAAACCTCCACGAACATTTCAAGACTATGATAAGATAAATCCGTTCAGCCGTTCTCGATATTTAGTGAGACTAACGAACAGCAATTCATTTTTATATACAGGGTGACTGGTGAATTACTATCAATATTTAAGGAGCATACTCGGTACATGATTCTCATTCGAATTATGTAAAAAAAATAGGTACTTAATTTTTGACCAAATTTCCGTATAAATAAATAAAGTGTGTACACGTTCCAAGTGTTCAAGTGTGGACGCGTGCGGGGGCGTGCTGATACAACACTACGTCACGACACGCGTATGTGTGAGTGTCAGTGTATACCTAATCTGTAGGGTGTTCACACGATGCGTAATTAATTACATAACTTTAGGTTAACTTTACTCAGAAGTTTATTAATATTTATGTTATATTAATTTTTATTTTGTCATATATGATCGTCAACTACCACGTCCTTAAATATTGATAGTAATTCACCAGTCACCCTGTATATAGATATTGTGTCTAAAAAGATTTTTCTTATAGTTTTTATTGGTTCAAAGACAGGTGGTGAGCGGCAGGTGCCTCAATCCAACCACCTTTTCCCCTTAAACCACTTCCTATTGTCATACAAACATGTTAAAATATCTTTATTTTCCATACAAATAATTTTGTTATCCGTATGACACACTCGTGTATACGAAATCATATGATAAACAACATATTTCAGATATGACGTATTTATTTTGTCAGGAGCTTAAAACACAACTATGTAGATAGATAGTAATCTATACATGGTTTTATAACGAATTTTACGATAATATTAATGATTGTATAATAGATAGTGTAAAACTAAGACCATACTGGCTGAATAAAAAAAATAAAAAAAAAACTTATAATAAAAAAAAATATATAATAATAATATAGTGGAATATTTGATTCCGATTACGATTCAGGAGTGCAAGTGAAGCCGAGTGGAACAGGTTATGGTCACGAAGCATATCGACCGTCGAATACACATTCAAGTACGCTCCCGGCATGAATGAGGCGCTACGGACGTCACTACATATAAAAACTCTTTTGAAATTCAAAAAAAGAATAAAAACCCATGAAAAAAAAAAACAAAATGTCATTCTTTTCGCGGCAACAAGGCAATATGTCATAACGATAAAAAAAAGGTTATATTGTTTTTATATTAGGTCATACAGCGGTCTCAATACCTACACGTATTATACTATTCACTTACGAACATGCGAGGCTAATGTATTTTTAGCTCGTTTCCTCGCAATATTTGCATTTGATAACAGCATGTTTTCCGTGCTCTATCGCTGAACAATTCAAATAAACCTGTGTTCATATGTACTTTGGCAGCAAGTAAAACAGTACGAACAAGTGCTAGTTTCAATATTATCATTTTTTTATTTAATCTATGCCTATAAAATAGATGTGGACTATGCTTATCTTTTTTTTTAATTCCCGTATCAATTTATTTCAGATTAATTTCAGCAAAAATTTTCTATTTATATAATATTTTTCGGATGACCTTCGCTAGAACATAACTTTATAATGACTAGGAAATTGTATTGAGATATTTATTATTTATTGCCTTTCATAAAACTATGATTCATGTAAAATTATTGAAAACAATTTCTTAGTAATATGTACGGTTTATGTTTATTATTTTTGAAATTCGAATTATTTTATGCTTCAACATTAGTTTGGACTTTGTTCACTTAACATATTAAAATATATATATATATATATATATATATATTTTGACGTAATATAATCCACACAACTATATATGTATAATGACTTGAGAAAAGTTATGTATCATTTTTCATATCTGGCTCAGATGTCTATCAGACTGAGTAAGTATTGATAGCGATAAAAATATAATGAATTGAGATATTTACTTGGAAATTAACTTCACATTACTAATATATCTTCTAGGAAACGAACAGATTAAACATAACCAGAGTTATACCACGTAACGTAATAATTGACAAACTTGTTTTAGGCATGATTTTTTAAAGGTTTTTTTAAGGTGGAAGATCCTTGATGATATTGTTACTAAACGGAAAAGAATAACCGAATAGTTCGCTTTAAACTTTAAAATGAATGACGTTGAATCTTTGTTAATAATTTAGTTTTTTTTTTCGCGTCTAAGAAATCGAAAGCGGAGTCGGTTTGGCGAACACGCACAGGGCACCGTTCCCGTCTCGCTCCCACCCACGGGGGAGAGAAGGACGGGAACAAAAGACGGTTAAAAACCGTTCAACATAAGAAAAACAATAATAAAATGTGCACCATCCTGAGCGTGGTGGCGTAGCGATGACATCACCACGACTTATGATTTATATATACATAGAATTATTGTTGCTATGTGGTTCATAAGATGGCTGAAACTATATACGAAATACAGCGCGGCGTCAATGGCGTTAGACACGACGCTATTGTATGGGGTATTTCGTAGGGTTAATGCTATAGTATAGTTGACATTACCGTCCGCGTGTTACGTAACTCAGTACCTGTTTTCCGCCGGCGACCATCTTGATGTCCAAGAGTCACGGTCACTCTCACTACACGGTTCGTTAGGTCACACTAGTCCGCGTCAGGCGGACGCGGCGGTACAGTTCGAACTGAACGACGGTTGACGCGGGGATGTGCAGGCGCCGGGCGGCCAGTCGGAGGACGAAGGCTGACTCGATCACCTGACACCGGCTACATACAGCCCGCGGAATAACTACCTTATAGTAATACATATAGAGTCCAAACTCGTTTACTTTATACAGTGCATTATATTGTGATTAATTTTAGCACGTTTTCTATAGGCGCATTTGAATCGCTATAAATGTATGTTCAAAATTTTTAATAATTTTAAAGTAGCATACGATGCAATTCTAAGTATTACATCGTTGGGATCAGTTCGAGGTAGAGATGAGAGTCTTTTTGATTCATTTTCATATAATCGCTTCGTTTAAACCTTGCGAACGATACTTAAACATATAAGTAAGTATATTTTAATATCATATTGTATAACTTTATAACCATTTAATATTGCATTATTCTCATTGTTTTCTCTTCATTGTAAACGATGGGATACATAACAATTAACAATATGTGATGTTCTTTCTATGTTATACATGAAGTATAGAAAATATATGTAAACTTAGAGCCAGAACATTTGGGTACAATTATTATTTACTTAAAATTAATAAACTGTATTAAATCTTTGTTTAAAAACTGGTAACGACAATATACACCTTTAAGTTCAACATCTACTAATATAATCGCTAGTCCTAGCCACTTTTGAAGCTCCTCTCCCTGCAATGCAATGGACCCGGCACCCGCACGGTGAATCCATTGAATGCTAAGAAATTTCGTCTCTACTTAAAACGCATTTTATATTGGGTTCAGAAAAAAATTAATTAATATGTTTCGGAACTAATCATAATATTAATATTTCATATTTTCGTGATAATATGACATAAAAATTTGTTACTCAAATTACAGAGCGATTAGCGTAGACTATATAAAATTTATATATTGTGGTGGCCTAGTGGTTAAAAGGCCCGCCTCTCATGCATCAGGGCGCGGGTCCGATCTTGGCAAGTACCAATGTGATTTCTCCGAGTCATGTATTTTCCGAGAGCATTTAGACATCACTGATTAATGCATTCCCATAGAGGGTTGATGTCAGGCAGGCGGCCGGTCGTAAAAACAATTAGCCAAAACTATTCACAACATTGGCTAAAGCTGGAAAATTGTCAGGTGGAAGATATACAGGGTGACTGGTGAATTACTATCAATATTTAAGGAGAATACTCGGTACATGATTCTCATTCGAATTATGTAAAAAAAATAGGTACTTAATTTTTGACCAAATTTCCGTATAAATAAATATAGTGTGGACACGTTCCAAGTGTTCCAAGTGTGGACGCGTGCGTGTGTGTGTGTATACCTAATCTGTAGGGTGTTCACACGATGCGTAATTAATTACATAACTTTTGGTTAACTTTACTTAGAAGTTTACTAATATTTATGTTATATTAATTTTTATTTCGTCATATATGATCGTCAAATATCACGTCCTCAAGTATCGATAGTAATTCACCAGTCACCCTGTATATGTCGTATTTATCTGAGTCCGCGATGGGTGCACTGTCACATAACGAGATAAACAACGTCCCACTTTCTAGCTTCCTTCCTAAAACATGTACGAGACACACTAATGGATAGCTACGACCATCGACTATTAAGGCAACTATTAAGGCAAATTATATAATAACTTAAAATTACTTACGACTATCATTAATTAATTATTTATTGGGAAACTTTATGTGACTCACGGTAACTTTAGATAGGAATTCGTTATCGTGGATTTTATTTAACATTTCAGACGAATTAATATTTAAATAATTTGAATATCATTGTATCGCATTTAAATTTTCGTTGTATAAAATATATAATTACTGAAGCATGTATAAATAGATTAGCAACATTTAAAAATTGTATGGATTTTTGAGGTAGTTTCAGTTTTATATATGGCAAATTGTTTAATAATAATTAATAAGTAGAGACATGTAAAGAGAAGTTTATTAGTATATGAAAAACACAAAAAAAGTCTTAAATATACAAATAAACAACTGTATGCACTACACATAAGTTGTGTGTGTTGGTGAAATTAGTTGGACAAAGGGACAAAACTCGAGAGAATCAAACAGGTTAAATAAATATGTAACAATTGTGAGCTTTAAAATCAAAGTAGGAAGGTACAAAATCATTTGGCGAATATATTTGATACTTTTGTAGCAAAAATAACTTTTAGAAGTCATATATATGAAATTTAGATAGAAAAGTGTCTAAAAGAGTTCGTCTAAAAGAAAAAGTATTAAGAATGTATTAAATACAAGAAAACAAGAGTCTATTGAAGACAACTGATGAAAAAGAATAAGTTTTCTCCATAATAAGGTTTTATATTCAGATAATAAAAGGATTTCTATTAAATAGGCACGAAAAACTAATTCAGATGTGTTTACAGTGTATGGCTATATACATTGTGTTCAAAACCTGCACAGGAACAAAAACCAAACTCAACTTGTTAGCATACGAAAAATACTAAACTATAAAAACCAATTCTATTGAACAAACAAACTGACCGAGAAATCATTCCCTGGCATAATTTTTGTCAGATATTCAAGTAACTGTAAACAAATATATCAACATAAGTATTGGCTTCAAATATTAAGTCAAAGACCAATTATCAATGCTACCTATCTATAAATGAGAGCTGCATTTAAATTTATGGGCATATAAAAAAAACAAATGAGGCCACAGATACAATAAAACTGCACAGATTATATAAATATTACTATAAAACCTCCTTAGTGATGTACAAACTGTATTAATGTTACTATAGATAATTTTTATAACATAAATGTTAATTATTTGTATGTTAATAGTGACAAGTCACCATAGGAATGTATTGAGCAATCAGGGCCTAGTCAACATTATGCTAATTGCATTTACATCACATCACTCAAAGCTACCTAAGCTGTATTTTAAATGTTAATTAAAAATTATGTTTTTTAAGCAACAATGTATTGTTATCAGTGTAATTAATTTTTATTTAAATAATGTTATATTAAAAGTTATTTGCACCTCTACTCTCACTCTTATCAGTGTTTCAACAAACACTTTTACTTTTCATATTAACACTACTAGTTATCTCAATATATTTCCTTATAAATTTCACATGTATAGCTGTGGTTATAACTTCAAAGACTTAATATGCTGTTTGATCACATTGCAATGGAGAAATCAGTGAAAACTTCAACATTGCTTTCTGTCCGCTTACATACGTAAGGTAAATATATAAACAAACGACCACTTACCGATTTCGGCATGTTTGCGGCTTGGGATCACTATCTGCAACCAGAAAACGAAACTATTAGAACATTACGATAAAAAATATCCGCTTTAGGAAAGTAGTTGACAAGCAACGAGCAACGCGTGACAGTGCGAAAGAAATTTGTAACTGAATTCTATTTTATGAACTGTTAACACGAATAATAAGATCTAAGTAAATAACTATTATTAATTTTTCATAGAATAAAGTTACGGACAACCGATGAATAAGTAGACGCCGGTGAGAATATGTACATTGTACAACACTGGGAATGGGTCATAAAGTCACGAGTGCAAGATAGCAAAAATACGTGTATACTATCGTTTTATTAATATAAACTTACCCGGTAAAAGAGAAATATCACCTAATAATCCACATATGTAGCACAACACACATGAAGAAAGCACACACCCAAAAGACCTACAAAAATATCGCGATGTGATATGACAACTGATGACTTCGTGACGTGGTATATGGTATTGCCATATATCAGTTTTGAATATTTCTCTGAGAACAGGTTATGTAAATAAAAAAAATCTATCTGTAATATTCAAAATAGTAAACTGTAATGAAAGCAATGAATTTGTTATAGATAAATTTTAGTTAATTAGTATATGAAACTTATGTTACAATAAACGAATTTGTGGCGAAAAAGTTACGACTTTAATGTAAGCAAAATAAATAATAGTAAATTATATACTCTAGTCTTAATTTCAGGTATATGAATAAAATGAATATTTTTTAAATGTAGACCTATATGAAAAATCATAAAATAATATTATAAGCCGCCACCGGGACTGGGAGAGTTGACAAATAACATTTCAACTGTCAAAATGTATATGTTTTTACATAAAATATGAGAAATGTTTTAATTTTTAAAAATCGGCACTCCTTGTTATGTATTTTTTTAAAGAAATATTTTTACAGATACTTGTTATCTAAGAAATAATGGTAGTATTAGAAAAATAAAGTAAGAGTAATTGAAAATAAATAAAACCATTCCTAAAAATATTATGCAAAGAGTTCCTACATTCCTAACTTTGATCTAAACTATGTCCTTCAAACGTTTGTGTCATTGGGGACCAATATGTGTATTGGGTAAGACTTCAGCCATTAACACTTCATTTACAAAGTTGAAAAAACCACCTGAAACATTATGTTTACCAATGTTTATATATGTATATATGTTATGAACTTACATAGTGCCGGCGTTAGAGGGACTGACACCCTGGGCAAAAATATTTTGGCGCCCACTTGAAGAAATCAAAATCGAGTATTAATTTTTTTCTGAACCAATGTGAACCCTGAACGTGTATTAAGAATTCTATATTCCATCTACCATCTACCATCTTTCCTTTAGCGTGACCCAGAGCTAACGACGTGGACGTAGAAAGTTATGTAGCTCCTATTATTTATTATTTTTTCATTTGTAAGTATCCTACCTCCACTAATCGCCGCCCCAAATTTGGCGCCCGGGGCCGTCGCCCCATCGCGCCCCCCCCTAACGCCGGCACTAAACTTACAATATTTATGAATAGTGAATTTAAATGTGTAAATATATCTTTAGGTATAATAAAACTGATAACATGGTCGATGGTGCATCTGATTGGTATGTGGTGGCCGCCGTACCTCACTCTCGGAGGGGCTCTTCACGCTGCTCTGTTCCTCAGCCTGGCTGCTTCCACTCTATATTTCTTCATGCAAGCATTGCTTGAGGGTCCCGGCTATGTTCCTCGTGGTTGGAAGCCTGTGAGTTATTTTATTAAGTATTTGGGAAAGCAATATAAAAATTGCTTTGTCTCATTAAAATAAATGAATACAGAATTTTTATTCAAATATTTTATTGTGAATATTAAATATCTTCTATATATATAAAAATGGATTGCTGTTCCTTAGTCTCGCTAAAACTCGAGAACGTCTGAACCGATTTGGCTAATTTTAGTCTTGAAATACTCCTGGAAGTCCAGAGAAGGTTTAAAAGGTGAGAAAAATTGGATAATTGCCGGAAAAACCCTAAAAACAGCCCTTTTCTATTTCCCATACAAACGACTTTTTGACATTAGACTTGACAACTAACTAATATGTCAATCAGTAGAAATTTAATAAATACCAATACCGGGTTATTGAAGACGGAATAGAGTTTGCCACGTCAGCTATACCTATATTACTAATGACGAAATTAACGCGGTCGAAGTCGCGGGTAAAAACTAGTATGTTTATAAAACAATGAAAATGATTAATAAAAAATTAAGCAAATATTTATATAGTAATAAATGTTATGAATCTCAAAGCTATCTTTAAAAATTTAAATAAATTCAATAATTATAGTTAGTGTTTAATATGGATTTTATAATAATATAGCAATTGTAGTATAGGGAAATGTGATAAAAATAAAATTAATATATGAATACATATATTGTTTCAGAAAGATGAATGTGATGTTCAGTACCTCCAGTACTGCACTATATGCAAGGGATACAAAGCACCCAGATCACATCACTGTAGAAAATGTAAGACTCCATAAAGAATCTAAATTCTATACTTAAATTAAAAAATTCTCATTATAATCAAGTTTTCTACATACATCATCTTAAAAAATCATTATATATTACAATTAAAATATTCTTATACAAATTTCTCCATTTTCGGTCATATCTGACTAGTTTAGAATATTATTACACAAAAAATCAGTCTGCACTGAAATAATTATAAAATATTTCATATTTTTCATTTATTTACACTATAAATATATGAAAAATATGAAGGTTGTCTGGTAGAAATAGCTACCTAGCGATAAGAGTGCCTTATTGTCCATCTACTTTTATTTTGTATATATTTCATTTTTATTGTTAAATTACTATGCTATTGTGGTGTACAATGAAGTATATTATTATTATTATAAATTTAATTTATTTTTATATTATGTGTGTGTAGGTGGGTACTGTATAAAGAAGATGGATCACCACTGTCCGTGGATCAACTGTTGTGTAGGTCACAACAACCATGCATACTTCACTATGTTCCTCATATCCGCTGTACTGGGCTGTCTTCATGCATCTATTGTATGTTAACTTGTTTATTAGTAATAATTAAGTCGTAACTTATTATTTACTACATTTTCATGGTTTTTAAATTAAAATTGACCTATCATTAGGATTAAAATGTTAGAAAAATTAAACATGTACATGTATTTTCAGTTTAATGATTATAATGTAATGTGTCTTTGAAAGAAAACTAATTGTTTGATCAGTGCTATACAGGGTGACTGGTGAATTACTATCAATATTTAAGGAGCATACTCGGTACATGATTCTCATTCGAATTATGTAAAAAAAATAGGTACTTAATTTTTGACCAAACTTCCGTATAAATAAATAAAGTGTGTACACGTTCCAAGTGTTCCAAGTGTGGACGCGTGCGGCGGCGTGCTGATACAACAACACGCCGCCGCGCGCGAGTGTGTGTGTGTGTGTGTATACCTAATCTGTAGGGTGTTCACACGATGCGTAATTAATTACATAACTTTTGGTTAACTTTACTTAGAAGTTTATTAATATTTATGTTATATTAATTTTTATTTTGTCATATATGATCGTCAAATATCACGTCCTCAAATATCGATAGTAATTCACCAGTCACCCTGTATAATATAAAGTGTTCTTACATTTAACCTTCCTTAAACAATTTTTAAAAAATATATATCACAATGGCATGTCATTAAACGCAATATATTATTTACTTATTAAACACTAAACCAAAATTCATCCTGTTTTAAGTGGAGATTCAAATGGCTTAAACTTGAAAGGGTTACTCAACAGTGACTGAATGCTTTTAGTACATATTCATTCATTCATTCATTCATTCAACATAAATGTATGTCATATATATCTCCAGCTGTTGTCTATTTCATTCATTCGTTCATTTATTCACTCATTCCAGGTGAATGTATCTCGTAGTTGTTATATATTTCCAGGTGTTGTCTATCTGTCTGTATCACGCCATTCACCGCGTGTGGTACCTCCAGTATGGTGACGGCACCGAGCCGCTCATCTACGTGACCTTGACCACGTTGCTTCTGTCCCTCCTGGCCACGGGCATGGCCGTGGGCGTTGTGCTGGCCGTGGGCGCGCTTCTATATCTGCAGGTATGTAGAATATTGTATTGATATAATTGATTATTGAATATATATATTATAAACCAACTGAAAGGCGTCATTCTGTGCTTTTGCTTGCTTTAAGTATAAATGCTGTTCTAATATTTTTTTATATTAAATAAAACAATTTTGATTGTAATGGTTCTTGCTATAATTATAATTAACTGGATTTTGATTTTCGTGTTGAGTTTGTATTTTATTCAGAGATATATTTATGTATTCAATGTAATAAATATGTTAATCGATCGTCAGCGACATCTATCGTCTGACATAACACATTACGGGACTATATACTAGATACAAGTAATATGTATAATGTGCTCTTGTGTATAATTTATAGCCTCGTGTCTAATCTACATTGTTTGAAAGTCTCATCAAAATCCATTCAATATATTTATCGTGACAGCAACAAACTTCCATACATACACTCACAAACTGACATATATTCGGTTATATCGCGTTTCCAAGAGAAACTTTCAAAAGTCTGGGATAAAAGCTATCCTAAGTTCTTTCTCACGGTCAACTCTATATCTGTACCAAATTTCATTAAAATCAGTTCAGTGGTTTAGGCGTGAAAGCGTAACAGACAGACAGACAGAGTTACTTTCGCATTTATAATATTAGTAGGGATTAATATAATGTAATCTCAATCAGATGCGTAGTATTCTCCGTAACCGCACCACCATAGAAGACTGGATAGTAGATAAGGCTGCCTGCAGACGTGATGAGCGGGGCCTGCCTAAGTTCAAGTTTCCTTACGACCTGGGCTGGAAGAATAATCTGCTTCTCGTGTGGAGCGGGCATAAGTATGACGGGATACACTGGCCGGTTATTAACGGGCGGGGGCAGTATGACCTCACGGTGAGTGTGACCCTGACTTTAAGTGTTATGTTGAATTATGTTGCAGTGACTGTGATAATTAATATATAGTGTCCTCATTTGAATGGATGAACTATTTGATTCATTATGAATACTCATATAATATATGTATTTTTATCGAACTAATAAAATTCGTAACAAAATAATTGTTATCACTTACTATCATTTTAAACCCTAATTTCGTAATCTAACACTTTTTACTTATACTGTTTTACAAAGTTTCATAGCAGCGCCTAATCCAATTAATGACAACTAATAGAATGAGCTCTCGTCGGTTTGCAACCATGATTATAGTCTCGTTTGCCTATGGTAGGAAAAACCGGTGGCGGGTAATGGGGTAGTTTTAGTTCGTCAATAGTATAAATATCCGTGTTAAATGATTCTTCCTATCATTTAATTCTGCTTATTATTATCAGATGGAGCAGAAGGCCCAGAAGGCGGACAAGGCGGTTCGTTCCCGCGTGTACACTGCGGTCGCTCCATACTCCGGCCGCTGGCTGCCTCTCATACAGTACCCGCGAGCGGCGCTCGGCCCGCCATGCAGCGACGAGCATCGACTGGCGCTGAGCGTAGGCGACCGGGTCAAGGTCACCAGGCATCGACGGTGAGCACACACACACACACACACAGACACACACACACACACACACACACACACACACACACACACACACACACACACACACAGTGCCGGCGTTAGAGGGACTGACACCCAAGATGTGATCCCGACGTTTCGGTTACTAGTCGGCAAATTAATTCATTGATTTTCAAAGAGATCGCAGTATTATAAGATTTTCATTCAATCGATCAACTGATCGACCAACTAGTCGGGCAACTGGTTGGGCAACTGATCGACCCACTGATCGACCAACTGATCGTCCAACTGATTGACCAACTGATCGTCCAACTGATCGACCAACTGATCGACCAACTGGTCGACCAACTGATCGACCAACTGATCGACCAACTGATCGACCAACTGATCGACCAACTGATCGACCAACTGATCGACCAACTGGTCGACCAACTGATAGACCAACTGATCGTCCAATTCGCTTCTATCTAAAAACAAACAGGGCCTAACCCTCGCAGCGTCTATTCAGCATTACACAATACAATATTTGAATCCAGTTCCGGTTATGAATGTTTAATATATGTAGGTACAAAAATATAACACGATTCTCATATAAATTTCTTTAACACGAACGAGAAAAACTTGTACAAGAATTTACAAGTATTTTTGTAAAAACTTGTACAAGAATTTTTGTACAAGAATTTAAGTCATAAGCTGTTCCCATTTTAAACAAAAGAAATGTTTTGATAGCGAACAAAAAATTAATTAAAATTATAGTCAATAATATAAAGTTTATGAGGTCTAAGACTCGCGAGTTTTTATTTAAATGAAACTAATATTATTCGTATTACTACGCGTTTTTTATTATTTTAACTACATACTCCCGACATTTCTTCTGTCATTTTCAAAAATAATTTTAATATTAAGTTAATCTTCTATATAGAATTGTATTTGAAGGCTAAAAATAAGTGAACAAAAGCCACGAACAAAAACAAATCGCTACCAATATTATAAATACTAATATTATAAATGCGAAAGTAACTCTGTCTGTCTGTCTGTTACGCTTTCACGCCTAAACCACTGAACTGATTTTAATGAAATTTGGTACAGAGATAGAGTTGACCTTGAGAAAGAACATAGGATAGTTTTTATCAGGATTTGACAGGTTTTCTTGGAAACGCGATATAAGCGAACTACACGCGGACGAAGCCGCGGGCGGAAAGCTAGTTCTTAATAACTTTGAAATTATGAATATTTATTGTACTTTAAATCATTTTTTAATAATGCTTCTTTCTATAGACAAAATGTTCTTTTCCAATATAACAAAAGGTATTTATTACTATCTTTGTTTAATACGGTCTAGATGTTAAAGGAACAAAGTTATTCTTCGTCTATCATTAAACTATTGTTCTATAATGTCAAAGATTTCTGAAACGAACAATAAAAGAAAAAATTACAATTTATGGTATATTGTATTGAAAAATATAGAATGTTTGTAAATGCTTTTTTAAGTCACGGGTAAAATTAGCATCAGCTTTGAAAAATATTTGCATTATATATAAAATTCTCGTGTCGCGGTGTTAGACAGAGAACTCCGAAAGGACTGGACCGATTTTGATGAAGTTTTGTGAGCATATTGAGTAGCTCTGAGAATCGGACGACATCTATTTTTCATACCCCTAAGTCATAAGGGTTGTTCACACACACACAGTGCCGGCGTTAGAGGGACTGACACCCTGGGCATGAATATTTTGGGGCCCACTTGAAGAAATCAAAATCGAGTATTAATTTTTTTCTGAACCAATGTGAACACTGAACGTGTATTAAGAATTCTATATTCCATCTACCATCTACCATCTTTCCTTTAGCGTGACCCAGAGCTAACGACGTGGACGTACAAAGTTATGTAGCTCCTATTTTTTATTATTATTTTTTTCATTTATAAGTATCCTACCTCCACTAATCGCCCACCCCCCAAATTTGACGCCCTGGGCCGTCGCCCCATCGCGCCCCCCCCTAACGCCGGCACTGCACACATACACACACACACACACACACACACACAAATACATAAGATTCCAAATTTAAAAATACACAAGATTAAAAACTTAAAAATACACAAGATTTCAAATTTAACAGATACTATAGCAAAAATTTTAAACCTCTTTGGGTTAAAAGTAATTTGGTATAGGATTAAACTCATAGAAATTTTTCTGATGACACAACAATAGCACGAGCTCATATGATTTGGACATAGTTGGTGTCACTGAATATAAAAGATTGTAATGACTCCATTAAACCACCTATACATGTTCAGTAAGCTATATCATTTAAAAATCATAGAAATAATGATTTCGTTTGTTCATTGTATAATTGTATTGTGTTTCCAGTCACTGGCTGTTCGGGGAGAAGCTTCTATCAGAGCAGGAAACTGTCGATGGTGTGAGAGGTGACCGCGGCTGGTTCCCGCGCGCCGCCGCCGGCCTCGACACACACACATACACACACACGAACACACACACAGACAGAAATAAGAATAAACCGGACTAGAAACAAAATTAACGAGAAAATACTACCTATTATAAAAACAAAACATTTATTTGGTTGGCTCAAAATATCATTTTTTAGTACAGATATCGTTTTGTTGTTGTCTCTGTAAAATAGCCTCTATTAATATAAGCATAAGTCTGATTAAACTATTACAACTACAATGAGTAATACCACCAGAATAATGTGTTGCCTGAAGTATTCAATGAAGTGTATAGAACAATATATAATAACCATAGACAAACTAAACATTCGTTTTTTTCTTACAAATATTAAGTTATCAAATGTAACTCTATGACCATAGACTACTAATTTAATATAGTCTGTGCAAATGCGGCCTGTTTAATACTTAAATAACTCAGTATACTTACTTTATATGTAAGCAATGTATGTATATTATATTACATAATTACATACATATAGTGTGGCATATTCTCAGAATTATGTGTTTTATATTCAGTTATTGACTACATTTCTATGTCATATATATATATATATATAGAAATGTAGGCAATAACTAAATAAAGTCAGTGATGGCCTAGTGGTTAAAAGGCCCGCCTCTCATGCACGAGGGCGCAGGTTCGATCCTGGCCCGGGCAAGTACAATTGTGATTTTTCCAAGTCATGTGTACTTTCTAAGAGTATTTAGACATCACTGATAAATGCTTTCCCAAAGAAGGTTGATGTCAGGCAGGCGGCTGGTCGTAAAAACTATTATTAGCCAAAACTACTCACAACATATAAGACAGACCCTGGTTAAAGCTGGGAAATTGCCAGGTAGAAGAAGATATATATATGTCATGAGTACCAATTACTGAGTAATAATTAAAGCAAACATATGTAATGTTATATATGTATAACACTTATGATAAAGTCAAGTCAAACTGATCTCTGTTAACATTCAAAGAATTTTTAGATTCCATATATGAACTGTTTTTTTGCATATATTTTTATTAGACTTTGTAATTGTTTTATAATAAAATATAAATTAAGCTATTTCAATACATCTGGTTGACTATTGATTCCTTTTTTATTGTAATCTGTGGATTTTAATAAAGTTGATCATTTTTGGGAATTTATATGTTTTTGAACTGTATCTTGTCTAGTTTTGTTCTATCTATTCTATTTGTGAATATTTTTCTAGAATGTTCTATACAATAATATTAAATAATCCATGTTCCTACATATCTGTAACAAGGAAATAAACGATGGTTTTTTAGTGTAAAATTGTTTATTGTGCATTCAAATAAATAATCTTCCATACATTATTCTCGTTAGAAGCACTTATATATAATTTAGCTTATAAAATAATAATAAAAATATTAATATTCTTAAATCCGATATCTATATAAATATTATTTTAATTAATAAATGCAAATTATCCGTCAAGGTTACAGTCTCACAAACTTTACGTTTCTCGTTGAAATCATATTTCAAAAGTTTGTACTGTTAGTAAGCATACACACGTCTTTTACCGCTAAAATAAAAAAATATATAAGAAGTTTTTATGTTAAAGAATCCTACCAAATGTTATTATTAGTGCTAGCAACACTGACGGAATGGTAGAAATTAAGATTTTGTTTGCTGCATCGACTTATACTAATGGACATGCCTTAGATATGAGAATTGTGGCACTCCGAAAGAAAGAGAGGAAACGAAGTTTCGGTCTATCTTTATCTCTCTCAAAATAGTACCGTACTTAAGACGTTATGAGCCCCTTCTGGATAATTTATATGCCGTGCTTGTCATGAAAATTCAGCGCCAATCATCTATGAGGAAAAAGATAGTGCTATACCGAAAGCATAGGCCATCTCTCTCACTCTTTTCAAACCAAAAAATTACTGTAGATTATACGCGTATGGTCCATTAGTATATGTCGATGGTTTGCTGATTATATTTGTCAGTTTAATATTCATTGTCTTCATCGAGCTCGCCCTCTGTAGAATCAACCCCCACTTCTTCATAATCTTTCTCCAAGGCTGCCAAGTCCTCTCTCGCTTCAGAGAATTCTCCCTCCTCCATACCCTCGCCCACGTACCAATGAACGAAAGCACGCTTGGCGTACATGAGATCAAACTTGTGGTCCAATCTGGAAATATAAAATAATACTTAAAATGATATTAATATATTATTCTCGCGAGTACCAAATGAAGCTACTTTTTTAGGTTGTACCTAGGAGTTACTAATCTTCTAAATAATTATTATGTTTTATACGTTTAGTGAGTCTACTCTATATCGTATGCCTGTTATCACGGCTAACCGAATTGTAGGGAAAATGTAAAATTAAATAATAAATAATTGTATATTCGAAAAATGTAATGGTATATACCTAACCAACTCAAAACTATTATTTTAATATGTGTCAGAACATGTTTTAAACTATACTAGTATGTTGAAGATTAATAGTTTTTACTTTAATGCAATTAATAAGATTTTTTATAATCAATACTAATAAACATATTTTATATCGTCCTTATACTTCAATTATTTTTATTCAATAAAAGATGAACTTCAACAATAAAGTGCTATTTTGACAGTACAGTTTATACACCTAGTTGCCTTATACCCATCATAATTTCAAGTGATGATCCATCTGAAAAATTTTTGCTAAACTTTTTAAATATTATTTACGAGTTAAATTTTTCATAAAAGATATACTAGAATAATAATTAATTATTAAAATATCAATTCAATATAACTGTTTCTTTGTATTTCTAACGATTTATCCTACTAATATTATAATTGGGTTTTTGAATTTTTTTTTTGTGATAAATGGAAAGATCATATATAAGTTTTATAACAAAACTATTTTTATTTTTTTTTTGCAATAATTAAAAAGTTATTTCAAAATAAAAATTAAATTTTAAATTCAGTACCGAAGATCTGCCGACAGCTCCCGAATAAACTTTTTGCTTAAAATTTTTGCTCATTGTAGCATACAGAGATATAATAATAATTAATACAGTGTTTTAAGTTTTTATCTAGTAAATTCTGTTGGCATTGTTAAATAATCAAAAATGTCAAAACTCAAAAGTTATCGTTCTTGTTTTGTACCATTATGTACAAATACTACAAAAACAACTCCTGAAAAAATGTTTTTAAATGTTTTTAAATGTTTTTAAAAAAAACGTCGCAAGAAATGGTTTCAAGCAATGCACCGAGATTATTCAAAAACAAAATCAATTTTTTTTGTTGTGAAGATCATTTCGATGTAAGTATTCATAATAATATTGTTATTAATTATTATTTATCTAAGTGTATAAATCGAATAAGAATAGTTCAGTAATTATTTTTTTTACCTGGGCTCCAAATCATAACCTTTAGAATCGTAGCATTAAAAAAATTTTAATTGATAATTCAAAGCGATTAAATAGTAAATCTATGTGTATGTTTGTCTAATAATTGGAATTCAATTAGGTAATAGATATTTTCATAATTTTATAACATTCTAGGTTCTGTATCCGACTACATTTAAATTTTTAAAGTATATGTTATTTTGGTTTTTTATAATGTTATAATAACATTTTATAATTCTTATGATTTCTTTTTGTAGCTAAAAGCTGATATGGAAAATTATATTTATTATACCACTATGGGAGGTAAAGCAAAGATTAAAATTGATGTGGTACCACACAAGTTTGAATGTCAACCCAATCGTAAACGACAAGGCACTTCAATGACTCTTATTAGATCAGCTGCAGAAAAAGGACGGAGACAACAAATTTTAAGTGAATCGTTAGAAAATAATGAAACGGGTAATTCTCAAGAACCAAATATTGATGCCGTATCAGTTAACACTGTTGAACATATTGAAATTGATTCTGCTCCTGTACATTTAACACCTTACCAAAAAGTTAGTGTTGAAACACAAACTGATATTAAAAAATAAAAACCGCACCGTTGCTGTACAAGTGTGTAATCGTCCTAAGTATCGGAGTGTGGCAGTTCAATGTAAAATTTTATCAACTGGAGTTGATAAATCCTGCTCACCGATTAAGACTGGTAGCATTAGTACTGCAACATTTCCAATAAAACCACTGCGTCAAAAATCAATTTCAAATTTACTGGATGCCCAGAAAAGTTTGTCATTAAGTAGTTTTACACATTCAAATAGTTCACAAGAAATTTATGAACCTTCGGAAAATACTGGCTCAAGTACTATGGATTCTAGCAGCTGTCAATCTCCTGTAAAATTAGTTATCATAAATATATCAACATCAGGAATATTATCCGATTTTGCTTTTATAAATCCTTTATCACACATAGTTAGTCGAAATAAACTTTTCAAATCGTTTTTCACTAATAAATTTGAGATTTTTTTATCAAGTCAAAGATAATAGCCATAAACAGTGTACTATTATGAAATTGCTTTAACATTATGACGTCACAAGTATGGCAACCAATCATGGCGCGTTTACAGTCACGTGATTTTTTTTTGAATTTTATCAATTTTTATTTGTTTATAATTAATTAAAAATAAATTGTTTTCAAGTTTTTTGCATTAAAATTCAATATAATTTATAATAAAGTTTTAAAATACATAAAAAAAATCAATACTTTTTTTTTTCAAAATCCCAATTGCGAAAGTTAGTGAGTGTGTGTGTATGTTTGTTACTTCTTCACGTTCAAACGGTTGAACCGATTTTGTTAAAATTTTGTATACAGGAAGCTAACGTCCAGGAATAACACATAGGCTACTTTACATCCCGGAAATCGGCGGGTAACACCGCGGGGCGCAGCTAGTTTCTTCATAATTCTGTTTGTACCGTACCTGGCCCAAGCTTCAGCGATGGCGGTAGTATTAGACAACATGCACACGGCTCTTTGAACCTTCGCCAGGTCACCTCCCGGGACGACCGTCGGCGGCTGGTAGTTAATACCGACCTGGAGAATACAGATTACATATAAAAAATTACTATAAAGAAAAAATAAAATTATATATAGTGTAGAAAACGTGTCGATGTTCTGCGGAAGTTTTTTTTTGGGCAGACCCTAGCTAGGGCTTGGAAATTGCCACGAAGAAGAAGAGAGTGTAGAAAACACATCAACTATAGTAAATGTTACATAGTATTATCATCTTCTATCTTCTATATATATAAAAATGGATTGCTGTTCCTTAGTCTCGCTAAAACTCGAGAACAGCTGAACGGATTTATCTTATCTTAGTCTTGAAATGTTCGTGGAGGTTCAGGTAAGGTATAAAAGCTGAAAAAAATTGATTCATTTCTGGGAAAACCATAAAAACAGCCCTTTTCTATTTCCCATACAAACGGTTTTTTTTGACATTAGACTTGACAACTAACTAATATGTCAATCATTCTGTTCGATTGAAACAGGAGAAACCTGATTATTAATGGCCTCTAAAACGGAATATAGTTCGCCCGGTTAGGTATACATATATTACTAATGACGAAACTAACGCGGACGAAGTCGCGGGCAAGAACTAGTATATTAATAAAAGTAGTAATAATTAAAAAAAATATGTTTATAAACACCACTTTTAAGACATCCGGTTCTAGACATAGAAGTTTTAAAAATTAAATCTAAAATATTCCTTTATTCGTGAATCGTGATTATATTAATGAATACTGAATTCATTAAACATATATAATATAATATATAATACCTTGAACCCTGTTGGACACCAGTCAACAAACTGAATAGTCCTCTTAGTCTTAATGGTAGCGATGGCTGCGTTCACGTCCTTCGGTACTACATCTCCTCTACAATAAATAGATAATAATGATTATTAATTATTATTATTGCAGATGTCTTGAAAAAGTAGTCTTTTATGAATATGGTACATTACCTGTACAACATGCAGCAAGCCATGTACTTGCCGTGTCTCGGATCGCACTTCACCATCTGAAATTTGAGAAATAACATTAAGTAATTTAGATTTTAGACAATTAACAGTTGTATAACAACTAACAAAAATTTTTCAACCACTACAGTCATTTGAAAAATATGAGAAATACAATTAAATAAATAGTATTAAAACTGTCTATTTGGTATTTCATATTAAGTTGGCAACGTTTCAAACGAATTAAGCTATCCATCAGCTATCAAGCATCGTATTATTTTCCGCATTGCGGCTATGATACCAAAAAATCACTACTAATATTATAAATGCGAAAGTAACTCTGTCTGTCTGTCTGTTAGGCTTTCACGTCTAAACCACTGAACTGATTTTAATGAAATTTCGTACAGAGTTAGAGTTGACCTTGAGAAAAAACATAGGATAGTTTTTATCCCAGACTTTTGAAAGGTTCTCTTGGAAACGCGATATAACCGAACTCGATTCGGGCGGAAAGTTAGTACAGTTATAATTCTTTACGAGGTTATATGTGTTTTACCTGGTTGGCTGGTTCAAAGCAAGCGTTGGTGATCTCAGCTACAGTGAGCTGTTCGTGGTAAGCCTTCTCCGCGGAGATGACGGGAGCGTACGTCGCCAGAGGGAAGTGAATGCGAGGGTACGGAACCAGATTCGTTTGGAACTCAGTCAGGTCCACGTTGAGGGCGCCGTCGAAACGAAGAGACGCCGTGATAGAGGAAACTATCTGTATAATGACATGAAGAAATTATTATATTGAACTCAGCATCGAAATCTACTTAAAATACACATTTTGAACCAAATACCTTTTTAAGTAATGAGATCTAATACTGTCGCGAGTATTTATTTAAATGAAAGTAATATTTTCGGATTACTAAACGTATTTTCTTATTTTACCACAGCAGTCCTCGGTACGGTATTACAGAAAATTAAGAAATCGTTGGCAGTAGATAAATAACAAGACCAACTAAGAGACATTCACATCTCGTCTGCTCGTGATCACGGTTGCTGCGAAAGTAATCGAAACATCGGTAGTATGTAGTTTTTTAAGTAGTAGTATAGAAGTAGTCTGAAAATATTAGTTTCATTTACCTTTCTCAAGTTCCTAATAGTATGATAATGATTATTAATATTGTCAGACCTGTCCAATCAACCTGTTCAGGTTGGTGTATGTCGGTCTCTCTATATCCAAGTTCCTGCGGCAGATGTCGTAGATGGCCTCGTTGTCGACCATGAAGGCACAGTCCGAGTGTTCCAGGGTAGTGTGAGTGGTCAGGATAGAATTGTACGGCTCCACTACCGCCGTTGATACCTGGTCAAGAATATCATCTTATGTGCCCATCAATCAATTAATACTAATATTATAAATGCGAAAGTAACTCTGTCTGTTACGCTCTCACGCCTAAACCACTCAACTGATTTTATTTAAATTTGGTACAGAGATAGAGTTGACCTTGAGAAAGAACATAGGATAGTTTTTATCTCAGACTTTTTAAAATTTCTCTTGGAAATATAACCGAACTCCACGCGGGCGAAGGCGCGGGCGGAAAGCTATTATATATCTTTATATCAAGTAAAATTTTGTTATCATAATACTAACTTTTGTTTCGTTCAATATTAATAGTTTTGAACATCAAACTATCACATTTAAACGACTATTTTAATACGGACATACCCAGTAATATGATGTATCGTAACAAAAACTATATAGAGTACGCGAAGTTTGCTTGTTTTCAATCCACCTACCTGTGGCGCGGGATAGATGGAGAACTCAAGCTTGGACTTCTTGCCGTAGTCCACGGACAGACGCTCCATGAGGAGTGAGGTAAAGCCTGAACCAGTACCGCCTCCGAACGAGTGGAACACCAGGAAACCCTTTATAATAAACATTAACCGTATATATCACGAAAAGTAATACAAGATAGGTATTAAAAATCACAAACATGAATAACAGGATAGAAATAACACGATGTAGGAAAGATTTTGTTTGACCTAGACTGTTTATTTTGATACAATATGTGTTACAAGCCTTAGATTTTCATCACGTTTATATAGTAAGAATAGTGTCTAAATTTACAAATAATTGATCCTTTATTTGAGCCAAACAATGCGATTAAATACTTTAAAACTTTGACGAATTCTTCTCAAGTCAATTCCCATAACTAAGTTGGAATATTGTTTACCTGTAGTCCAGTACATTGGTCAGCGAGTTTCCTCAGTCTATCGAGTACTACGTCGACGATCTCCTTGCCAATGGTGTAGTGGCCTCTAGCGTAGTTATTGGCGGCGTCTTCTTTACCAGTGATCAGTTGTTCAGGGTGGAACAGCTGTCGGTACGTGCCAGTACGAACCTCATCTACGAATTATTATTTGGTTTAAACTTTTAGTCCTTTGAAATCTTTATATGAACGATAACAGAGTTAGCAATGTTAGGCTCCTATTTTTTGTAGGTTAAGTATGCCAAAAGAAGTTATCCAATTAAGTATGACGTTTTTTATTAAGGCTCCTTTGGCAGGATTCAAACTTCGTTTAAGTGCTTATTTATTTTTCAATTCTCTGCATTTTATACTTTGAGTATAAGAAATTCATTGTTACGTATCACTAATACAAAGGCTTCGCTTCACTTGATAGTTTCAATAAATATGCATATATGTCTTAATATTTAGGTAAAAAATATTAATAGGTACCTAATATAATCCAATGTAGTAAAATCAAATTAATCGTAAAAAGTTCTTAATTGACTATTATTATTGAATAAACATTGCTGTTTATGTTTTGTCAGAAAATTCACAGGTCTTTGCCACTTCATTATTCATAAATCATAACCTATTAACAGAACCATAAACTACATATTTGAACCATAAGTTGAAATTTGAACCATAAAGATCATAACATTAAATTGACCTCGTATCAAATGTAGTTCATTTAGACTGCACTCATTACTTCAAGCGATGTAATTGGATACATACATATTATATGAATTATTCATATTAGTATATATCTGCATAATTATTGTTAATCACTTTTGCTGTAAGCTCCCAGACACATTTGTGTCAGATAATTCATTCACACAAGGTTTTAAATATAACTTATCCATCCTATGTAATACGTACAATTTAGTTGTCAGAAGTTAAAACAATTCATCTTTAATCTCAGTTATCAAAGTTAGCAAAAAACAAAGCGGCTGGTCACTACTATCTACTAATGACTTGAAATAGTTTTTATTAACAAGAGACAAGCCAAGTGTGACGGCTTGAATCGACTGTTTAGACTTGTCCAAGTTTTCGTTTTGACAATAGACAAGAAAGTATAATTTTCTCATTCAATAATCTATAATATTGTTATTATGTGGTCTTGGAATGAAAAACTTGTAAAGATCTGTATGTAGCGTGTGTGATAATACAAACATGAGGTAGGCATAAAGATTTCACAGTAAATTTTGAAGTTCAAAACAAATAACTGATTTTATCCTAAACACTGCATAGACTTTTATACTAAGTCTTATTAAAAAAACTTTGATCCTTTAAAGCAAATATAAAACTGTTTTTGTTTACAACGATGTGATCTATCCTAAATCGATATATTTTAATGGTACTACTTTTTATCTTCTATCTTCTATATATATAAAAATGGATTGCTGTTCCTTAGTCTCGCTAAAACTCGAGAACGGCTGAACCGATTTGGCTAATTTTAGTCTTAAAATACTCCTGGAAGTCCAGGTAAGGTTTAAAAAGTGAGAAAAATTAGAATAACTGCCGGGAAAACCCTAAAGACAGCCCTTTTCTATTTCCCATACAAACGATTTTTTGACATTAGACTTGACAACTAACTAATATGTCAATCATTCTGTTCGAATGAAACAGTAGAAATTTAATAAATACCAATACCGGGTTATTGAAGACGGAATAGAGTTTGCCCGGTCAGCTATACCTATTTTACTAATGACGAAATTAATGCGGACGAAGTCGCGGGCAAAAACTAGTTACATTATAATTCTATATCAAATTAGACCGTTGACTTCTTGTAATAATGTCATTGTAACTACCTCGCCGTGTGCCAGCAACTTTATATAAATTCAAAACGCAATAATATTATAGTTGAGGATCATTTGGGTGCTAACGATGGTGCCTAATGCGTTCCACTTTTTTAGTTCACTGACCGATGAATGCTTAACTTTTGGACCTAGAATCAGATTATTCAACGTAATGTAAAACAATACAAGATTGACTAAAATGGGTTTAATGTAACAAAATTATATTATTACGAATAACTTTTTACAAAAAATATTTTGTTTTACAATATTTAAAATTGTAATTAGTACTTCTACCCTATTTTTAAATAATGATTACTATGTTGGTCAATCTTGCATTAATCTTAATAAAAAATAAATCCCTTCATGCTAAACCTATTACAAGAGATACTAGCTAGACCTTCAATTATTTATAAATTGAAATCACTTCACGTCGTTGCCAGGGTAACTTTCTTATTATCGATTAGACATAATATACTCAGGTTTGGTTTAATATCAAGGGTGATTTAAAGAATATTCTAGAAGTATATAGTGTATTTGACTAACCGACGACTGTAGGCTCGAGGTCAACGAACACAGCTCGTGGCACGTGCTTGCCAGCACCGGTCTCGCTGAAGAAGGTGTTGAAGGAGTCATCTCCTCCACCCAGGGTCTTGTCGGAAGGCATCTGTCCGTCTGGCTGAATGCCATGCTCGAGACAGTATAGCTCCCAGCACGCGTTGCCGATCTGAACTCCGGCTTGGCCGATGTGAACTGAGATGCATTCCCTCTGCAAAAAGACATATTACAATCGAATAATATATTATTAACATACATTGGTTGGTTGTTTTTAATATGGCCTTCATATATACAAAGACGTGAATAGGATATTTTGTCAGTGTCGTGTAGAATAGAGGAGACACGATCAGGGATTAACATAGAAATATTAAATAAATGCTGAATAAAAAAATGTTAAAGTAATATGTATTATTATTTTATAAAGGTAAACCATTACCATTCATTATAGTCAAACATATATTTATAAAACGTCAACAAAGTATAAAATATATTAAATTTACCAATTATAAAGGCACAGGTCGAAACTCTGTTTTAAATTCAAACTCTATTAATATATGGATCTAATAATAAATAATTAATTCAGGTCTTAAAAAAGAAAATGATAAATAACAATAGGTAGGTAGCTATTTCTACATTAGTGTATAAAAGTTAAAAAATACAAATCACGTTTTAATCGCGACACATTACGAACTAACAGCTAGTTTTAATGATTTTTAGGTTCCACAAAGAAGTTCTAACCTATACTACTAGCCATGAAAAAAGAATAATAAGGCTTTTGTGACTATCGTGCATATTTTATTATAAAATGAATGGTTCTACAAAGGGTTTATTTCCCCCTCGAATTATAAAAGCTATCTAATTATTGTCATGATTCAGGCATTACATCGGCATGCCGTGCTTTCAGGCTATATTCTATCGTCTGTATGATTAATGGACAATTATTTATACAGTTGAAAATAATATTTATAAAAGAAATGCTGTTTGTCGTTTGTAAAGCAAAGTTTTCTATACTTTCAAAGAAAAATATTCACATCAAATGAACGTTTACAGTTACATTTTATTTTTCTTAAAAAGTGTTTTTTAATGTGACATTGATTGTATAATAGACTGGTCAAATAATATTTTATTGATAATCATTAAATATATACGTATTGATTCATTCAAATCAAGACAATTTTTTTTGTTTTGGCTCATTGATGAAGTAATGTTACCATATATAAAAACCGATATAATATATAAAAATAACCTATGTACTTTATTTAATTATATATATTTTAATAATTGCTTTAAATTTAGATTTTTATCAACAATAATAAATACAATAATTCATAATTACATTCGTGATGATTTGTTAGAAATAAATTATTGTTTAATTAAATTGAACAAAATATAATTGCTACGTCAAAGTATAGATCAATTATCATTACTATTATAAAACGATTTCATGTCACAGAATATTTTCAGATATTATTCTTTAGATTCAAATAGCTTCTTCGTTTAAATTAGCGTTCGATAGATAACAACTCACGCATGGCAACACGATATGGCTTGATGTACGAAGTTCTACAATTATTTTACGATTCGTATTATGATCGATGTTGCTAGTATCACATAAGTTTCATTTACCATTAAATGTAATTTACGTGCTAAATGTACTTTCTAGCTATATATTAAAGCCTTAAAAGATGACCAGAATCTAGGCTAGAAGAAGAATATCGTAAAGCCTAAATTAACTGAAATATTTGATAGCGATGTTTTTGGATAATAGTTTTATAATCTGTAAAGAAATTTAAAAAGAATATCAGTAGGTATCTATACCAAAAGAAGCGGTTGATTGCGTGCTCAGAGAACTGTTTCATCGTTTAAAACTCTTTGTTTCAATTTATCGAAGCGGAACGATTGTCATCTGATGATTGAAGACTAATGTTTTATATTACACGACATTGGCGAAATCTATAAAGAAACGCCACTAATTAATTAATTGAAGAAGAAGAATGTTTTATATAAGACGCCATTTTTCTATTAAACTAGAACTAATAATGAATATAGTATTAGTTAAACGTATTCTTGAGTTAGTATTCGTTGTATTAAACCTAACATATGGTCTAATATCTAATGTATCAGAAACAGTAATTCAATTGTTTTCTCCAAACTGATCGGGAATTGATTAATAAATTGTTCCTAAAAGGAATTATTAAACAATAAATAGTTAAAGCGTCTCTGTGTGGGAGTATAATTTAAGTTGGTAGTAGATTACATCTAATTGTCTTTGAAGAAAACCATATTTGGTACGCCGCCGATCGATTTCGTTTTTGTCTGTGGTCTTGTAACTAAATAATTGGCTATAATTCGTTATTTAGTACATTTGTAACGTTTTGATACTGAAAGTGGACATATGAAGGGTGAAGACGAAAAGCAGTTAGACATGTATGTTTTTAGTCAAAGTTTTTCTTTATCTATCTATTTAGATATTAGAGGTTTGTATTACGTATAACTATGTTATTTTAAAAATAAAATGATAATTTAATAACGTTTTAAGTCCATACGTACCACACACGATATTTATTCTATACGAAAAATTGAAACTAATATTTTTCACTACAATTGAATTTTTAGCTTACCAATTATTTTAACGTTACAGAACACACATCCAATATCGTTTTGACACGCTTAAATGTCACTAATTCCTTAATTTTACTGACATTGACACTGTTAATGCCTTGTCAGTTGTCAGATCCAATGTATAGGTATTCGTACCACACCGTACCTATTTATTTTTCGTCAGACGAGAGCTCTGATAAGATTTGTCGATAAAATCAGGAAAGAAATTAAATGATATAATACATTTTGTATATTAATTTCGTTTTAATTGTTATTAATAACCACACATATACGACCTACGTAGTTATTAGGGGTTCATATTTATTAATTGGAAGTTTTCATTAACTTTCTTTTAATCCTTATACTAACTCCTGGCTTGTTAATTATTAAAATGTCGCTTGGAAGGGAAGGTCCCCTTTTTTTAATATTTGCGATGGAAAGATATTTGAGAAGTGAGGGTCGTATGTAACTATATACTCAACTTAAAAGCCCGAGGCCTATAAATGAAAGGGGTTTTAAAATATAAATTTACCCTTATGTACAATAATCTATATATATAAAAGAAAGTTGTGTTAGTTACGCTATTTATAACTCAAGAAAGGCTATTAGGATAAAATTCGTTATATAAATAATAAAATTCGTTTGGAGATAGCTTAGAATCAAGAGACGGACATAGGATATTTAATAATTCAGTTCGATCGAAAAAGAACAAAAAATATTTATTAATTCCAATATCTAGTTATTTACGGCCTCTAAGGCGTAACAGAGTTCACCCGGTCAGCTATACATATATTACTAATTCCGATATTAACGCGGACGAAGTCGCGCACAAAAACTAGTATTAATTACAAAAAAAGGTTTTACAATATTTTTTTATCTTATCTCATATATTTTAGAATATAATTCTTTGTTAAGGTTATACATACATAATTAAATTTGTTTTGTTTCTCTCTTATAATATTTCTAGAATGATCCGTAAAGCATATCTATTATGTCATGATTGCAGTCGACTCGGGTTCAACGAACTCACAAATTTTCATCGAGTTCTTACAAAAACTATTACTGAATAAAAAAAAAACGGTAAGAATGAACCAAGCAATTACATGGATCTACACTCGTCAGTGAATCTACAGATTATATTAACTGTTTAATAAAAATAATAAAACCTAATATATAATTTTAAAATATGATTTGAATAACGTTTAATGTTGCCACTTTCTACTAATATAGATTTCTAAAATGCTAAATCCATAAAATTCTTTCAATCTGTCTGGTTTTGATTACTAAGATTCATTTTTTTGCGTTTGACGCGGCGAGAGCAAAAACTGTAAAGCATTGTGTCTTTGGACGGGCGAGCCTTGAATCATGGTAGCTACTGTTTATAAGATACACTCTTATAATAAATACGGTATGTTTGTTAGAATGATAAACAGATCTATTGACAAATAAAATAGGTAAATCGTGAAAAACATACGTTTTAAATGAGATTAAAATATAAGAAAACTGTAAAGACAAAAATTATTAATCATTACCCGTGTGAGAACGTGTATGTTATATTGGTAAAGTCTATATTTAATAAGCCTCTTAAGTCTAGACTGCTCTCGTTAAAATAAAGTAGGGTGGTCAAACTGCTTTTAAACTCAACAATGGCTAGCTGATCACTCAATCCCTGGTCATGTTTTAGTTAGTGTTTCGGGTTTTATTTTAGGTTTTTCAGTACAAAGAAAAAATATGATTAGTATATAAACATATTGTTCTAATCAACAATAATACTTTTCATGAAAAGCTTCGATAATACTCAGAAAGACGATTTCATATTAGAGTAAAGTTGAAAACTCCTTTGACGAAACCTCCTTTAATTTTGCCTATTTGTTGGTACTTTTTTGTCCTTGTAACACTATCCCGTGACGTCAACAGCTCTCAAGCTTAACTCAGCCTGTTTACAAAACTCTGTTTGTCATCACTTTTGGGATTTTGTTTCCTTGTATCATGTTTTCTTTATTCGTGTTACCCAAATATATTTCATATAACAATATAAGAACGTTATTTATACATATACTACATGTATATCAAGTGCACTGGCTTGTTAATACACGAGTATAATTTCCGATACTTCTATTTAAAGTTCCCTCGTAAAAGTTCAGTCACTCATTAATATTGTTATTATTATGTATGAATCAGTCCGTCTGTTCATCTCTGAATCAGATTCACGAGAACTGCTGAACAAAAATAAACAATAATCCTTATAAGATCGAAGGAAATTTGATAGTTGCAATGACTTAGTGTCAATTGAGATCTGTTCATCGAAATATCTTTAAGATGTTTTAATAATTAATGTATTTATTATAATAATTTGTGTTTAATTTGTTTTATGTAGTAAATATCTAAATGACTGAGTCAGTTTCAGGAAAGTATATTAAATAAATTGTAAAACAAACTTTAGTGAAACGCTAATTATTTTAGTCACGCTTAACGACGCCATTTTGAAAATATTTATCAATATATATATATATATAGTAGCACTACTACTTAAGCGTACGCTAACAAAATTAAACAGGTACCTACTATCATAGAAAACAAAGAAATATTACTTGAATTCAGATATTTAGTAAAAAGCAACAGAAAAAATATTTTAATAATTCCTTACACTTCATAGAAGTAGAGAAATATATCTAATTATTATTATAACTACATAAATATATAACGATATATGTTTATGTCAAAGTTTCTTAACGTATAAAATATCAAAGCTGATTAGACGATAATGAATCCTCAGGCAAAGAATCATTTCCTAGAATACCACATAATAAAAAGAATCCTTTACTCTCTAATGACTGTTACAAATAAATTTCTTTACACCGCGTCCGAGCGCGTTCTAGAAATTTCTATTACATTGAATATAATCCCACAACTATGAATACGTTTCTTATGTCCTGTAAAATTATTAAGACAATTATAATTTTAACTTTAAGTATATGTTGCTTGTATAAAATTATTTATGAAACAATAGTTAACGGGACATGATTCATGTAAGCTGTATCCAGACTTAAGATTAAGGGTGGGCGTCATGACTGACAATGGTGGATTTACATTGACGCGGCGTTCTTTTATAATAAGACTTTCGGTACTAATTATAATTATAATATTAAGACTACAAAGTTATTAGCAGTAATCAAAAGAAATAACATGAATTAAATATGAAACAAAGTCCCTAAAATAATACTATTCGAAGAGAAAAATTAGTTTGTCGTAAGTCAAATATTTCTTACGTTTGGTTATATAACTCAAGAAAGGCTGTATGGGTTTGGCTGGAAACTTTTGGGGTCATATCTTAGAACAAGGAGACGGACATAGTAAAGTTGTCAACCCGTTCGATCAAAAAAATAAATTAATAAAATCCAAATCTGCTTATTAACTGCCTCTAGAGCGAAACAGTTCGCCTGGTTAGCCGTACACATTTAATTTTGAAACTAACGCAGACCAAGTCGCGGACCAAAGCTAGTAAGAACATAAAAACTTGTGTTTCTATAATAATATTATTAAAATATATAAAAAAAGTGAAATTTTTAATCAACGATCACCTTTACTGTATACCAAACACAAATAGCTTTTCAAATTCATGCTATTCCAACTATTGTGTTTTAAAGTACTACATATTAATTTGTGAAAAACGCGATAGAACTGTATTGTCATGTTTTATAGAAAAGTTGATTTAATTGTTGTATTCTATTCATTACTGGAAGGGTGTTGAGAATTATAAAAATAGTTTTTATATGGGTCTTTTAATTGGGAGTCCCACATCGAAAATAAAAAACTGCTGTAAAAATATAATTAAAAGTAAAGCATCTTTGTATATGTATAATAAAAAAACTCTTGAATAGCGACATTATAATTAAAGAAGCTTTTGAAATATAAATATTTTACTTATATGTAAAAATATAAATAATATTTATAAAAATCCATAAAGTAATCATGAGTTATAAATTGAGTTAGGTCGCCGTACGAGTTATCTGTGCTTCAATTAATTTCTTGTTGTTTTAAAGCACTTAACAGGTAATTTTAAGCGTTTGTCTTAATTTTTCTTGCACCTATCTAGACTAGGAAAAACCTCTTGAAACGATTTAATTATTTCTTATGTGTTCGTAAATTTAAGGGAGCTTTAGTTTTGTGAATGCATAAGTCGTTTAATTTATTGGTTAAGAATCTTTATGTCAGATAAATCTTTTACAGAATTTAAATTAAAAATTTATATTATACTAGCTTTCCGCCCGCAGCTTCGCCGCGTGGAGTTCGGTTATATCGCGTTTCCAAGAGAACCTTTCAAAAGTCTGGGATAAAAACTATCCTATGTTCTTTCTCAAGGTCAACTCTATCTCTGTACCGAATTTCATTAAAATCAGTTCAGTGGTTTAGGCGTGAAAGCGTAGCAGACAGACAGACAGACAGACAGACAGACAGAGTTACTTTCGCATTTATAATATTAGTAGGGATTTGATATAAAAACCATTTGTTCGGATTACAAAAAACAAATAATAAATAAAGAAGCTTTGATGCAGATATAGTTTTCGAAATCGATGGTTCATTTTTTTATTAATATTTAATATATAAAATTGTTGACTTACCATATTGTTTAGGATTCTTTTCTATTCTTTAAGTACTGAGAAGTTGTGGCTTTCGATTGTGGCTTGTGGCTTGTGGCGTGTGGCGTGTTCGCGAGGCAACGCACCGGGCCGGACTGATGCGAGCTTCGGTCAGAACAGCTTTATATATGACTGTATACAGGGTGTATTCTGAACACTGTTGTGAGTTTTGACGAAGCACATAAGCTATATATTCTACTTATTTAAAAAATAATAAAAGCAAGTTCTTGTTGTTTCCATATTAAACTCTCTTAATGAAGTTTTTAGTAACGAGTTAAGAATTAAGCGTGCAAAATCTTTTATCTATATTTATTGTCCATAATAATTCTTAGATTTTCTTGTACAAATTACAATTTACATATTTTTAATATGTTAAACACTCATCAGCATACTTCTTGTAACCAGCTATGGAAGCTATGGAAGGTAAAAAAAAGAGACAAAATAATCCCTCGCCCCGTTTACGTTTGATAAACATGCCAACTTTAGTCCTAACTCTTAATTTACCTATGAAATTCCATCTGTTGAAAATCACATTCGAAAGGAAAATAAAATGCTAGGTAACGCTTTACATTAAAGAGAAAATATAAATAAAATCATTAGTCTTATAGTCGAATTTTAATACGTCAATCACATTCTTCAGAATAATTCAACTGACTCACCGCCCGCTACAGTCTATACTCTACAGATTAAGGATCCATCTCTCACTAAATATGATGAAGAAAAACATCTGTCACTAACATGACTAATAATAAAACGAATTATTATTGTTTATCCACAATTATTATTATTACGAATATAAATAATAAGTTAAACAAATTAACGAGAATTTTTGCGATTTATTTTCAATTGCTTCCATTTAAAATTTAATTGATGTAAATTTTCTTTGAAATTTGTTGGTACTGTTCAATATTATCCCTTTTTTCCTCTTAGTCTCCCCAGCCGGAGGGTTGAAATGAATAGGGTGAGGTGAAAGGGATGCTGGGACCTTGACCCTCAATGGTAATGGTTTTGTTTTGACGGCGAAGCGCTTGCATCAACACATGCATATATTAATGGCGGTGCATTTAAAAATGAAACTTCAAACAAATGTAGTTTTTGCATGACTTGAAAATTAAAAATGAGAATCGTTAAGTTGTATATAATTTCTTTTCACGTAAAATCTTGTAATAATTAAAATTATAATATTTTTTATTGTTTTGTATAAATATTTGTGTTGCCCAAATGCAAGAATAAGACGAGACTTGGCCAGTTTTGGTCTTGGTCTTGCATCGACACATACATATGATATTGGTCTTGTTCTTGCATTTTTGCAACCAAGACTGCAAGATCAAGACTAATTTTGGGCAACACTAATAAATATACATATTGTAAAGCCAAGTTATAGCTCTAGTTACTCTTTTAATCTCTGAAAAGTTCTAAGAAAGTTTCATAAATGTAATTAACGTATTAATGATCTGATCTTTGTGTATGTAAGTAGGTCGGCCGCTTACAATCTAAGGGTGAATAGCTTCTGCACTGCGGTACATAGGCTTGTAAGTTTCTTTGAACATTGTTGTTATACAAAGAGTACATTGAATGCATGACTTAGACCATAAATTACAGTAACCTATATGTAGATATTCTCATGATATTATTGTATATTATTTCTTTAATCATAAATAAAGATAGTTATTTGATATAAAGAAGATTTGGGCGTGTCTTTAGTATCTTATAGAGATTTGGCAAATTTTTTTATATGTTACAAATAAGTATTTAATAGATATTACACATATATTATATGTATAATATTTCTGTTTTTTTGTAATAGTGTACTCAAAACGTTTTATTTTTTTTTTTTTTGGAGTAAAAAAGCATTCAGTTTCAAATAAAATAATTAGTACATTTCATAATGACAGTGAAATATTTTAAATGATCTACAAAAATCTATGGGATCCAAAAAAACTTTTTGTGTTTTTTAGTAAGCTAAAATTATTTGGCAAAATTTAACTTTCAACACGAAGCAGGTATCAGGTGTGTAATGAGTCATAATTTGTGGAAGAAGCCAAGTAAAGTTGAAGGGTCCGTCACCTTGGTGGTAGAAGTATGTAAGTGCAATCAAACATGTTTTAGTTGTAGCTATATACATGTGGAGCCTAGCGACGACAGATGTGATAATGTTACGCCCTTTTAGGTATTACTTATGTAAAGGCCTTGTCCGAGTTGTTATAAAGAATATTTACTTGTATCTAGTTGGTTAATTTAGTTTATGACTCGAATAAGTATATTCGGTAATAACTATATTATAATTTGAACGTATATTAGTATATAAGTTAAGACTAGTTTTAAATAAAACTAATATTTTTGGATTTATTACGCGTTTTCCATTATTTTAACTACATACTCCCGACGCGAAGTTTCGGTTACTTTGCAGCAACCGTGATCACGGGCAGACGGGATGAAATTGTTCATAATAAACGCGTAGTAAATAAAAAAAACAGTTTTATTTCAATGAACACAGAAAAGCCTGATTTCATTATGTGAACTAGTTTTGGTTACTTAAAAGAAAAAAAGCATTTTTTTTATACAGGTATATTGATCGTTTAAGAAGTCTTTCGACTTTCTTTTAACTTCTGTTCACTACTAGAAGTAAATTTGCTATATACTTTTCAATTTGTTTGTTCGATTCCCTTAATTTAATAATATATTTAGTTGTATAACTCTTAACCAATCTATTCCCACCGGTTAACGATCAACCACGCGTATGACTCATGCGATCTTATTTGGTCCAAATAAAATAGTTATCGGTAATTTATCCAAATATGGCGAGCTCGTTAGAAAATAAAAACAATGTGCAACTTATTTTGCGGTTGATTTACGTCATGTTCATTATTTACGTGCCTAATAATAATATTTTGAAAGTTTTTTTTATATATAAGAATAAGCTAAAGTCAGTCTAAAAGTTTTGGGACGAAATATTAGAAAGTTTTACAAAAATTCATTTAGTAGGTAGGTATTTTTAACTTGTACGTTTATTAATCTTTAATGAGGTTTAATTTAGTTTAAAAAGTTTGTAATGAGACAAAATTTCATAACAAGTACATACATTTTGAGATAATAATGGCTACGTTATCAGGGTGACTGGTAAATTACTATCGATATTTGAGGACGTGATATTTGACGATCATATATGACAAAATAAAAATTAATATAACATAAATATTAATAAACTTCTAAGTAAAGTTAACCAAAAGTTATGTAATTAATTACGCATCGTGTGAACACCCTACAGATTAGGTATACACACACACTCACACAGACGCGGCGGCGGTGTAGTGTTGTATCAGCACGCCGCGGCACGCGTCCACACTTGGAAGACTTGGAACGTGTACACACTTTATTTATTTATACGGAAATTTGGTCAAAAATTAAGTACCTATTTTTTTTACCTAATTCGAATGAGAATCATGTACCGAGTATGCTCCTTAAATATTGATAGTAATTCACCAGTCACCCTGTATAATGAGTTTGTGAAAAAACAATCATTTAGATTACGTATTCAAGGGTGTGTTTACATTATTCTCATTAGGAATAGAATTAGCAGAAGTTTTTTGATATTTAAATTCAGTAATAAGATATTATTCATATATTTCATCATAATAAAATAAAACAGGACCTCTCTGTGATAATTGGAAATAGTTCTGTTATTTGCGTTTTAAAGAAATTTACAAAAATCTTAAGCAGTTTCTGGACAAAACGTAGTAAACAAGAGACATTAGCAGTTTTCAAATATTGTGGAATAAGTTACACGTGTCTCAAATTCAAACCTTTGCTTTATGAACTGCAAAAAAATTATTGAGCTACACTTCCAAACATAATTATTTGAGTCTAGTTTTGTTTCTAACTGTAATAGATTTTGATGTGGTTCAACTAAAGCATCTGTTTGGAATCAAAAGAACACTAAGATAACTATTTACTAGTAAACAATAATAAAAACTAATTCGTTCTCGACGAAGCATAAGTGTTTGTATGTATTTAGCAATACTTATAGCTTAAATATTTTTGATTCAGAATAGTTGAACTAATTTCATTCTTCCAAGATTGGGCTTGCCGCTTGGCTCAGGTTAATGTAGCATGACAATATCCTGATTGTATGGATACGAGATGTATCCGCTATATATACATATAATGATAGAATTATTTTTATGTTAGCATACTCAATATAAGAGCTATTCCAAATTGATTATTCTTCTTGATCTACTGTACACTTGACGTTTAAGAGACGCCATGTTATATTTCTCAGTATCCCTACTAATGTTATAAATGCGAAAGTAACTCTGTCTGTCTGTCTGTCACGCTTTCACGCATAAACCACTGAACTGATTTTAATGAAATTTGGTACAGAGATGGAGTTGACCTTGAGAAATAATATATAGGATAGTTTTTATCCCACACTTTTGAAACTTTCTTTTGGAAACGCGATATAACCGAACTCCACGCGGGCGAAACTGCGAAAGCTAGGATAACATAAAGCATATTTCATATTTGTTTATGGTAAGTGAAATAATAAAATATTTAGATTTAAGAAAGAAATTTCTCAGCATTCCATGTATTCACCGTGCGTGTGTCGGGTCCATCGCTTTGCAGGGAGAGGAGCTTTAACAGTGACTGGGACTTGCGACCCAAGTGTAGGTGTAAGGGGTCCCTTAACTAACGCGCGTTAAACGCTCACCTCCACTGTCCAAGCCAACCTAATTAAATTTGGAAAGAGCCTACTAGGGCTGCCTTCGAAGTACGTTCCAAGAATTTATTAATGTGAGTTCTGGACAGGCCGAAGTATTTAAATAGTTTATAGACAGATTTAGGTGTAATACCCCGCGATAAAATTAAATTTAACTATTGAAAAAATTTTAATTAAGCGAGTAGGTACATTCTATCCAATTTATATAACGAAAATATTTCATTGCAAATATAAATCATATTTAATTAAACTAAAACACCTTCATGTCATATTTGGCATGTCGTGTCTCCGCGTCTAAACCAACGCCTTTCAAAATGAGTCATTAAAAATATTGTCACTGCGACATAGATTTGCTTTTATTTGTATCAGGCGTTTAATAAAAAAACATTGCTTCAATCAAAAATCTTATTATTAAAACAAAGTATTTGTAAAATAAAAACTTGTTCCTCCTAGTTTTACAGTATACTTATGATAAAATTTATATAATATATTAAAAACATATTATTCATATATGTACAAAACAGGAAATTAATATATATATGTTCAAAGAAAAAGAGAGCCATGACAAAGAAATACACTTTGGTGAATATTCACGACCAAAATAATTTTAAACAATAAATATATTTACAAAACTTTTAACACTATATGTACAATTTTCTCAAATACCAAAAACGATTACATTGTTCTAACAAATTATAAATTATTTCTTTGAATAAACCTAATCTCTATTATTTCTCTATCAACATGCATAATAATCATTTATTTCTTATTTTAATGAGGTAATGTTTAAATATTCTACGTGTGACATTGAGGCTCAAAACGGCTCGTATCAAGAGCCATACAGTCCGTTAGACTTGAGCTGACTTTTGCATTTGTGTGAGTGAAAAAAAGTAGAGTTACGCAAAAAATATTTATTATATTTTAAATAGATACATAACATAAGTGCTATAAAATGAGCAAAACTTGTTAAAAGCCAGACGGAAATATTTTGAATGTTGAGGAAAAAAAAAACTACAAATTCTTATTCACTTGACATTGCGTTTTCAACATTTGATATCGCTACCAGTACAAAAGGTGAAGTGAGGAAGGTGCGGGGCGGAGTAAAAGCAGTACAAACCGGTTTAAAACTAGAAAAGAACGTTTTATTCAAATATTTGACATCACACCTACACTATCCGTGTGCACTCACACAAATGCAAAGCTCAGCTTAAATCAAACGCACTATAAAACACTTACAAAAAAAAAAGTGACATTTCAATTCTAACTGTCATTGTCAATTGTCACACGTCACACAACTCGCAAGTTTTTTTTTTATTAAGTGTTCACCAAGTTTGATTGTATTCATCCTCAGCTCCGGGCTGCGAGCCGGTGACGAGGAACTCCTTGGAGTTGATGTTGGTGAAGATGAAGGGGGCGCGGCGCGACGGACAGCGGAACGACTTCATGAGGGACGGCGGCGACGGGGACGACTTGTTACCGACCGGCTCTAGGAGGTTGTTCCATAGGAGGTTCGCGGCTAAAGAGATGATATAATATATTGTACTGATAGACATGTTGAATAATATTTTTATACTAGAAGACCCGGTGAACTTCGTATCGCCCTATAATTAAGAAATATCTGTTACGTTTTTTCATTTATATTTTTGGAGTTTAGGACAGAATGATTGACGTATTAGTTAGTTGTCAAATCTAATGTCAAAAAAAAGTTTGTATCAACAACTACTAATAAGTTAAAGAAATTAAAAAAAACATTATCCAGCGGACAAAATTGTGAATCCCCTTGAACACACACAAAAAATTTCATCAAAATCGGTCCAGTCGTTTGAGAGAAGTTCAGTGACAAACACACTCACAGAAGAATTATTTATATAAAGATGTATTATCATGCACTATATGACATTCAATATCTTTATACAGAGTGTCTGGTGAATTACTATCGATACTTGAGGACGTGATATTTGACGATCATATACACACACACACACACACACACACACGCGTGCGTCGGCGTGGTGTTGTATCAGCACGCCGCCGCACGCGTCCACACTTGGAACACTTGGAACGTGTCCACACTTTATTTATTTATACGGAAATTTGGTCAAAATGGAAATTAAGTACCTATTTTTTTTACATAATTCGAATGAGAATCATGTACCGAGTATTCTCCTTAAATATTGATAGTTATTCACCAGTCACCCTGTATATATAAAAATTTAGTGTCACGTGTTTGTCTTGTGACTCCTACTAAACTGAGTTTAAATTTGATTTGCATTTTGTGTGCATCTTCATCCAACTTGAAAGATAGGATAGCTTACATCTCAATTTATAGTCATAATATTATTTTATTGCAAATTATTTGTCTATTAAAGAAAATTATTTGTCATTATTACAATTATCTGTTGACTGAGTTAAGTATTCTTGTAAATTCACCACGTGTTTCTGAGGCTAAGGTATAAACTAAATTTATTTATAAAAAAACGTAACAGATATTTCTTGATTATAGGGCGATGCGAAGTTCGTCGGGTCTTATAGTATAATATATAGTGGCTCGTACCCAGCGCGTGTCCTTTCTGTGAGAAGTGGAAGCAGTCGTGTGTGATGTATGACTGGTGTATGACGAGCGGCAGCGGCGGCTCCGACGACGGCGCGTTGAACAGACGCATGAACGGCTGGACCACCACCGTGAAGTCGGGACGAGAGTCGTAACGACCGCTCTCCACCTGACAGAAACACACACACGAGATAGGATTAGTTACGGAGGTTGAAGGGTTATATTGTGTGAATTTATATTAATGTACATGTATAAGGTTTAAAAGAAGGTTTTAGGTGGTAGAGCATAGCTGTGGTCAAGTGATTGCAGCTCGAACATGGGCTGCCTCGACCCGGGAAGTACCACCCTCTCACAGAAGATCGGCGTGAAGTAGCCTTTAATGGCTGCGTTTCGTCCGATGATTGAGAGCCGGTTGCCATTTCCCTTTTTCCTCCACAATTTCCTACCCCTTCCCTTTTTCCTCCCTTTCACACACTTTCCTTCCCCTTTTCCCTAATCAGGGTTGACAATACGTCCGCAAACTGGGATGTCCATGGACGACCATACCACCTTCATCAGGTAGGGCCTCTGTTCGGTTGTCCCATTTCGTATAAAAAAGTACCTACTCTTTTTGCCAACATCATATTTTTTATAAGTGGTTGTTTTCTGTGTGTGTGTGTGTGTGTGTGTGTGTGTGTGTGTGTGTGTGTGAGTGTGAGTGTGTGTGTGTGTGTGTGTGTGTGTACTCACGAGCGCCATCTCCGCGTCCTGGTAGAGGCGCGCCTGCCGCACCAGGTCCCTCAGCTCGCCTCCTCCGCGGTGGAAACACGTACAGAACAAGGGGTGCATCAGACGACACATGAGTGGACGGAGCACGCGCACAGATACTGACACATCTGAACAAGAATAATATGCTATATATAGGAACATTTATTTGTTCAGTTAATACTCAGATCTTATATAGGAACTAGCTTTCCGCGCACAGCTTCTACCGCGAGGAGTTCGGTTATATCGCGTTCCCAAGAGAACCTTTCAAAAGTCTAATATAAAAACTATCCTATGTTCTTTCTCAAGGTCAACTCTATCTCTGTACCAAATTTCATTAAAATCAGTTCAGTGGTTTAGGCGTGGAAGCGTAACAGACAGACAGACAGAGTTACTTTCGCATTTATACATAATATTAGTAGGGATTGTAAAAGTATTTGTCGTAGTTTTTGGCCTTAGCTGAAAGAACTTTTTGTATGTAAGATTAGTAAGGGTCGCTATTCGTCACACGAGACGCTGACTTAGAGAAAGTTTGATAATAATTGACGTAATAAACAATCATTGTCTCCCAGAGAACGTCACAACTAGTTTTACGATGTTTTCATTTCATATTTATATTGTAATATTATATAACGTATTCACACTATTGACAGTTAAACATCGAGGTCATTTTATTTCACCTCTTGTTCAAAGTATAGTCTTAAAATCGTAATAACCTCACCAATTTCAAGCAGTTTGAAGACTTTATAGTCTAACTTACCCAAGACCGGTATAAGGTTGACGATAGTCCGCGGTAAGTGTTGATGAAGGTAGTCCAAGGCTCGCGCCAATTTCCTGGCATGAGCAGCCGGCGACCAGGCCACAGGGGAGAGACACGACGCTGAACAAAGGTCATTGGCCCCTATGAATACCGTCACCATCTTCCAATGATGGGCCATGTCCACGTCAGGAGACGAACGCATTCTCGCCACCAGGATCTATATACAATATTTATTTGTCATTCACTTTTTGATCAAAAAGAAGATCCATATTATGCTCATCGGGAATTAATAGTTTGTGTAATTTTTTTAAATATGTACGTATAAGTTGCTGAACAAGACGTACAATAACTTTGTGATTATGTTTAGTTTAAATTCTTACTAACACGAATGTAAATCAAGAAATGTATTATAATAAAACCTACATATTTGTTTTCGATCAGAGGGTTTATCAAGCTTATAATGGGACTATGTTTATGAATTATGACAATATATATATGTAGTACACGCATATGTTTTTTATTTCACATTTTACCAGACGTTTCGGTTACTTGACAGCAGCCATAGTCACAGCCTAACGAGATGAGAGTATCTAGTTTATCCTAAAAATAAAAACTTTCACACTGAATGACTCTTTCCTTTAAAACAATACTATTTTGCATTAAGTACAACAGTCACTCATAAATTTAAGAGAGCTTTGTTTCTTATATGATATGAAATTCAGGTCTACGCGTAATAACATCGCAATGAAAAGATTCTACGGTACATGAAAACATTTGATTCCAGAACATTCCATACGAAGACGCGGAAACAAAAAAAAGTAGTATAAAATGGAAGTGTTATAAAAAGTTATAAACTTAAATGACACACGGAACAGAAACCTGTTCGATTACATTCGTACATTTTTACACTGACTACGTAATAATTATTATTTAACGAATACTTTGTTGTTATACCAAAATATTTAGATATCGGAATGTGTTCAAATGTACTATGTATGAAGTATGAAAAGTTATCGTAAAAACTAAGAAATAGTATATTTGTATAATGTAGGAGACATTGTTACTCACAAGTGTAGACAAAGCCAATAATTGAAAAAAATAATGAATAAAAAGTTCTTCTGCTTGTCCCATTGCGATAATTTTAGTTCCCTACTTATTAATATAGTACGTTTATATACAAATAAAACTTGACCACGCTTACCCCAAGTCAATTAATTAATCGCCACTACATACAGAGTTATCAATTCTATTCAGAAACTTCAGTACTAATTTTACGTTTTCTGTTTAATACTGATTACTTAAAAGTTTTCTTTCCAATATTGTTACATATAAGAACATTTATAACAATAAATTTTTATTTCACTACGACTAAAACTGACTCTACATGTGGAAATATATAATGATGACATACTACCTGTGTGTGAGTGGTACTACATGTTTTAATACAATATACCTATGTATATTGTACTCGTTTTAATAATGATAAGCAGGCTGAAGTTAAAAACATTAAAAAATTATATTTTAACTGCATAACAAAAAAATTAATAGATTTGATAGTTCCTAATAATAAAATAGGTCAAAAGTAGTTTAGGAAAATTACCAAAATATGATATCTAAATTTTTTAAGTATATAGAAACAATATTTTTCGGATATTATGCAGTTTTATCACAACTGTTGTAACATCGGGAATATAAAAAAAGGAATAAAACGGCCTATTTTATCTAAACATTTAACTTGATTTTACCGAAATTATGGTAGTATTCAATTATAATTTTTATCTATCTTTAAATTTCACGACTCAGATATACCTAAATATGAAGAGTGTTGGAGATTTCGACGCTCCGAGTCCACATCGTAATTTTAAACTGTACAGTTTTCATTCATATTTTTATAGTCGATACTCACACGTGCGAGGGCTTAGTAATGAAGGAAAAACGGACAACTACCCGTCCGTAGTACGAATTTGCGAACACGTTGTACGCTTACGGGATACTGGTACATAATGACATAGTTATGTTTGAAATTTTTCAGTACAAGCTCGTTATACTAAATTGCAATAAATACAGAACTACTCATATATATAAACTATAAGCTATATTATTTTAAAGTCTCATCAAAATTTGTTAAATATTTTTTGCTTGAAAGATCAGAAAACCAATACTTATTCAATATAAATATTTATATTATACAGGGTGACTGGTGAATTACTATCAATATTTAAGGAGAATACTCGGTACATGATTCTCATTCGAATTATGTAAAAAAAATAGGTACTTAATTATTGACCTTTGCGTATAAATAAAAAAAGTGTGGACACGTTCCAAGTGTTCCAAGTGTGGACGCGTGCGGCGGCGTGCTGATACAACACCACGCCGCCGCACGCGCGCGTGTGTGTGTGTGTGTATACCTAATCTGTAGGGTGTTCACACGATTAGTAATTAATTACTTAACTTTTGGTTAACTTTACTTAGAAGTTTATTAATATTTATGTTATATTAATTCTTATTTTGTCATATATGATCGTCAAATATCACGTCCTCAAGTATCGATAGTAATTCACCAGTCACCCTGTATAGTATTTGACGTCAATTTTTAGGACATAAGTGTTCCGTACTTTCGTATTGATATTGACGTAAATTTTTTATGACGGTCAACTATTAACAAAATAATTTTATAAAAACTAAATGGTTTCATCGAAGTAATAATTTTTTTATACTTTCATTCATTTTGGCCGAGCCTAAGACCTGCCACTAATTACGTTATAAAATCAAATAATTCTTTTAAGATATATAGCATTTGGAACTTAATACTTACACTTATCGCGATATAAACATCTTAATGGTTCGTCTTTACAATCTCAATTCCGCTACAATATGTATTCAATAAATGACTTCAAGAATGGTTGTTTGACAGTAAAGAGATCTTGTCGAATAATATATATGTAATATCTTATATATATAATTCTTCTGTGAGTGTGTATGTCACTGAACTTCTCGTAAACGACTGGACCGATTTTGATGAAATTTTTTGTGAGTGTTGAAGGAGATCTGGGAATGATTTAGATTCACAGTTTTGTCCGCTGGACAATGTTTTTTTAATTTATTAGTAGTTGTTGATACAAACGTTTTTTTTTTGACATTAGATTTGACAACTAACTAATATGTCAATCATTCTGTCGCACTTCAAAACACGGAGATTTATGGCTTTAATAGGTAAACCTTAAAAATATAAATAAAAAAAACGTAACAGATATTTCTTGATTATAGGGCGATACGAAGTTCGAAGGGTCTTCTAGTATTTATATATATATATATAATAAGAGTAATGTATACCTTAGCTTGTTTGTAAGCATCCTGGTCGGACGCGACAGGGAAGGCCACGTTGAGTCTCGAGTTCTTAGCGAGCCACTCGCCCGTCCCCGTGGAGTACCCTCGCAGTTGAGGGTTGTACTCCTTCAGGATGTTAGGGAGGGTTAGGAACTCACGCCACGTACTGTCACCGCCTACAGGTAATAAAATATATACACAGGAGGAATATTAATGAGTAAATTTCAATATACATATATAAAAGAAAGTCGTGTTAATTACACTATTTATAACTCAAGAACGACTATTGGGATATGGTTGTAAATTGGTGAGGAGATAGCTTAGATTTAGATGGACATAGGATATTTAATTCTGTTCGATATAAAATAAAAATAAAAACTTGATAAATTCCAATATCTGGCTATTTATCTCCTATAGAGTGGAATTAAGTTTGCCCGTTCATCTTTACACATATCACAAATTCCTAAATAAACGCGGACGAAGTCGCGGGCAAGAACTAGTTCATTATATACTCATATTTAATTCCAAAACCATCTAAAATAAGACATGCATGTACCTGCACACCAAGATATTCCTCTATATTCAACGAACGCTCCCAGGGCGAATTCTTCCAAAGCCCCACTCCCTGCCACCAAGGAGTCTCCAATAGCTGCCACGACGTCTATATCCCCTGGTCTGAGCCGGTGTACAGAGGTAGGGACGTGTCTGCTGCGGCCCCAGGAGAGAGACTCGTGACAGGGGAACGGCATAGATGGAGGGTAGGCGCGTTGACGACGAACGTTTGACTTGCGAGGAGGGTAGTGCACCGACCACTGAGACAAATATATACATATATAATACAAGGTCATGAACTAGGAAGATTAAACTGATTAGATCTAAACTTTAATGAGTATGCATTGAAATGAAACTAATATTTTTGTATTACTACGCGTGTGTATTATTATAAAACTACAAACTCCCGACGTTTCGGTTACTTTACTTTACAGCCACCGTGATCACGGGCAAACGAGATGTGAATCTCCGTGAACACGATTGATGCAAAGAACCGAACTTCGGGAGTACGTAGTTTTTAAAATTATAAAAAACATGTAATAATAGTTAACCGAAAAATATAAGTTTCATTTCAAGATTTAACTGATTGGATACTTTCAGCTTCCATTGATAAATTACTGTGAGGATAATCTGATTTTATATTAAATGAGAATTGGGATATTACGATATACATAATACGTAAACTCTCAAACATTTAAAACATTTAATAAAGTGTTTTTCAAATTATGCAGTAGTGTAATTTAAAACATAAATGCTTTTTCAATATGCTTAAACTTTGTTATACCTAATGGTTATTTATATTTACGAGTATGTTAAAAGAAAATTGGTTTAGAAGTAACAAATTACGATTAAATACAATTGACTTAAATGCTGTTGTTTACTGTACTACATGTACAGCCTTGAAAGAAAAGCTTAATTAGCTTAATTTAAGTACTCATAGTTTAATAGAACCTAAATGACTAAGAAGTGACTGTGAATTATTTGTGATGATATAAGAAATAAAAAATGTGGCGTTGATTGATGAAATACACTATAATAACAATGTTTAAACAAAAAACCTGAAAATTAAAGACTAAATAATTTTGCTAAGTTACAAAGTTACTTTAGGTACTTATTTTCCGTCGCACAAAACATATTAAATATGTTAGTATACTCGTAGTGTGTACATTTAACTAACGCTTACAGAAAGCGTGTGGCAGTATTCATTTGAAACTGTTTACAATAATTCCTTCAACACACGTAAAAATCAGAACTTGAACTACAAGGAAAGTCAGTACAATTTTTCTTACCTGTGACACTAAAGAGTTGGCCTTCAGTACAAGCTGGCAGATATGTTTACGTTTACTGTACACACTAATACTCATCTATTACTATAATATTATATACCTATGTTTTGTCCGTCAGAAAAAAAGTATAGTCTGGAAGCCCTGGGATCTTGGACTATAGTAATCCTAATATGTCCACATTTCTGATGTCATGTCAGTATGATTAACACAAGTTTCCATCACCCCACTACACACGACGAGTTTCCCGTTTCACATTCAATAAGCTACTTTAATTTGTTTTTTAGTGTTTTGTATTTCTATCTATGTAACTAAATAAACGTATAAAAGACTGAGGTCTCTTCAAACAAAGAAAGAGGTATTTATAGGTATTATACCAATGTAATTTTTCCTGATAAGCTGATGATAACAACATTATCAGTAAACTATATGCTTAAACACAACTCAACCTTCCCTTTGATTAAAGCTGTCGAGATACACGGACAACTAAATTAATTCTTCATGACTACTGATTAATCAATCCTATAGATTATTATTAGATAGCCAAGGTATATAGACTATTATTATATAGATTATCAGATAGCCAAGCAAATATATTAGCGTAATCATTGACACTAACCACACAGAAAGCTTTAACAACGTAACTATAATAATCTCCTTACAAACTATCATTCATTACATATATTACTGTCATATAAAATGATAATTATTATTTAATGAGAGAAATAAAACGTAATGCGATATTATCTATACGGCTCACTACTAACCTCATTAATGAATGCTCAGTGCCGCTGTATGCATGTGGGGGCCCCTATACAAAGCATGTGTTTAACACATATTTATTCATAATTACGACGTTTTTTACTACTCCTATATACAAATATACAATTACATTATTCAATAAAAATATTGAATTAAGTAAAAAAAACATGCAATACTATTAAGCGTAAGAGGTAACTGTTTTAAACTTTTTTTTTGGCACAAAATAGTCATCAAAGTTAAACGTCGTGCCATCGAAATTTCAATGTTCTTTTACTGATTCATTTTTGCCTGACCGAGGGCCCTGAACCTGGCGAGGCCCCTAGGCAATTTCCTTCATCGCCTAATGTATATAATAGGCCCTGTAAATACTACTCAAAATAAACAAACTTCCCATTTAAAGATTATATATTCACACTCCTCACGACCGTCTTTTGTTTTACATTCATAAACCTACTAAATGCTTTCATCTTCGTATATATCAACGAAAAATTTTAACGCATCGTAGGTGATTATGCAAACTCGTGGTTTGGGGACTGATGTCATAAAACAATTCAACGCATGTTTAAGTTTTTAACGTTTTAGTCGTAATCTTTAACCTAATGCTATATGCAAACAAAGCTTACCCTGTAAGAACGCAAGGTTTCATTTTCTAGGGCGACCACGTAGTGATTTTCGGATATGATTTAACAAGGTTTTTTAAAGTGGTTGCGAATACAGAAAAATTTATGCGCAATACACCATGTATTCGATCGTAATCTATATGCTTATTACAAGTACGCATCCATACTATAAACGTTTATTAAACGTTAACAGTTGTTCATTAAGATACATTCCCAATTATAGTAAAAGAAAAGAAATTAAACTTGTCAGCATTCCATGGATTCACCGTGCGTGTGTCTGGTCCATCGTTGTAGAGAGGAGCTTCAACAGTGACTGTGACTTACGACCCAGGTGTAGGTTTAAAGATAATAAATATAGATTATTGAATAAGAAATAGAATATGCTTTTTGCAATAATGACGACCCAATTTTGTATTAAACACACTGTTCTATAAAACTCATGAAATAAATCAAGCTTTTCCAGTCAGAAGTCTTTACATTTTATACAACAAAAACGTTCAGAAATAAATCTCTCTTCATAGAAGAAATATTGTATTGTACATTAATTTACTAATATTTTTTATAAAGACCAATAAGTATTATTGTTTCACTGATTTAAAAAGAAGAATAAATATAATCACATGTACAGCGCTTGGTAAATTTATTAGGCGGGTAATAATTCTTTTGATAGAGTCATTTCACAATGTTCATATTTATTCAAGATGGCACACCACAGCTGACAGTTGATGAGTTCGTGAGGAAAAGTAGGTGCACGAACATTCTGACCTTGTTCTGATTAAAATATAGCTCTAGATTGGTACACATAATAAATTAATATCTTAAATATATACATAGAGTAAATAATAACAGATTATAAATAAAAGTGGAATGAGAACTATAATAATCAATAATATTTATGTTAATTAATTTATTTCCAAAGAGGGTTGATGTCAGGCAGGCGGCCGGTCTTAAAAACAAGTAGCCAAAACTATTCCCAACATGTAAGGCAGACCCTGGCTAAAGCTGGGAAAGAGACAGGAAGAAGAAGATTTATGTTAATTAATGATTTTCATTAATCTTCTCCATGTAAGAAGAGGTCTTTGCTCAGCAGTGGGCTCTGATAAACCGATAATGATGATTGTCTATTCCAATTCATACGAAATTATCCCATTTTACATTCTTCTCAAATAATAATAATAAAATATTTTGTTTTAACAATAATATCGTAATAGTGATTAGCTTGTAGTCTAAAGCTTAGCTGTAAAAATCTTCCATGTAGCTCATTAGGTGAATGTATTACGATATTCACTAAACACTCGTCATTGATGTAGTTTGTTCATATTTTGTATATGATGAAAGCTTGTGCTGTCTCAGCCGTATATTATCCACGGACACTTTAAAATTATACCATCACATTACATTGTGCAACGAAATATTAGGAAACAATGTACACAAAAACTAAATACGATATGGACAACTAATTGTTTGCAATAAATTAATAGAATAGTATAAGCATAGTATTATAATATTTAGGTTAGATAAATTAAATCACATCCATACTAATATTATAAATGCGTAACTCTGTCTGTCTGTCTGTTACGCTTTCACGCCTAAACCACTAAACTGATTTTAATGAAATTTGGTACAGAGATAGAGTTGACCTTGAGAAAGAACATAGGATAGTTTTTATCCTAGACTTTTGAAAGGTTCTCTTGGAAACGCGATATAACCGAACTCCACGCGGGCGAAGCTGCGGGCGGAAAGCTAGTAAATAATAAATGTGAGGTACTTAGTATGTACTCGTTTGCAGTGTTTTGTCCCGTTTATACGAGTTCTATTGCGAAAACCTAAATATCCTTTTAAGGTATTTCGAACGTTCTCTTTTACGCAAAATTTTGTTGATATATTAAATGTTTGAATTGATACAACTTTCAATACAAGATGTAAAGTATTTAATATGAGTAAGTTTTAGAGTTACAATTTCCGTTCCCATTAAAGAAATATTAGTACGAGTTTCTTCGCCATACTACACATGTAGCTGTTTTCGTTTCTGATAGTCAGTTGTCTTTCATAAGTAGTGACGGTACAAATGGATAAGCATTTAGTTAAAAACGAAGGAGCTATTGCAAAATAATCTATTTATACATTGTTTTGAAAACTAGTGATATCATCATCATCATCATCATCAGCCTATCAACGCCCACTGCTGAGCAAGGCCTCTTTCTCACGTGGAGAAGGTTTGAGCATTAATCACCACGCTTGCTTAAGACGGGTTGGTGATTTCAAACTTATAATTGTGAAACTATAAAGTCTAGGTTTCCTCACGATGTTTTCCTTCACCGTCTGTCAGTGGTGTCTAAATACTCTTAGTGATATGCAAACATATATTTAAATTTAGTATGTATATTGATTGTCAATTTTTAAATACATTTAACAAGTTATTTTTTCCAAATGCGCCGAAATAAAGACAATAATGAGTTTTGCATGTGAGTGTATATATACGCTCTTAATCCGAAAACTTATTTTGGTGAATATCATTTCTCTCAATATTTAACTCGGTTTCTGAATGTTATAGGGGTAAATCGAATATTTTATAATGTTTCTTTTCCATTCAAA